CCAGAGCCAGAGCCAGATCCAGAGCCAGAGCCAGAGCCAGAGCCAGAGCCAGAGCCAGAGCCAGAGCCAGATCCAGAGCCAGAGCCAGAGCCAGAGCCAGAGCCAGAGCCAGAGCCAGATCCAGTAGTAGTACCAGGGGCACTTCCAGAGCCAGTAGTGATGGCAGCACCAGAGCTGGTGAGAGTCCTGGAGCCGGTAGCCGCAGCACTGCTTGATCCCGAGCAGATTGTGGTGGTGAGCGAGACCGTCTCGGTGACGAAGAGGGTACGGGTGGAAGCGAGTCCCGAGCTGGCAAAAGGAGGCACGCCAGACGAATGGATAGGATATGGTCTCGGGGAGCCAGTAGCGAGAGCACTGCTTGACCGAGTGCAGATTGTACGAGTCAGCGAGACCGTCTCGGTGACGAAGACGGTCTGGGTAGAGTAGTAGTAGGGAGCAGAGGACGGTTGAACGGCAGGAATGCTGCTTTTCTTTGCTGCTGGAACGGCTGAGGCGGTTGCGTCAAAGGGCTGGGCGAGCAGGGCCAGGGCCACTGCGAGGGTTCCAAAGGGAGTCCTCATGGTGAATTAAAGAATAGGAATGATCTATAAAAGAAAGACTGGTCGATTTGCAAGACAGACGGTGGAAAGACAGTGGAAAGACAGTGTAAAGACAGTGGGAAAACAGTGGAAAGACGGTCAAACGAAAGACGGTCAACAGAGGGAGGTCAAAAGAAGGACAGAGGCAAAACTCGGGGGGGTCCCTGGAAGAATCAGGAAATTCGTCCGTCTGGCTTGGATTTGGTATTTGTTATAGCAAGAGCAGGCGTGAGTAGTCAGCAGACCGCGAACACGGTTAGTTTAAGCGATCAGCCAGGCTAGAGCAGGCGCTTGGCTGGTTCGGGACTAGTCCTGAAGCTGGGTTCTTTAAATACCAGCCGAACTATCCCTGATCGAGACCCTTAATCTTAGTCGATGGAAGCGTGGTAGTTTTTGCCGATGGAGGGGATTGTTAAGGAGTTGGAGTATTACAGAGTACATAGTATGGAGATATGGAGTACTATGTAGTTAAGTGTCAGGTTGCTGTAGATTATTACTTTTTGGCAGGAGTTATCTAAAATGTTGAAGTATAGAGTATAGCATGTCGTTCAGCCCTGTTGTAGATAACTATTAACTAGTTACGGAGTAGTTACTCCGTACGTAAACAAAGCTTGGCAGACTGTATAGGATTACATAAGGCAGGGTGTTTGTTTGCTTATTTCTGCTCTTATTCACCGCTTTACCCCAGCTGACTAACACTACGGAGAACCGTAACCACCACAAATGAAGGCCTTTGTTTACCACAGAGTATCTTCTCAACCTCCAGATAGATATCTCTTACCACTATTGAAAGAGACCATCAAGTACCATCATCACATACCTGCGTCTGGATCCTCCCCTCGAAATGTATCGGAGAGATTGGATTTATAATCCAGTCCAGATCACTGCACCTAGTTACTCCGTACCCGTCAACGTGGTACTCCTTATGACCTGTCATCCCAGTCATATATACTTTATGCCAAACGTCATACCTACCTACTCCGTACTACAGACGTCTATCCGCTGTACTCCGGACGGTCTGGCTCATTCGACTGAATAATCCCTCCTTGTTTACCCCAGACTAACGAAGATCAGGGAAGAGATTAATCAACTAGGTAGTCAACTAATAGGGTCCTCTATATAACTAACTGCCGGATGAGACTGGGTATCGCTAGATCGATCTTCACAGTCCCAAAGTACAACACCATTTCATAATCAACTCTCTACTTGTTAACTCCTAACTTCTAGATCGCATATGGCCACTTCAAGCAGAGTGTTTCTCTCCCCCGTCGACACCGGCGTTTTCAGCACTGCTCCCAGAGCCGATGCGGCCAAAACAGCCACCGAGGTTCTCCAGAAGAATCTCGAGAAACATCACATCTATTTTAATAACCGCGGGTTCCATAGTATGTTTGACACCAATATGGTATCTATTTATCTTGATTGATTTTATCTTATACTCACTCATAGACCACATCGTCCATCATATCCTCACCATCTATGCGCTTGGCGCCTCCCCCGCAGCTATTCAAGAGGCATACCAGCGGAATGCATCCTACCAGCGTCCTGTTCTACCCGTCACCGAGTCGGTCGCCCACGCTCTACACGATCGGGCCACCTTCATAGGCTGCTTGGGAAGGGAGGAGCATTACCCGAACTTCCTGGCCTTTTTCCAGGTCGAGATTGCCAACAAGGGAGTCGAGCATGTGCTGAACGAATACCTGTTTGCCGAGGACGAGCGGGCGGAGGATCTCCTCATCAGACTCTTCTCCGGCCTCCTCCATCCCATCATCCATCTCGGCTTCGGCGTCGAGTTCAACCAGCCCGCCATCGTCGCTGAAGCCCTCGCCCAGACCGCCATCCACGACGACTGGATCGGACCCATGTTCCTGCTCCCCGCCGAGACGGCCGCTGGCGGTGTCGGTAAACGCGGCGACAAGTCCCTCTTCGAGATCCTGCAGGAGGCCAGCACCGACCGCAAACTGGTCGACTCTGTCCGCTGGTCGGATGATAACAATATGCGGGACGGCGTGTTGACCCGCGCTCCTGCCGAGATGATCGCCTATGCGAGTCAATTCACCGTCTCCAAGGACCAAATCAAGGAGAAGCATGCTGAGATTCTCAACACAACTGGTAAGACCTTCTTTATCTATATATATATATGTGTGTGTGTGTGTGTGTGTGTGTGTGTGTGTGTATGTGTATGTGTATATTGACCTTTGTAGTCTATTTCACTGCTGCAGCCCAAAAACCAGACAAGGAAATCAAGATGGATTTCTTCTTCCTCCATTGTGTCACCTCGTCCATCTTCCTGTCGAAATTTCTAGCCATGCCCTCGCTGAGTCTGCGCGCCAAACTGCGTCTCCTCGAGTGGAAGGGACGCATGGACCTGCTCGTCTATGTGTCCCGCAACAGCCCCAAACTCACCAAGGAGAGAATCACAGCACACCACACCAACAGGAACTGGGATGTCCTCTTTGCAAAGGGCATTGCCCACCCGGAAGAAGACGGCCATTTGGTCAAGTTGCTCCGAGCGGTCGCTCACGCCGAGAAAGTCTGTCGTCCGCTGAACATGACTGCCTTGCCTGTGTCTGATGATATGTGGTTGAAGATAGGCAATATGAGTGAGTTTTTTTTCTCTCTTTCTTGTCTTCTGTATCTGTACTTATACCTCAAGCTAATTATTCTAGTTGTGGACTCGGTGTCCGATGATCCCATGTACATCTTTTCCACGGGTTTCGATGAAGCATGGGTTGGTTTCAAGTCTGCCTAGTAACAGTAACTGTGCACTGCGCTTTCTATGCATTTACCATATTAATGAGTATCTTAAATTGAGTTAACAACACTACTACTATTAATATTGAGCTTGATTCTGCTTTCCCTTCCAGTTAGTTTATAGTAGATATACCAACGATCATCATAAATCGATCAGTTCCTTCGTTTCGTCTTCTCTATCGAATAGAAGTCATCTTGTGCCGAAACTTCCCCTCAGTACTGGCACTGGGACACTGAATTAAGAGTGTTTATCCTATACTAAGACGCCTATAGTTATTCTTAAGTATTATTGCTGAAACAGAAGGCAGAAAGGGTTTATTGCATATTCTTACTAATGTTTGCTATGTTTGCTATGTTTGCTATTTGCTTTATATCACGTGGTGATAGTCCTGTGGGGCTGGTTTTGCCCCAACAGCTTCAAATCCTCGACGTCGCCCTGTTGACTGTTCAGCTCTCTGTCTACTTATCCATCATAGACAGAAGGCCTGCCATCGTTATTCTGCCTGATTTGCCGTGAGGAATACTTGTGGATTTATTTGAAAGAAAAAGACTACATCCATCCTGTGTGGTTATGGCTGGTAAAGACGACTCCCAGCGAGAACAGACGCCGTCGCCGCCGCAGGAATCTCGGCCCTGGCCCGAGGACGATAATCCGTTTGTTGCCTTCCGGCGCTATGCGGACGAGCAGATCTCGTCCATGTTACAGTCGGTGATGGGGCTGCCGTCTATGGTGTCTCCTCCGACACCTGATCACTGGAAGGTTTTTGCAGACGACAACAACAACAACGACAAGTACAGGGATTTGATGCGTCGTGAAGACGAAGCCGAAGGCAGACGCGATCGCGATCGGTCGTCGTCGTCGTTGTCTTCGGCGGAAGATACGGTTTTTTCCAGGGATCAAAAAGAACCTCTACGCCAGCCTCCGACAGGCCAGAATGATGATGACGATGATTATAACAACAACAACAACAACAACGATAATCAGTGGCGCTCGCGTAACCGACGGTATGGGCAGCAGCATCGTTCCTCGGATATTTTTGGTATCGACTCCTTCTTTGACGGACCATGGCTTAACGACCGATTCCCTGTGTCTTTCCGACTGTTTCACCCGTATCCAAACTCCTTTTTTACCGAAGCGTTCGGCGAGACCGAGTCACCCATGTGGCCGATGCCGTACCTGTTGCTCAGCCCCTATTCCCCCCTGCACCTTGAACGGAGGGCACAGTATCGGGTTCATCGCGAGCACGGCGTGTTCTCTTCGCTCATGTCGTCTCTGAGGTCTGCTTCGGATCGGGACCCGGACGAGCCACACTGGCGCGAGGCCTTTGAGGACCTGATCCGGCTGGAGAACGGCAAACCGATGCTGGATCGTCCTTCCGACGCCATCATGCAACGCGAGAGTGGGTATGACTGGCTCCAGGGTTTGGTGAAGAGAGGCAGCCTGGGCCAGCGCTGGCAGTATGTCCCGAGCACAGCCGATCGACCGTGGGCTGGCATTACGTACGACAGCTCCGACTCCAGTGAAGATCGCAGTTCACTTCCCAACACCAAACGCATTGAACCACAAGCCCAACCGGATGTTTCGACAGAGGAGCTGGAGCACCTCGCCGAGATGGACTTGTACAACCGGTTCCTTGAAGGTATCGAAGCCCGGGAACGTGACGCCTTCCGCGGCATGCCCGAGAGCCCCCTTCTCCGGTTCCTGCTCGAGGAGAAGCGGAGACTCCAGGAGACCCAGGGGTACGGCAACGGCAACGGCAACAACCAGTTTCCTTTGGACCCAGACATCCGCGGCGACGACACAGAAAGTTGGCTGGAGCTTGTTTCTGGTGGAAACAGGAACTCGGTCCCCGACACGCAGCCGTCTCCGGAGACAGATCAGGCTGCTGCAGACCAAATCGTCTCGATGGTCACCACCATCAATCGTGTGCGGCTCCCCGATGGGTCCATGAAGACCACGACTGTCAAGACCAAGCGCTTCGACGACGGTCGGGAAGAGCGCGACGAGTCGGTCGAGGTGGTCAACCCCCAGTCTTCTTCTCCTTCCCCAGTGCCTGCTGAGGATGAAAGCAAAAAGAGCGGTTGGTTCTGGAAATGATCGCAAGGCCGGCCTATTTCTTTTTTTTTTTTTTTCTCTTGTTACCTAGCGTCTCATGCGTCGAATTTAGCCACTCTTTCTTCTCTCTTCACCTTCTCTCACTCCTCGAGTCTCCTTACTCATTCTCCAGATAGTGAAACAGGACACGATAAGCTGATAAGGTACCTGATTACATCATAGGACAGTTAGTTACCTAATGAATACAACAAGTTACATAAAATACAGGGACATCCGCGGAACTCCTCTGGTATCAACGTAACGTACATACTGCCTCCGCTCCTCGGCTTCCAATTACTAAACAACAAGAGGGGGATGAGGGGTGCGGTTCTTCCTGCTGATAATTTTGGTCTGACTCCTTGCTGTATTCCCATTGCATTGTTCTTGGTGTTTCCTTCTAGTCCCCATCTCCGCTCTTCTCTTCTATTATTGATTGCTCGCTATGACGACTTTCCCCCAGATCCCAGCTCCGGCACATACGCAGGTAGACTCGATGCTTTCCCGGCGTTTTGGAAGGGAAACGGTCAACTATTTCTCAAGTCCGGTTCTCCCTTTTTCATTCTATCATATATTGCTAGAAAGGATTACTGATATTCAAGTGACTATTACTCCGTATAGGTTCCCCCCTGAACCGACTGAGTTTCCTACGCACCGAACACCCGTTCCTGGCCGCCGCGCTGCGCCACCCCAGCACCCGCTTCGTGCTGGTCAAGGATCTCGCGCCCCTGACCCGGTCGTCGGCCGAGCTCTTCTACGCCAGCTACGAGGATGTGCGGGCCCTCGTGCCGGCCGACTACTTTGATCTGTCGGAGGAGGAGGTGCTCAAGGCCTACGACTCGCGGAAGAGCAGTGCGTACCCGATCTTCCTTGGGCTGGACGAGTCGCGGCGTGAGGCCGGGCTGACCTGGAAGAATTACTCGGGCACGCCGGTATTTGGGCTGGATGTTACGCCGCGGGGGTCGGAGGAGCAGCAGGCTCGCGCGGGGGAGGTCATCGCCGCCATGGAGGCGCAAGGGTTGACCTTTTTCAAATCGCGGGTTGTCGCGACGTTTTCGGCTGATGAGGGTATCTACTCCCCTACCATCTTCCTCTTGAAAAAAAAAAAAAAAAAAAAAAAAAAAAAAAAAAAAACAATACAATATAAAACAATACATACAACTAGAGCATTTGCTGATGGCTGATTCTAGCTGCTGTTTACGCCCAATGTCGAGCCCTGGTTGACTGGAACACGCGCAACACGTTCTGCGGAACGTGCGGACATCCAACCATCTCAGTCAACGCAGGCACCAAACGGGCGTGTCCGCCGACGGACCTCGCACGGTCGGCCGAGGGCAAACCGGTGGAACGGCCGGCGTGCAACACGCGGACCACGATTTCGAACCTGTCGTTCCCACGGACGGACCCGACGATCATCGTCGCGACGCTCTCGGCGGACGGCCACCGCATCCTGCTGGGGCGGTCGAAACGCTTCCCGCCAAACTGGTACTCAACTCTCGCCGGCTTCATCGAGCCCGCCGAGTCGGTCGAGGACGCCGTCCGCCGTGAGGTCTGGGAGGAAGCCGGCGTCACCCTGTCGCGCGTCGTCATCCATTCCTCCCAGCCCTGGCCCTACCCGGCGAACCTGATGATCGGGGCCATCGCCCAGGTCGGCGACCCAGCCCACGAATCCATCTGTCTCGAACACGACCCGGAGCTCGAGGATGCCCGCTGGTTCGACATCGCAGAAGTCAAGGAGGCCCTGTGTGTCGGGGTCAGCGCTCTCGGTGACAAGCCGGGCCCGGAGTACAAGGAGGGCGGCCTTAAACTGCCCCCGCCAACGGCGATTGCCAACCAGCTCATCCAGGCGGCAGTTAATGCCGACTATCTCGGTGCCAGCGAGGCCAAAATGTAGACTGCACACTAGGGTATACACTCGGTACATATTCATACGAGCTAGATTGTAGAAGACATATTCTAGAAGTTTATTCAATTATACCGTTTTAATCATCCAAGATTAATGTCAAGTACTATACATTCGCATAGGCCGTCCCATCACGCAACTCATGTACGCTGCTCCCTCTCCCCTTGGGCGAAGATCCTACCTCCGCATACTTGGTTCCATCGCGCAGCTCGTGGATCGTGATCCTCCGCCGCGACGATGAGCCTTTCTTCCCGCGCCGTCGCGCGCTGGCGCTGGTGGTCGACAGGGGTGCCGAGTCCGCCCGTGAAGAAGAGACGCCGGACTGCTGCTCTGCACTGTCTGCGTCGCTTAGTAGGGAGGGAGACGAGGCAACGCTGCTGACAAGGGGTATCGGAATTGGGCTACTGTCCTTCTCATCCTCGTTTTCGCTCTCCCCTTCTTCTTCTTCTTCTTCTTCTTCTTCTTCTTCTTCTTCTTCCTGTTGTGCCCGCTCGATTGACGTCTGCAGGGCTCGGTCCGACACCATCGCCGCCCCGTCTTCCTGGTACCACTTGCGGAGACCGGTGGCGTACGCGAGTTCCTCGGCGCCGTACTCGACGGGGGGGCCCGTCATGGCCGGGAAGTCCGTTTCTGTTGTTGCTGCTTCTGGTTCAGAAGAGAAGACGGCCCACGAGCTTGACTCCAAGCTGACGAGGATCATCGAGTGATCAAAGCTTTTCACGGAAAAGTCGCGTAGAAGGATGGCATCACCCTCCGCCACGACGGGGATGGCAGAGCGATAGGGCCGGCTGATCTGCGCTGACAACGTCGTGCCGGCCATGGAGGGGTCCGTCAGCTGCAGTGTGAGCATGTAGTCCCTCCGGCCGGATGTCGCTTGAATCACCGGCGCGACTTCGCAAATGATCGAGATCGTGTCGGTTGGGGAGTGGAAGTGGTCGATCAGCGCCGCGAGTGGAGAGAAATATGATAGGCGGGTGCGTAGGCCCGAGGCATGTCGATCTGGATTCCCAAGCTCTTCATTATCGAATGGGGTGCGAGATTCGTTCTCGCTTTGTTGTTCGGCATCGGCATCGATCATAGAACGAGCTTCTTCCCCTTCTTCTTCTTCTTCTTCTTCTTCATGTTTGACCACTGTATCGGGGAGCTCGGTATCAGGTACTTCCGTTGAGGGCAACACTCTCTTGGTGATGGGCGATATCACATCAAGTTCGGTCTTGATCACGGCTGGCAATTCCTCGAGAGAACCTTGCGTGGCTTGAGGTGTGGCAGGTAGGTGTAATCCACTTGGGTTATATGGCGGTGGCTGAGTCACTGCGGCCTCCTGAGAACCATCCGGAGTAATGATATACAACTCGTTCCTTGCAGGTTCCGTCTCAGGATACGGCGAACGAGCACCGTCAACGTACATGGGGTAATTAATGGTCTGCTGAGACCTTGGCTCCGGTGATTGTTGGACATCATGCTGGTCATCAACGTCCGCAGGCGATAGTACTTGGTCGTACCGCAGGCTGGGATCGATGGCAGATTCCAGATCAACTGGGGTAGGGCCAAGTTGGAGAGGCAGCTGCTCTGGGGCGTCCGACACACTGGAAGCACTTTCATGTGGACTCTGCTGTGCTCGCTGGAAGCGCATCGCAGCAACGATACGATCGTCATCTAGTGTCCGTAGAGCCTCGGCATGGAGCTCAGAATCTGACATCTCTTCAGACTGCATATGTGAGTCAGCATAGTCGTCCTCTGGCTCCTCCTCCTCCTCCTCCTCATCAACATCTTCCAGGTCGTCCAATTCATCCTGAGATTGGTCTCTGTCGACTTCGACTTCATCATACGAGTCAAGCTCTTCTGAAGAATCTTCATCATCTTTTTTCAATGAACTCGGACGAGGTGCCGTAGCCGCCTCATCTTCGCTGTCGCTGTCTAGGACGATGACCTCGGGATGCACTGTTTTCGCCGGTAGCTCAGGAGGGCGGTCTTCCCTTGTGGCAGCTTCTAGCCCGTATTGGGACTCGATCTCGCTCGTATATCCATCACCATGCTCTGACTGGTAGGTGTCCTCTGACATCTCGTCATCGTACAGGGCCTCTTCGTCTTCGGAAACCTCGTCGTCGTAGCCCTCCACTAACTGCCGCTTGTTCGCATCCTCTTCCTCGGCGATTTCGCTCTCAGAACCATCGACGGAGTCTTCCGTATCTTCTCGGGCTGCTTTCTCGGTGCCTTCCAGAGGCGCGCTCTGCAGTATTTGTCTCGCCATACTGCTTGTGGGCTCTGGTACTTGCACGATTTCATCCGAATCGGCATACTCTTCCATCTCTTCAGCCTCCTCTAGCTCCAGCTCCTCTACCTCTTCGGTTTCTTCCAGTACATCCGGTTCCGACTCTTCCAGCTCTTCTTCTAGAAGATCCGCCCGAGCGTCAGTCTCAACCGAGCCCACCTCTACCACATCCACATCTTCTTCTTTATCCGAGACCCCTTCCTCTTCTATCCCCTCGTCGGAGACAATCTCTTCATCACCGGATGCTTCTTCTTCCAAGTTGGCGATAGGACTCGAATCTCTCGGCATATCTTTTACCACAGACTCATTATCGCTTGACTCGATAACTTCATCAGGTGCATCGGCCATGGCCGCATCCATGACGGATGATGCCTCGTCGATATCGCCTTCAGCATTCTCGACAACAGGTTCTTCGGCCTGGGCTTGCAGGCTGTTATCAACTATTCTCTCGTGAGACTCGAGTATCTCATGTTGCATTGTTGGCGCGGATTCAACATTGGTCACTGAGACGGAATCTGTGCGATGAAGGATGGCATCCTCTGTTATTGAATCCACCACATCGACAGCATTGCTGGTACTTTGCGTAACCTCCTGTACCAACACATCCTCGACGACCGCTGTCTCTCCCTGTGCCTCCTCTGATGCTGGTGGATGGCTAGTAACATACGGTTTCGACGAGAAAGGCGCAGAAAAGTAGCTCTGTGGACTGTTCGGGTCTGTCACCATCGGCGACGGAGTAGGCAGACTCGGAGACTGGATAGGGTGTAAGCGGGGAGTATCGGTAGGGAGTGAGAGGGAATATCCAAAATGTCGGTGAGCAGACATCCCACCCACTGACAGTCTGGTAGCAGATGCTTCAGTACGGTTTGGAGGGAGCGGCTGAACAAAGGGGTCTAAAGGCTCCTTCAGATGCTCCTCGGCCAACTCGCAAGCAACAGAAGGATTGATTCTCTCGACTGTAGGCTCTGGCAGGATTTCCAACTCTTCTTGCTGTTCCACACTCGACCGGTCGAGCGGTACCTCGGGGGTAATGTCCTGATCGATCGCCTCCTCTAGGTCTTCCTCTTCATCCAAGTCCTCCGTCCACTCGATCGGCTCCGCCCTGTCGCAAGGACTTTCCGGTCCATCCACAACACGCCATTCCGTGCTCATGAGACTGAGCCTAGGCCGTTTTCTTCCTCTTCCGAGCACGAAGCCATCTTCCTCAGCGAACGGGTCGAATGCAGAGTCGACCACACCGCCGAGAGACCTCCGCGCTGACTTCACAAATGCCGGAGACACCCAGGAGCGTGCCAGCGCCCCATCTGGATAGAGATCTGTTCGTGCCGGCGTGGAGGGGAGTGCTTCGAAACCATCTTCCGCGGGCTGTGCCGGAGAGCGGGGACCGTCGATTTGCACCGTGGCAAGGAGTTTAGACGACCTGGATATCTACAGATTGTTAGATTGCCGTAATTCCACATATAGATTCCTGTCATAGAATACCTCCAGCCACACGCGCTCTTCAAAATGTAGATCCCATGCAATGCCTCGACCTGGCGTCTGAGCCGCGGACTCGTTCTCCGACCACCGCGCATCCTTCAGATTGAAAATACACACTTCATCACCGATCCCGACGTGTGTCTCTGCAACCCTTGCGGCCGCATCGCCATGGAACGTGACCTTCACCTGTCCCTTGAGTCGACGCAGACGGAAATCCGGCTCGGAGAGTAGAAGGCTGAGGGATCGCGTCGAGGACGAGAACGGCCACACCAGGGACACCACTGCATGGACAGAGCCCTCTGCGAGCCCATCTAGGGAGGGAGAAAGCTGTGCGATTGGGATCAAGTTCGACTGTTGGGTCGTGGGAGGCCGGTCGGGGGGGGATTCTTCCATCGTTGCGGTCGCTGGCTGTCGGGGCAGTGCATAGTTCAGAAGAAAATATAAGACATGAGAGGGTCCGACTAGCTGGGGATTTCCAAAACCAGCTATCAAGTGTCGTAGAGCCCGGGTGTTCTTTGAATTATTTATCCTGAGGGGAGGAAACAGGCTTTGTGAGACGCGTTGAAAGCAAACGATCGGAGTTCATTGATGTAATATTTGTAAATGGTTTACAATACGCTCTTTATCACTGCACAGCATAGAAAGTCAGGTACATATTTGAAGACAAAGAATTTCTAGAATTTTTACTTATTAATCATTCATAATTCTAGATCTTGATTGAGCTGGTTATATAATTTTAAAAGATATTAAAACCCATCAAGCTGGTTGTGGTCGATAGTAGAACACACTGGTAATGGTATTACCAGTCCGATTCTTCTATCAGTTCTGCTTCTTCCAACTCTTCAAGTTCTTCCTACAAACACGAGCGAGGACTACGATGAGCTATTTGACCTGTGGCAGGACACGATTGTCGATTGCTCTGGATCCTCTCAATAAATAATCCTCCGATATGGCGTGACTCTAGTGTCCTGACTCCTTGGCTATCTGGCCGCTGTGGTGTGCTTATCTCTCTCTCATCCCAGGAGGATCCCTCCGAACTCACCATCGTCTCTAGTCCTGCATCATGACAATCTCAACGCAGGTTCGGCGGGTAGCAGTGATTGGAGCAGGTCCATCTGGTCTGTCTGCTGTCAAGTAAGCTTAAGAGAGGAGCAGGGAAGCAGCCAGGGGGGAAAGAGAAGCGCAGAGCTAAAAAACGAGTACAGGTATCTCCTTGCAGAGAAATGCTTCGACACTGTCGACGTCTTGGAGCAGAGAAGCTCGGTGGGAGGGACATGGAACTACTGCCCTGCTGCCCATAAACAGGCCTCATCTACCCCGGTGCCTCAACTGCGGCCCTGGGAACCCCCCGAGGAGCCCCTCTGGGTTGCTGCGGGGTCGGCGCAGAAGGAGGCCGTATTTGTGTCTGCTTTGTACGAGAGACTCGAGACGAATATCCCAAAGGAGCTGATGAAGTACTCCGACCAGTCGTGGCCTGCTGATACTCAGTTGTTCCCCAGTCATGCAACCGTGCTGAGGTATCTAGAGGAATACGCGGAGGATGTACGGGACCACATCCGGTTCGAGACCCAAGTCCTCGACGTTCGAGTAGATAACCCTCAAACGAGTACATGGGCCGTGACAACGAGGAACCTGCGTTCTGGCTGCAACAGCACCGAGCTGTACGACGCAGTGGTGGTTGCCAGTGGCCACTACAACGTGCCGTATCTGCCGGCGATTGAGGGTATAGAAACCTGGAACAAAACCTATCCTGGAATTATATCACATTCCAAGTCCTTCGACTCGCCGGAGCAGTTCCGTGACCGAAAAGTGGTGGTGGTAGGCAATTCGGCCTCTGGAGTCGATATCGCTGCTCAGATCAGGGGCGTCTGTAAGGGGAAGCTGCTCTCTTCTACACGGTCTGAATCGTCATTTCCACTGTCTACCCCGTCCAATATACTGCAAGTCCCCGAGATCATCGAGTTTTTGCCTCCTAGCAAACACTGCCGCGGTCTCCGATTCAAAGACGGTCGGATCGAGGAAGACATCGACGCCATCGTTTTTTGCACGGGCTACCTATACGCATATCCATTTCTGTCATCCCTGGAACCTCCAGTTATCACAGACGGTCGTCGGACACTGAACGTGTACCGGCAAATCTTCTATATCGAGCACCCGACGCTAGTATTTCCCGTTCTGCCGCAGAGAGTCATTCCGTTCCCTCTGTCTGAGAACCAGGCTGCGGTGTTTGCCCGTGTATGGTCTAGTCGCCTCACACTGCCCTCCAAAGCCGACATGCATGAGTGGGAGAATGCTCGTGCCGCTGAACGGGGCGATGGCAAGACATTCCACCTACTGCCCTTCCCGCTTGACGCAGACTATCTTAACTCTCTTTACGACTGGGCCGCCCAGGCTGCGACACGCCCCGAACTCGACAACGGGGGACACGGAAAGCAAGGCATCCGATGGGAGAAGGGGGAACGCTGGATTCGGGGTCAATTACCAGAGATCAAGAAAGCCTTTCTGGCCCAGGGAGAGCAACGACACCATATCCGGAGTCTGAAGGAACTGGGGTTCGACTTGGAGACAATGGGAGGAAAGGACTAGATCATTGTAAATACATATGGAGCCCTTGAAACAGCCTGCCTTGTAATAGACAATAGATACAATAAACCATAGAACACGGCTCATGAATAGCTCCTCAATAGCTCCTCTGCTCTATTGTAGTGGGCTGATCTGGAACAGGCCTATCACGTGCGGGCGATCTCCCGAACGATAACCTCCCAGCTCGAGGCCGCTATTGTCCCCCCATCCTCTTCAATCACTGCGTCCCAGCCCCCCCTCACGCTATTGATATAGCATTGAATAGGAGAGTTTCTTACTGTCGAATTGTCCGGGTGCCGGAACCGGTTTCTAATATCATATATAACCAGTCCTCCCCCAGTTTTCTCTCTCTCTCTCTCTCTCTCCAACATGGACTCCTACACCTCCGCCGCCGTGAGAACCACCGAACGCGCATAATGAGTTCCAAACGCAAGCTGAATGTGCATCCATCCGAAGAAGGAAGCCCGAGAAAGAAGAAGCTGAAAAACAGATACGCTCTGTCGAATGACGGGCAGATTTTGAACGTCACCGAGGAAGAATACCCCATCCAGCGCATTGTCCGCGAGAACATCAACGAGTACCAGGTTGAATGGGATCCATATTTAACTACGTGGGCAAGTGAAAGACTTACCCTGTATCAAGGATAGATAATTCGATTGTGGTAGTAGCTGACTCGAAGATGCTCTCTGCCAGGAACCGAAGTCGTGCCTTAACCTCAACGCGGTCGACGGGTTTGAGAAACATAAGAGGAAACTCGCCCTGGAGAACAAGAGACCGCACCCCACCAGGAAGTCCGAAGTGATCCCGTACGCTGCATCGCGCAAATCCTACACCTTGCCACGAGCACTGCGTGCATTTCGGTTCCGTCGAGAAGTCATCATCTTTTCCCCGCTCTTTAGCCCCGTTGGCCCCGACGTGGAACGTCTCGAACAAGAACTGCGGGAACTCAGAGCCGCGGCATCGAGCGTGTTGTCCACCCCTAGGACTGCCCCCGTGAACAGTGATCCCGGTCCCCAGAGCTGTACCGAGCAGGAGCCCCCTGCGCGCGCCCCGCCAAGGAGGCAGACCGCGTTTTTTGAGTACGTCTCATCCAAATCCCCTCCCCCCGAGGGTTATTATTTGTTTCCCGATGAATTCCGGGCCTTGATTGGCTTGGAAGGGGCGTGCTACTCTGATCAGTCTGCAACCGAGTCATTGGACGAGGTTGATGAGGCTGCAGAGCCGCCTTCCCGTTACCCGTACCCTGTGGAGAACCAAACTGATCCCTATCAGACTTTATATTCCCCGGATACCGACTCCCTGTCTGGCGATCAGTACGGCGAGTATTCGGAGCAGTATTCGGAGCAGTATTCAGATCATTCTTCAGATCATTCTTCAGAGCAGTCTCCAGAAGAGTCTCCAGAAGAGTTTCCAGAAGAGTCTCCTGAGCGTGTACTGACAGGTAATGTCTCATGACTCCTTGGCTGTCACCACTGTCATTTAGTAACTAACCAATTTCCAGAGTTTTCTCCAGTTGGGTCTGATGATACTGGCTTGACTCCGTCTTCGTTCAGACAGACCAGAGAGTCTTCTCTCGATCCCGCGCAAAACAGATTTGTCCCGTTAACGATCGAGATCCCAGAAACGCCCTCGGAAATAATGGATGACCAGGACAAGAAAATCCTGTCGCCCGCGGAGGCCATGCAGAAATGGAGCCATTTTCAAGGATCGACTCCTAAGGAGAAGCTGGAGAATGCTTATGCTCAAATGCGGGCTAAACAAAAGTCCACCCCGGCCAGTGCGAGTGCGACCCCGTCATCAGCAGGTGATATCGAGGCCTCTCCCTTGATACCCGTCCCGGATAAGGTCGAGCCTCTCAGCATTAGAGTGGACAAGGAGCCTGTCACGCACGCAACCCACCAGGAAACCCACCACCACCACCACACCGCAACCGCAGAGCCTTTTGGGCCACCGGTGCATGGCACCCACGAAGAGCATCCGGTCATACAGACAATTCAACCTAGCGCCCTCACAGTAAGACATGATGAGGAGCCGGTCCCGGGCTCGGTCCAGCTTGGGCCGTCGGAATTCGCCATCACCGTCCCTATGGATTGCAGAGTGAAAGGCGACTACGAACGAATCATCATGGATGAGACCCGAGCTATCCAGGAGTTCCTAGGAAGCTTTGGCTCTACAGCGCAAAGCTTAGAAAGCGAGGTAAGATGATATATTTGGTGCTTTAAAAACACGTCATATCTGACTGCTACATAGCGTGAGCGCCTTTCCGCCAAGATGTATAAAATGGTGGACAAGCTGAATAATGTCACCACTCATCCGGATATCAATTACGCCGATGAACTCAAGGATGTGGAAACGAGTCCCGACAAAGAAGCCTCCTGGGGAGAATATTCGAGCGCCAAATTTCTCCTCTTAGGATATCTGACGAGAGCTGGAGTCAATTCTGATATCCATCTGGTTATCATGGTCCAGGAAGGGAAGTCGGTGAATATCATGGAGCGTTATCTACTGGGCAAAGGGTTCAGTTACACCAGACCGCGCGAAGAGATGGGCAGCGGCACCAATTTAGAGCTCTCCATGAGAAAGGGTTCTCTGAGCATGGGCATCCAGCCCACTCAGAGTGATGGAATCATGGAGGCCTATAGACCGCCGTCCGCGATAATCGCACTGGACGCATCCTTTAACATCAAGAGCCCCTCTGTCGAGCACATGCGCACCACGTATGCTCGCCACAGCAATCTTCTCCCGGTCATTAGACTGGTGGTGGCTAGCACCGCCGAGCACATCTCTCTCTGCCTGCCGAACATTCCGGAAATCGAGAGGCTCCGGTTCCTCGTTCAGTACACCCTCCGCCTGCGCGATGTTGTTGGTGAGCTGCAAGACGACGCCCTCGGCGTGCAGGAAGATGCCGAGGAAATTTTGGCCTATCTGCTCTCCGACGATTTCCACACAATCTGGCCCTTGCCAGTCATTGAGCCCTTGCAAATCGCCAGCCCGGCAGAGCTAGAGTCGTTGATACAGGTGCCAAGTCCCGCAGATCTTCCCGCCGTCTCTGCCGTCAACAAGCGTCTTTTCGTCGGTACCCCTTTGTGATCTCTTGAAAAAGAAAAGGAAAAACCCCCGCGCTAACAAGACAACAGGAAGTCGAGGAATCCGATGAGCCGATGACAAAACGGCAACGGATGGTTGCCTCCCAAGATCAGAGCCAATTGACCGAGTCCTCTGGAGCCTTCCCTAGCCAGCCTCTGGGAGTTGAGCTACAAGCGTTCGAACATAATCTCATGCAAATGAGGACCTCGCACGCGGCGGAGATGGAGAAACTCAAGGAATCCCTGAGCGACGCCTCGGTCCGCCTGGAAGCAAAGGAAGAAGCAATGGCCTCTCTTCAGCATCGCTATGAAAGCCGGGCGTTGGAGATGCGGAAACTGCGCAAGGAGAACGAGGGTCTAATCAGCGGCAAGGCCAATCTGGAGCAACGCTTCGAGCGGCAGAAGGAAGACAACGCGAAGCTCCGCGACGAGCGCACCCAACTGAAGGAGGAGCTCAAGACGGCGCGCGAAGCCCTCCAGAACGGCGACAGCAGCATGTCGGACCTTGAGTCTGTGCGAGCCGAGGTGCGCCGCCTGAATGAGAAGAACGCCGGCCTGGAACGCAAAGCCGAGTACGAGAAGAAGCAGGCCGAGTACACGCGCGAGCAATACCAGACAGCCAACAACGTTGTTGGCCAGCTGCGCAGCGAGGTCGGCCAACTGCGCGACGAGAACGAGACCCTCAAGCGCAAGGCCAGCGGCGACGCCATCCGCCTCAAGGAACTCAACCTGAAGACCGACGAGGCGCGCTACCTTCTCCGCATCGCAGAGCTGGAGGCCACCCTCACCGCGCGTGAGGACCTGCTCCGCCGCAAGGAAGACGAACTCCGCGAGCTCAAGAAGAACCGCCCTTCCACCCGCTCGACCAGCACGCAGCCTCGGAGCCCCAAATGGGCCTCCGCCAGCCGGCCCACGAGCCCGGGCATCAACAACGGCAATAACGGCTCCGGTGTGCCTGGACGTGGCAGCGGCCTGCGATTCAGTTCTGAAATGTCGCTCTAGAATCTAGATTCAAAATCCCTAGACATACTTTTCTGCTTTCCCACACACGATCATGATCTGCGCCCCTACAATTTGCTATCGTTTTTCTTTCTTTTCTTCCATTCGTTACGACATGCATTGATCCGGCGTTGGCCCTTCCCCCTTCCCTCATACTCTCCTTTCCTGGTCCCCTCGACCTATGATTCCCATCATTCCCTTGCAACGCAAATGGCCGTTGTGGTTCTAGCACTGATCTGATTTTATTTCCATTTTCCCCGACTGATAGGTCTGCAGGACCCGTCCAGACTTGGTTTCTTGCGATAGAGGTAGGACGACGTAAATTATCAATGAAATTCATGAATAAATATGTTGAGTAGACACTGTAATTCAATTCTTTTATCCTAATCCATATATTATTAGAAAGTATGTATAAAAATCGGCCTGCTATGTGAAGCAGTATTAAGTAGGTCCTGTAAATAATATATAACACCAATCATCAAATCCCGAGGGGCTGCCAATTTAAGGGGGACAAACAAAAGAAAAACGAACAACCAGCACCAAGCTCGAGTAGAAGAAAAAAAAAAACGAGATCTAGAATCAATGAACAGGGAAAAAAGAAAAGGCCGTGCTCAGAATCATCAGTAATACAAGTCAACCAGAGAAAAAAGAAAAAAAAAACCCCCAAATGAATAAATATCATAAATCAATCGAATATTTAATTCGCCATGGCGTTAGCCATGAATTTGGACAGCTCCATGGCCTTCGCGCCCTTGGTCATGGTGAAGTGGTTAGCATTTTCCATGACGGTGATGCCGCCGACATTCTTGGGTCCTACGAGGGTATCCCACCCGTTGGGCCCCAGATCGGTGCGAGTGTTGAGCAGCCAGACCATCTCCTTGGGATCTTTGCTGCCATCCTCCGCAGGAGGAGGATAGGGCACTTCTGGCGTCGAGCAGACACCGTCCTTGGCCCAGATCATCCAGGTCTTGGGGGTCTTCTTTCCCAGCTCGCCGTCCGAGTAAGGGAATGGAGATGCCTTGTACGCATCCAGCGATTCGATGAAGGCTAGGAAGTGCGGCAGGAGCCACTTGGGGGGAGGCGCCTTGCCCTCACCGAACAGACCGACCGAGTCGAAGAAACTGTACAGGCGACGGGGCAGCTTCTCCAATCCAATGGGGAACGGGGAGTCGAGGAGAAGTAGTCGCTCGACGGTCTCGCCTTCCTCGAAGATCAGGTGCTTAGCAGCGTCGTAGGCACAGATGCCACCAGCTGACCAGCCTCCAAAATTGTAGGGTCCCTTGGGCTGGCGACGACGAATCTCCGCCACATACGGGATGGTGATCTCGTCCAGACTGAAATTCAGGTTCTCGGGAGTCTTCATATATGGGCAGTTCAACCCGTACACACAGACATCAGGAGACAAGGCGGGGATGGTGGCATACGAGGTGGCAGAGCCCGATCCATCAGGGAACAGGAAAAGAGTCTTGGTGGCCGTCTTAGGGTTACCCTGGAGAAGGATAGACGTTGCCGGAGGGTGCTGAATAACCGAGACGTTTCCAGCACTCGGGTTGATATCAGGGATCGTCTCAGGCAATCTGATCGGCTCAACTGCAGCAGGAGTTGGAGCCTTGGGTTTCAGATCCAAAGTGACCTCGATCTCCTCCAAAGTCTGGTTCTCGATGAAGAAGTCACCAGGGAGATCAAGGTCCAGCTGCTCCCGCAGCTTGCCGAGGACGGTGAGGGACATCAGCGAGTCCAATCCCATGTCGCTCAGGTTGGAGTCACCAGTAAGCTCCTCCGGGGTGACACCGATCTCTTCGGCCAGGATTCCTTGGATGATCTTAAGACTTTCATTTTGCTCGACAGATGCAAGAACCTTCTCGTTGGGAGGCGACAGCAAGCCGGGCGAGGCTGCACTTGACGGATCCGTCGAGGCGGAGGAGGCGGGGAATGAGTATCCAGACTCCTCTAGGTCGCTTCCTGAAGAGTCGCTCTCCATGGGGCTCATCTGCTGCAGAAGCTGCTTGAAGTCTTTGATAGTCGGCTGGTCGATGAACACCGATGACCCGAGGTCGAGGTCCAGCTCCTCGCGGTATCTTCCCGTGACTGTCAGGGAAAGCAGCGAGTCAACTCCATAGTCTGCAAAGACCATGTCATCAGTCATGTCTGCGTCAGACAGGCCAACCTCCGAAGCGAGGATCTTGAGAGCGCGGACAACAAGACTGGGACCCGACGAGGACTTGACAAGAGACTTGACGGCAGCGGGAGGTGCAGGGCGACCAGCCTTCGCCTTGGCTACATTGATCGGGGGTGGGGTAGACTTCGCAGCTGCCTTGGGAGCCGGTTTGGCAACCTTGGACCCTCCAACCGGGGGAAGAACAGTGTCAAGGATCTGACGCGCCAATCCTTGGAACTGTTGGAACAAGCGTTAGTAAGTGCAAGGCGTGAGAGGGAAAAGAAAAGAGAAAGAAGAAAGAAAAAAACTTGCCTTCACACCGCCATAAACAGCGACAATCTCATCTCCATCGAAGATGTAGACATCGCCCGCATAGATGTTGTTCTGCCAGAGTTGCATACGGACATAGGTCCGGTAGGTGACATCTGCGGAGAATTTCTTCAAGCAGCGCATCGAGTCCCATCCATGGTTGACAAAGACCGTGTTCTTAGAGTCGGTGGCATCACTGGCGTTCATGATGAAGCCAGAAAGGTGTCCCAGACTGTCGATCCAGAAGGGATTGCGGTGGTAGTTTCCAGGGGGTGCGTGGAACTTGACTCTGCCAGTCGCTTCGTGGTTTTCACTGTCCAGAATGACCTCCTGGATCGACTTGTAGTTATCATCGTAGTCAACCAGAGTCGCGAAGAGTTTGTAGATCATCCCACGCTTCATTCGGTGAGACTGGCCATCCTCGGAGTCCTTGTGAAGTCTTTCGATGCTGCGCTGTATCAGGTACGCGTTGCGTTTCCACTCTTGCTCCCAGACACTGCAGTCGGAAAGCTTCACAATACAGCTGGCATGGTCTACCATCTTCTTTCCTTCCGCTGTGACGGACCAGACGTTGACGTTGACCTTTTTGGCCGCCCAGTCAGCGGTGGCAGAAACCCTGAATAACTGCTCGCCTCCCTTGGCCAAGAGGGGCTTAGGCACGGCCATGTTGGCGACATCAAGGCCGCAGTCCTTCATTTCTGGCTTGTACTTATTCACCAAGTAGTCGGCTAGCGTCTGAGCAATATCGGCATAGAGAGACTATTTTCTCGATTAGCACGGATCATGTTTATTCAATGACAAGAGAAAAGAAAAAAAAAAGCTTACCGAGGGACAAAGAGCAGCTCCATTGACTTTGTGGCCTTGAATGACCCTGTTGAGTTCTGGATCCGCAATGTCGTTCTGAATAACAACGGTTGCCTTGCCGCCTTCCTCGCGTGACTCGAGGATTTTTTGAGCCGAGGATGTAAGGAATGTTGATGCTGCAGCCGGCGCGGCTTGGATCTCACCGACGGGTGCCCCCTTAGACAGACAGAAGTTGTTCTCGTAGGGGATCCAGTAGTTCTTGAGATCCCAGTTGTAAGCGGGGAGCGGGAGAACCTGGTGGCTGGAACTGAAGTCCTGATGGTACTCCTTCCAAAGAATCTCAATGCCTGCCAAGTGCAATGTGGAGAGGCTGTTAGAGAGCACCTTCCAGGTGTCTTCCTCACGGCGAAGGGATGCGACGGTCTTGGTTTGGGGACCAAGGGTTGCCTTGACCATGCCGGAGCAGACAGTGTGAGAACCGATCTCGATCCAGAGAGTCTTGTCGGTCATCAACTTGGCATGGCGAGTGGCTTCGAGGGCGCCCAAGAAATTGACAGGCTCTCTGCAATGACGTCTCAGGTAGGTGGGACCCAGGATATCAGCATCTTGTTCCATGATGACTTCGCCAAGCAGAGCAGACACGAATGGAGTCGATGGGGTGGTGAACTTGACTCCATTTGCCAGTTCTTCAAGGTCCTGCAAGATTGAATCCACCTGCGAGGAGTGGAAGGCAAAGGGCACTTTCAGTTTGGTGCACTTCAGGCTCTGGCTGCTAAGCTTCTGAGCGAGCTCATCGATATCGGCACCAAGTCCGCTGATCACGGTTTCGCCGGGCCCATTGATACAGGCAACTTCATACTTGCTCTCATCGCCCAAGAACGGTTTAGCCTGGGTAAATGAGGCCTTGACAGCTAGCATAGCATGCGTTCCAACCTGGCATTTCTCGGTCAGGAGCTGAGCCCGGCGCCCGCAAAGGTAGATGGTGTCGCTGGTTGTGAGAACGCCTGCGACATTCATGGCAGCGTACTCGCCGAGGCTGTGTCCCATCACAAATGCAGGTTTAACCCCAAGAGCGATCCAGTATTTGGCCAAGGCCATCTGCACGCAGGTTGTGCCTAGCTGTGTCACGACCGGGCTCAGTTGCTCAACCGGAATACTGCCGTCAACCAAGGGAAGGAAAGAAGGAAACCCTTGGCTTTGTGCAATGCAGTCAAGGTGCTCGAGGTTGTCCCGGAACTGGGAGCAGATCTCGTACAACTGTTTGCCCATGCCGGTGTACTGAGCCCCCTGGCCCGTGAAGACAAAGCCGACACTGGGGACCTTGGCAGGGACCGGGGTGAAGCTTTCCTGATGGGCCGAGTTGGACAGTGCATCTCTCACTTCCTTCAAGCTGGAACCGGTGGCCGTAACTCGGAACGGATGATGAAGCCGGCGAGCAGTAGTAGTGTAGGCAAGGTTTGCAAGCAGGCTGGACTCGTTGGTGAAGGTTTTCGACTGCTCGTCGATATACTTGACCAGGGAGTCAATGTTGTTCTTGAGGGCCGTCTGCGATTTGCCTGAAACACTGACGATCTGGACCGATCGAGGATCACGGGCGTCCCGATCTTGGGCAGCCGGGCCATCCTCCAAGAGCAGAGCCGTGTTACCGCCAGCTGCCGAGAAGTTGTTGACAAAGACCTTGCGCAGTCCACTCTGCGGGCGGTTCCAGGGAGTCGGCTCAAAGGCAATATGGACATTGCGCTGTTGCAAGTCGGTGGGGAAGTTGTGATTGATCTTGGTCTTGATACCACAGTGGGGAGGGATCATGTTCTTCTTCATCATCATCAGCACTTTGATCAAAGCGGTCACACCAGAGGCGGATTCGCCGTGGCCAACATTCGACTTGGCCGAACCGAGATGAAGAGACTGAGCCGGTCCGCGCCGGTAGTCAGGCGCGAAGACGTCGAGCACCGATTGCATTTCAACTGCGTCTCCGGCCTGGGTACCGGTCCCGTGCATCTCGATATAGCTGACATCTTTAGGATCGAAGTTGGCTTCATTCAGCAATTTATCGAAGATGAACGACTGGGCACCAGCCAGAGGGCGGGTGATCGAGACGGCTTCCGCGGAGTGGTTTGTGTATGCTCCCACAATCACGCCCAAAATCGGGTCATTGTCAGCTTTGGCATCTTCCAGGCGTTTCAAAACCACAGTGCCAACGCCGTCAGCACGACAGTAGCCGTCTGCGCCGTCATCGAACGTGTTGCAATTTCCGGTCCTGGAGAGGAAGTGGCCGCGGTCGAGACCGGCGTGATTGTCCGGGTTGGTCAAGATGTTGACGCCGCCTGCGACGGCGGTATCACAATCGTTCTTCCACAGGGAGTTGCACGCTACATGGATAGCTGCAAGACTGGAGGAGCAGGCGGTGTCAACGCTGACACTGGGGCCACTGAACTTGAAGTAGTAGTTGATGCGCCCCGGTGTGAAGGCACGATTGCCTCCCGGAATGAAGTACGTGTCAACGTCTTGGCCACTGTTCACCTCACGGTAGTCATCACTGGTCATGCCGTAGAAGATTCCCACTCGGTCTTTCTGGGTGGACGGAGTACTGTTTGGAACAATGCCGGCCTGTTCGAGAGCTTCATATGCCGTCAAGAGGGCAAGGCGCTGTGCGGGGTCGGACTGCAGGGCCTCCCGTGGCGAGAGATTGAAGAAGCGTGGGTCAAACAATCCAGGCTCATTGATCCAACAACCATAAGGGATCTGGCTGGTGTTTCTCTTCTTTCCCGTCAGGTCAACGTGGGCATTGACATCCCAGCGGTCCGCAGGAACCTCACGATGCACATCGAGTCCCTGGTAGAGCAAGTCCCAGAATTTCTCGGGGCAAGGGGCGTCGGGAAAGCGTCCAGATAGGCCGATAATGGCGATCCTTGACTGCTCCGATCTGCCAGTCTGGTTGGAGCCGTCAGGGTTTTTCCGGACGTCGCCAAGTCCATTCTCAAGCTCGATACTGGAGACTCCAGCGCGCTTCAGAGCGGTCATCAATCCCTGGGATGCCGAGGTGGAGATGGGATACAGCTTGCATGAAGTGGTACTGGCGGATTTTAGCGTTGACGCGCAAGAATCAACGACTTTGTCCCAGCAAAGCTGATGCAAGAGAATTTCCTCGAGGCAAACTTTCAGAAGATCCTGAAGGTTGTTGGCGTCGATCGGTTCCCCGGAAGTGCTGGACAGGATGGGGATGAGCGGGCTATGCCGAGCAAATTCCTCCTGGGGCCAAGACTCCAGAATTCGGTCAACGTCCCTTCCGTCGTACAGATGAGCTGCATGATACGGGCCGTGAATCGGCACCCTGATTGGCTTATGCTCCTTGGAGAGCTTATTTTCAATAAACTGGTCCAGGATTGCAGGTGGAGCACTGATGGTCAACCCGTTCGAGCTCACAGCACTGATATACGGCTGAGATGAGGGGGGAAGCGCCTAGAATACTGTAAGTATGACAAACCAGGGAAAAGAAAGGTTAGCTGACCTTCGTCGCGGAATAGTCCTGAATCAGTTCCACGGCATCTGCTTCGTGGATTCCCGACACAAGGACCGACCAGGTCGGAGGGCCGGATTTGCTTGGGTCTACCAGATCGCGGACCTTCAGGACACACAATCCCAACCGCAGTGCGAGGACTACGGTCTGAACGGCAACTGGTACAAGCTCACCGACCGTCTTACAGGAGCTGACGGCGGCGGCAGCCAATAGACCGGTGCAGAGACCGATTGCATGACTGTCGGAGCTTGCAGGGTAAGGATGACCGAGATCACCGTAGTAACTACGATTCAAGGTTAGACAGGAAGAAGGTGGGCCTCGTAGTGGGGGGATGAACATACTTGATAAAGCATCCAAGTTGGTAGATGCATGTGAACGCACTTTCGAGAGCAGGGTTGGGCCCGTTCTCGCGGTATCTCGCCAGCAGGTCAACCAGACTGGTAAAGCGAGGAAAGATGGCGCGCTGAGACGGCGGCAGCTTGGTGACCTCGGTACGCAGGGCAAAGAAGGATCTCTGGAAGAAGGAGGTGAGCAGAGAGTTGTTCTTTGCCTCCAGCAGACGACGGAGACCAGCGTCAAAATCGCCTGTCTGATCTCCGAAGAGATAGACACAACCGGACTCCCCCATATTCTTTGTGCCTTTTTACCAGAAAGTTTATTGAAGAATCATTCAAGAAACGAAAGGGACAAGAAAGCTCGGGCATTGTCCTGATGGGACGGATGCTTTATACATAGATTCATTATCACGAGGGAGTGGGGCAAGGCACCCTTGCGTGCACCATCGAGATCGGGGATGGGAGAGGAGGGAGGGAGGAGAAGCCCTTCCCTATCCAGACAGTCAGGTATGCAGAAACCTGCTTCCTCCATGATGAAGCCTGCTGGATAGGGTGACATTGTGCCTCTCTCGGGGCAGTTCTAGAACCCAGCACCGCATCTAGGAAGCCAGGCCTAACGAGAGCCCGTGGTGGTAGCAGCACCGTTCAGAGCCATTCTGCCGGTCATCGGAGCTTCCTAAAAAAAGATAAAATAACAAAAAACTACTACTCAGGGCATGAAGGAGATGAAACGGTTGCGGTGAGAAGAGCTGGATCTGACCCTGACCCCGATAGGGAACGAGACGAACCGAACCGAAACAGTGTTCTCTGACGACATGCTGGGCGGACCGCCGAGCAACCTGAGGGTGGAAATCCCCCCCCCTCCCTGGAATGGATAAGACAAGGTGCCTGGGTGTCAATTCTGCAGTGTCAGAAATCACCCGAAAGGTGGCGGGGCGCCGTTTGCGGTGTCTGAGGCTGCACGAAGTCTCGCCCTTGTCTCGCGAGGGATGCAACTCCTGGATTCTGATTCATTCTCACTCGAAACAGGTCAGCAACGAGCACGTCTCGATCGATGACATCGTTCTCACCTGTAGATCGACGGTCTGGACGACTGTAACGATGGAGGGGGGGGGGCCACGATCGCTGCATTCAGGGAAGGTTGCAACGGAGGGAGCCTGGATGAGGTTCTTTCCTTCCTGTCCCGGCAACGGGTATGTAGCAGTCACGTGGTGTGGCTGCCCTAAGGAGGCTAGTCCCGAACAGGTAAGTGCCGATCCAGCATCCGGCGGACCTGCATTGGGAAACAAACACCGACGCGAGTCTCTCTCAGCCTCTTCCCACCTTCCCACCTTCCCACGCCCTGCAGGAAGGAGAGACACGGCGTGGTCCAGGCATTCCCAGTCCCGACGCGAGGTATGCGAAGCCACCTGTCCATGGATCGACGTGGCAGCCGGTCTGTAACGGTGCCAATTCGGTCAGTGTTCGTCTTGGTTCAACTCTGTCTTGCTGACGTTGGTGAAGGCACAGCAGCCTATGCTTTCCGTGGTACGAAGTTGACTCTTCCCCCCCCTACGTCTCCTCACGTCTCCTCAGTGGAGTGAACGATCCAAAAATATCCTTGACATGAGTGACAGGAAGACAGTTGGGGGACTATTGAGGCCGGCAGTGAGGGTGAACCTTGATTTCTTGGTTTTTTTTTAAAAAGAAAAAGGCATGTCCAAGACTAATTTTATCCCGCAGCTCGAGGGTGATGCCATGGTTCAGATAACCCACCAGAACCTGGACCAGCCACCTGATGCTAAGGCCTCTCCTCTCCTTGCTAGGGGTAACCTTGAGCCGGTCTATCAGATAGATGTATCAGTTTTCTTCCACTATCACTGCCTCCCTACCTGATAAGACACCTGAAATGACAATCTCAACGCCACGGGAGAAGGAAACTACCTCGAGTCCACTCAGGACTCGTCGTATCAGCACATGGCTCCATGGGGAGGCCCGCAGGTGTTTGTCTCCCTTCCCCCGAGAGTCCTGCCGGCCAAGAGCGAGAGCCTTGCAGATAGCGACCTATGCCTGCATGGTAATCTAGTCCGATGAACTAGAGACATGAGCAGTTTTCTCAATTCAGATTGCCAATAAGCTATGCTTGAGCTATCACCGAGGAGTATTGCTGTTACTGACCGATTCGATAATAAGCTATTATCTTAGCTTTACTCCCATCTACAATGGTACTAAAGCTGAAGTGAAAGCTGGAATGAATGAGAGTATATTGAAATAACAACCAAAGCCAAACCAAATAACCAGTACAAACGCCGATAAAGGGGAATACCCATGTCCATGCGCCCCACCTGTCTAAGAACCCCAAAATCCTGTACTCAAAACAAGGTAATGAACGTGGCTGTATGCCCAACCAAATAATGCACATAAGAAGAGAATGCATATAGCAGACAATGCATTAAACAGAGAGAGAGAGAGAGAGGGAGGGAGAGAAACGCATATGTTCCGTGTATGTTCGTGTATGTTTAGATGGCGTACTCTTGAGGAACCTCAGGCCAGACATCCGTGCCGTCGAGGAGGGCGACACCCATGCCGTTGAGAAGATGGGTCTCGATGTGGCAATGGAGCAGGAAGGGCCCCGGGTTGACGACCTGGTAGCGGACGAGCAGCCAGGTGGGCCCGTTGGGGCTGTTGGTGACAAAGGTGTCGCGGTACTGCGGGTGCTCGAGCTCGAAATTCTGCGGGCTCTGCTCGATGGCCTCCTCGACGGAGGACCAGTTGAAGTAGCCGTCGCCAAACCCGATGATGAACGCCTTGTTGGAATGCTTGTGGATGACGTGCGGCGCTTGGATGTCCGGCGTGTTGGGCATGCTGCCTGCCTGCAGTAGGAGATCGACCCAGGTACCGTTCTTGGTTTCAATGGTCACCTGCTCGGGCAGGTTCTTGCGCGACTCCACGTCAAACAGGATCGGTGAGTCCAGGTTGGCCGAGATGTTGTACAGGGCATGACCCTCCAGGGTCCACTGGTACGACGATCCCATCCGGCCAAAGGTCAGGTTCACCAGCTGGTCGGCCGTGCGGGGAATCTCGATCCTGGGGTAGGGAGGCAGGCGGGTCAGGTTCAGCGCGACCACGTCGGCAGAGGTGTTCGTGCCGCCGTAGGTGACGTAGGGCTTCGAGTCGCCCAGGTCCTGGCCACCCTTGTACTTCATCTTCGCAAAGCCCGCAATGATCTGATCGCCGTTGGTGTCCGGGACGCGAATCGTGTAGTCCCTGGGCGTTTTGTCCAGCTTGATCATGACCGAAAACCGTTCGCCGTTGAAGATCGAGAACTCATCCACCTTGCGCGGTTCGATATAGTGTCCATCGACCTCGTACACCCACATGGGATGCTCATCGATCGAAACCACCAGGGACTTGAGGGTGGTGGCACCAATGAACTTGAACGAAGCCCAGCCATCAGCAGGGTCGACTTCGAGTACCTCTTGGAACCCGGCGCTCGCAACACATCCAGAGTTGAGTCCGTCCGGAATCACCGACTCGTCATGGCTGAAGTTGCCTTGGGTCTTGTAGATGTTGGGATAGCAGCTATGGAGTTGTCAGCATTCTGATCAGGAATTAAGGTCAAAGGGAGAAAGGGAAAAAAAAAAACTCTTGTACATACCCCTTGTCAGAAAGTGGCTGGTTGGCAATTGAGGCCTTCAAGTAGGATGTCTCCAGGCTGGCAATCTCTTCAGAGCCCGGGCAGTAGATCGCGCCCTTGCCGTTAATCAGAACGCTGTCAACACAGCTGCAGTGGAACACGTCAGTCATGCACGCAGAGAGTATGTTGATCCGGGGAGAACTTACAAGAGATCCAGACCACTCTCAACCTGTAGATTCTGATACTCTTCCGAGGTCAAATGATCCCAATCAGAAAGCACGACCAGGTTGGTGTTGAGTTCGGCTTTTTCCAGGTTCTTAATGTCGGTCTTATCCTGAGAGATCAGATCCCAGGGGGCCGGAGTTCCAGGGGCAGGGCTAGATCGGTCAGCTCGAGTCTCGCAAAATGTTTTGTTTTGTTTTTTGTCCTCTTCGAGGGCAGACTTACTTGATCTGGATGGCACCGTAGAGGCCATCAAACATGGTTCCACGGTCATGAGAGTGGTACCTATGATCGTTGTTAGCAGGGCTCAAAAGGATGAACGCCTATGAATCAAGGGGGATCTCCTACCAATAAACACCATACTGAGTGGCAGTCCATTTGTAGGTGAAGGAATCTCCCGGCAAGATAGGTTTCTGAGACAGACCAGGAACACCATCTGACCAAGGGGTATTCAACATCCTAGAAGAGAAGAGTCAGGATGGATAGTCCAGTTGGATAGTATGATTTCGGGTAAACAGAGCACATACTCGACACCGTGGAAATGGATTGAAGCGTTGAACGGCATGTTGTTGTGAACAACGAACTCGACCTCGTCGCCTTGGTTGATTCGCAGCTCCGGACCGGGGAACTGCCCGTTCATGAAGACCATCTTCCGGGTTTCACCGTTAGGAGCACCATCTTCCCAGGTCAGATCGAGTTCGAAGTTGACCAGCTCGGCCCATGCTTTAGGGGCTAGGGCGATGGCGAGCGCCATCCAGGGCTTCCAGGGCGTCATGATGGGGGAGTGTGTGGATAGCTAGAGCGAGTGGCTGGTAGGGAGGAGAGAGCCTTGAGGGGATGAGAAAAGCTGATAGTTCCAAACCCTTTGGACCTTGGAATACAACTGTCTCCTTTGTAGGGAGGATAGGCCAGACAATTAATAGCCATGATCTCTGATCCCTGTTTACTCGAGAACAAGATCATTGTGGCGTTTTCGGCAACCAAAACCAATTTTAGCAAGATGAAAACACTTGGAATAGCAAGCAGGATTGAAGATCCGATGTTTGCATGAAAGCTTTGTTGATAGTTGGCCCAGATTCGTCCAGAAGCTATCCCGGGTTGTCGCTGAGAACGGTATCTGGTAAGACATAGGAGCTTCGGTATCGCGCCGCACAAGATGAAGATCGGCAAAGACACTAGACCTCAATAAGAACAGGTCTCTAGGCATGATCGGGGAGCTATCTAGAAAGAAAGACGTCTGTGCAGAAGCCAAGACCACCGTTCACAGCGGTCGATGATCGATCCCCAATCCATCGAGCCTCACCCGGATCGACACCGACTATTCAACGATATTCGACTCTATGATCATCCTGTCGCTCATTCAGACCCGTGGAGGGAAACTCTAAAGCCAATCCATCGTTATCAGTCCAACCGTCCTTACTTGGACGAAGCCTTTATCATTTGCAATAGTCCATGCACGCAAGGATACCCGCCAGGACAGAGTTGGTGTCGGTTGACTACTAAGTCAGTGTCTGAGAGCAGAAAGCAATGCAATTGGCCACACGCGAGGGAAGGGCTTGTTTTCTTTTTTTTGTTTTTCCATGTGAGTGGAAATCGAGATCCTGAGGCCTGCTGCGCATGCGGAGCACGGAGGACTCCGTACTCGATAAAGTACAGTAGACCGAGATGCCAATTTCGCATAACTGGATGCAAACAAAAGCTCCGAGTTGAGTTTCACGCACCCAACCTTTGATCGCACGCAGGAACCGAGACAGAGCAGCGTGATCCAAGCCTGTGATTGGGAGATGGGCGGGAAGGGCAATGCTGTGTCTCATGAGGCCTGCAGCAAGGGATACATCCGCATTCGGCAGTCTATTTGGCTCAATGCAGGGCACTGTGGGATCGCTGGAATGCAACCTAACTCCACCGGGAGGCGATCTTCAGAGGGTCACGCCGTTTCCACCTTCATCGCTCTGTGTGTGGTGGAAGCTTGATCTCTCTCTCTCTCTCTCTCTCTCTCTCTCGTGCGGATGCCAGTGTCTCTCGAGCAACAAGGACCCAACCAGTTGACCACCACGACTGGCTTAAACCAGTTCCAACCAGGAAATTTTTGTCTCAATTTTTCTTCCGGTTTTCCTTCTCTACTTCCCCGTAATAATCTGGTTTTTTTTTTTTTTTTTTTTCTTTCATTTCCTGCTCTTGTCGTGGGGCGTAGAGAAGTTTTCGTTCTTTGTCTGCTCTTTCCTCCCAACTCAACCAGACCAATTTTCTCCAGCATTCGTCGTTCGAATAGAATGGCCTGCAACCATGGATCCCCAGGCGATCTAGTCTGCTTCTCCGCCGCGTACCAAACCCCGGTTGTATTTGCGTGAAACTAGCGTCAGTCACAGCTGTCAGTAGTCGAGACAGAATAATTCCATCAACAGTAGCGAGTACAGACATCCTCTCTAGGTATCCTCGTAACTAGATGTCGTCAGGCAGGATTATTGACAGATTCGACTCCCCCTGTATGCCTCCCTCGTTCTCGTCAGTGCGTAACTCGGGCAGGCTGCAGTGACGTCTGCGGTATGCAGGTCCTAGACAGGGACAACGCATCTCAACAGCTCCATCCCCAGTCATCAGAACAACGAGACAGGGACTGACGATTCCTTACCTCGTATCCTATCTCGTGATATAGAACTCTCTCGACTGCTGGCCTTGACTGTGGCCCTGCTCTGCTGTTGTTTTGTTACTGTCAGCCTTCAGCCTTCAGCCTTCAGCTTATCGATAAGCGTGACCCCAGCGCTAGTCCCAAACAGGCCCTGATGTAAACAGTGCAAACAAAACATTCGGGCCTCACCGTCTGACGCTCCTCGTCCAGCTCCAGCCGCTCGACACGCTCCAGAGCCGAAGTTGACTGCGGCCTGTGCCTGTGTTTGCGAGCGGAGGGCCGTTGGTGGTTTGTGAGCTTCTGATTTTGACTGTCTTTGAGTGCCGCCTCGCCTTGTGTGTGTCTCCTGCGCCGCCTGCCTGGCCGTGAATCCATCGCTGTCTCTCGTTTCAGAGCGACCGTGCGCTGGGAGGCAGTCGCCCGCCCTCAGCACGAGCTCTGGGTCTCCGTCTCCGTCGCCACGCTCCCTCGGTTTCGTGTCGCTCGTTAATCTTCCGGCTGGACAGTCTAGGACAGGACGCATTGAACGGAACGCACGCTACGCTGTGAATAGGTGGTCGCCATGGCGCCCGCGGCGCCTCAGCTGCCGACCCGGTTCCCATGCTGGTGTCGGGCCGTGTACTCGTGGGGAGGAGAAACCAAGCGGGATCTGGGATTTGTGGAGGGCGACCTGATCGAGTGTCTGAATGCTGGCGATGGGCAGTGGTGGATGGGCCGTCTGCGTCGTGACCGGCGCATGGTGGGATTGTTCCCGTCCAACTTCGTCGAGGTGCTGAGTGAAGACTTCGTCCCTGTGAGCGTCTCGACCAGCCCCATGGTCAAGGCGACCGCCTCGCCCATCGGGAACCCGACCTTTGCGCCCAAGAAGCAGAAGACCGTCTTCCGGAAGCCCTTCCAGGCTCATAAGGAAGCCCTGTCGCCCGCAGGCGAGCTGGCGGCGCGGAGTGCCACTGCTACGACGACGACCACAGTGACGCCTAGCTCCATCCCTCTGACGCCTCCTCGGGCAGGGAGTCTGCCTCGGAGAGTCAGGCCCCTGCGCTCTCGTACGACCGCCGTCAAGCAGGAGAATCAGCCCATCTCGAGACGCTCCTCCCGCTCCCAACCGCCGCTGTCGCGCGCGGTCTCGCCACAGCCTTCCCCCCGGACGTCGCCACAGCCGCCGTCGCACATCGCACCGCGCACGGCGATGAGCCCTGCGACGAGTCCGGCTCCGATTCCGGCTCACCTCTCGCCATCACCAGCTCCTCCGTCTCCCAGGATGCGCTCGCCGGTTCGCCTGTCGCCGGGTCCGCCTTCTCCCGCGCCCGCGGTACCCAGCCATGCCCTGTCACCATCTCGACCGACTTCCCGGGAAGTGTCGCCCTCGCAACCGTCAGCGAGGGAGGAATCTCCCCCTCCTCCACCCCCTCCTCCACATCGCGTCGCAGTCACCCGCCAGCCATCACGCAAATCACGATCACCAGCGCCGCTGGATATGAACGATCGCTATGTCACCTTCTCCAGAACCCCATCTCCCGCGGCGCGACCCGAATCGCGTACGCGCACCCCGTCCCCGCTCCGAGACGCCATGGAGGACGTCATGTCTTCGTTGGAAGATATGGGTTTACCCAGGCAAGGAGAAGACAATGCTCCTCCTTCCCCGCCTCCTGCCTTTGGCAACCCCTGGTCGCCCGATGCGTACGATAACATGCAGGTCGCCCGGCCGTTGCAGACACGCCGCCGTCCGGTAACGTCTCAGGGATTCAACGGTGGTAGGGACCAGGATCCATATGAAGAAGCCCAGCGCCAGAGACTCACCACATACACGCCCGATCCTTACATGGATGGGCCTCCTCAACTCAACAACTACGTGCAGCGGATGGAGAGCCGGCTCCGCCAACTCCAGGAGCGCAGAGCCTCCGAGGATGTGCAGTATGGGGAGGACGACGAGGGAGGAGCCCCGCCGCCTCCGCCCAAGAACGTGCCGTATCGAGGGCGCAACAATTCCATCCCCGTCCAGCCCCTACCCCTACGAGGCCAACGGTCTGGCCATAATCTCCGAGACGATGTTTTGAATCGCTCCTATACCAACAAGTCGACCGCGACAACCTCCTCCAGCGGTATGCAAAGCGTCAGCACGAATGTCACCACCAGCACGGATCGAACCAGCCAAAGCTTGATGAGCGGACCCTCGGCCGGTGGGTTCAGTGCGACGAGTGCAGGGAGTTATGCGAGGAGGGGGGCAAACGGCTTGACCGGTCGCCCAAGTACCGCCATGGATTTGTTCCGTTCCAGAGGCTTCAGCGACGTCTCCAAGACCCAACGCCCCGAAACGCCGCTGACAGGAATATCGTACCACTCGAGTCATAACAGCTCCCGACAGGGCGCCTCGTCCGCGATTCCCTGGTCAGCCACGGCGGCCAATAGCCCCGGCGAGTCCCCGGGGGTCTTTGGTGGCTTGTCCACGCCCAAGGCCAAGAAACACGGCTTCTTCAAAAAGATCCTCGAGTCGGCCAAAACGGGTGCCGCCAGCGCCCGGAGCAGCATCTCGGTCGGCCAGAGCGGTGGTTCTTACTCGCCTTCAAAGGGCCGGTTGTTGACGGACACGGCGTCCTCCTCCCCCTTCACCTCGCCGTATTCGAGTACCCGCGACCACACCCGGGACATGGGATTGGTCTCGGCCGGTGCGATTGACTGGGTGCAGGTTCGCCGCGATGTAAACCGGGCGACATCGCCGAGTCGCAATGAACGCGTCGAGCGGGCCGAGCGCTGCCAGATGATGGATCATCCGGTCATCTACGCTGTCGAGGAACTCTACGACACCGCAGAGGGAGATGAAAGTATCGACGGGCTACCGATCCATGAGCCGACCAACTTCGGGACCTCCAACCTAACGCTGGTGGATAAGAGCGCCCGGTTCGTCAACAGCCTCCCTCCAATGACCAATGCAACCAGCCTGGCTCAGGGATACATCTGCCGGCCGTACAAGAGCGACGTGCAGCGACTCCGGGCCATCTTCACCTGGGTCAGCGAAAAGATCGCCTGGGACGACCCCGTCGAGGAAGAGGTGCAGATCGATCTCCAGCGGGTCGTGCACACCCGGCGCGGCAGCCCGCAGGAGGTCGCTCATCTTGTTCGAGAGATGTGTGCCGCCGTCGGCCTGCACGCGGAGACGGTCCATGGCTTTCTCAAGACGCCCGGCGACCTGTTCGAGCTGGACAGTCTGGCGCGGCCGAACCACTGGTGGAACTCGGTCCTCGTGGATGGCGAATGGCGTGTGATGGACTGTTCGCTGGCGAGTCCGACCAACCCCCGCCGCACACAGTTCGTCACCAACAACTCCTCGATCGCGGAGAGCTGGTACTTCCTGGCTCGCCCGATGGAGATCTGCTACACCCACGTGCCTCTGTATCCGGAGGAGCAGCACATCTGCCCGCCGATTCCCCCGGACGTCCTCCTGGCTCTCCCGACCGTGTGCCCGCCCTACTTCAAGAACACCGTCCAATTCCCGGACTACGACACCAGCATCATCCGCATCGAAGGGCTGGAGCTCCTACAGATCCGAGTCCTGGTGCCCCCCGACGTGGAGTGCGCGGCGGAAGTCGAGGCGCCGGCCTTTGCCCGCGACGCCGACGGCGACTTCTTCGAAAGCGGCGACATTGTGCGCAAGCGAGCCCTCGTCCAGCCGGACTGGATCTGCGGACAGAAGCGATACACCATCAAGGCGGTGCTGCCCGGCGACGAAGGCCAGGGCGTTCTCAAGGTGTACACGGGGAAAAAGGGCCTCATGCATTCGAACCGCGACATCCCACACCCGCTGGCGCTGGCGCTACCCATCATCCATACGGGCGAAAATCCCCCCTACGAGTTCGTGCAGCGACACCCGACCCCCCACGCGCAACGGCATGACCTGTACATCATGCAGCCGCAATGTGCGCGACTGGCGATCAACAACACCTTTGTGTTTGCCGTCCGCCAGCATCCGTCCTCCTCGATGGCCGCAACAACAACAACAACGTACCCAGACACCACCACCACCACCACCACCACAGGTATCGGTATCGGCAGTGGCAGCATAGGCGCCCGCCGCGACTCGAGCACCAGCGGGCGGGTCTCGCCTTCGATGTTCATCCGACCGTCAAGCGCCCTGAGCATGGTTTCCAGCTCGGCGGGGGGGTCGACAGTGTCGACGGTCTCGAACGAGTTCTCGGCCTCGACTTCGGCCATCTCGTCGACCCGCACCTCCTCCGCGTCCGGCCGCGAGAAGCCCGCCAAGCTGGCCATCCAGTCCCCCTCGGGCAAGATCCTACGTCTGAACCGGAAAGCAGACCATATGATCGGGACGGCTTCTGCCGGCGGAGGAGCTACAGAACTCTCGGCCGCGGACGCGCCCGCCGACGGCAGCGTGTGGGAGACGGTGATCAAGATCGGCGAGCGAGGCGTCTGGCGCGGCCTTGTTCTGGCGGACCGGGTGGCGAGGTGGTGTGTGTTTTGCGAGTGGGAGTGTTTCTAACGCAGTAATACAAAAAAAACAACCCATTTACTCTTTTCATCTGCCATCAGCGTATCTTCTTTCTTTTTTTCTTCTTCTCTTCAAGGTCAGGTCTGGATAGGTCTGGAGTTAGGAGGAGATTCACCTGCCACCCTTTACTTTCTGCACTAGATTTGATTTCTGATGTCTCGATATCTTCTGTTCTACAGCTAGAATAGACATGATAGAGTACAATCTATGTATTATTATGACCTCATGTCCTTCTACTCTATATGTATGGAAATGATAACTATGTAACTATGTAGCTACATGCCAAACACTCCGTACCAAGGGCGCAACCTGCTTCCTACTCTTCGTCACGTCCGTCTGCATCCATACCCGTCGCCAACCGAGCTGTCCCTGTCCCTCTGCATTCAACGTAGAGCGAATCCCGGCCTCCCCGTCCCACTGTCGCAGCCCGAGGTCGTGTTCTGCCCTGTTCGCAAAGGATTCACACTTGGCCACGGCGTGCTCGGTTACCGCCCAGAGAAAGAGTTCGCGGCGGAACTCGCCTCCGCCGTTCTTCTCGTCCGTATTGAACGCCGTCATGAGGACGAGGACGTCGAGTCCCCTCTGCCTCGCAAAGGAGTACATCTCTTCCACCAGGGAGGCGGGTGTGCCTGCGCGACCAACCACCCAGTGCAACGGTCTCACCACCGCGCAAAACCCGATCTTGACTTCCTCCTTTTCCTCCCCCGCGGCACTCCATTCCTTGTAATCTCTATCCAGGATCTCCTCGACAGTCAACAGGTCAAGACTGGATGCCTTCGCCTCCCGAACTGCCTGGAACAGAGGTTTCGAGTCCCACGCCGCATCCTCCCGGGACCGGGACTGGATCTGGTCTTGTAGAAACGAAACCGACGCCCGGTCGACTTGCATGACCCGTCCCTCGGCAGTAAGGTTATTCGTGTCGATGAGAATAGCAGATAACGCCAGTTTGGCAGGTCCACAGAGCTCCTCGCTGCCTCCATCATCGTCATCCGAGACTTTCGGGTTACCCCCCCACATTCCTCTCTTGCGCAGCTCGTCGACTACCAGCGAGGCACATGAGCCCGGCCCAACCTCGACGCGCCCCAATACCTGCGGAGGAAGAAAGCCCTCGTCAACGTGGTGGTCGATACAGCCTTGGATTCTGAACGTCACGCGTTCCAGACCGGTGAGCGCGCCTTCGCCCGCGGTGGATGAGCGCAGCGGCAGGGCGTTCCAGTCGACCAGCGTTGCATCGAACGTAGTAGGGATATCTTGCTTCCTCTTCTTCTTCTTCAAGTCTTGGATCTGCGCGGCAAAATCCGCCACCGTTATCAGGTGCTCGCTGAGTGTGCTATCCACGAGGCTCGCCGTTTCCTTTCTGCTCTCTGTCGCCAACGACAAGGCCGTCACAAATTCCGGGCGCAGTCTGCGCAGCTCTGCACCCCCGCGCACGTCCGGTAGATTTATTAGCGGGATATGCGGCCGTCTGATGCTTTCATGGCTTTCGTCGCCATTGGTACTATTGGATCCGCTGGCAAAGTAGGCGTACACGATCGCTGAGACGATCGAATCGAGGTCTGCGGACGGATTGCCCACGACGTAGACAGGCGACGCGGCGGACGCTGCCAGTGAGCCCGTAAGATGCTGGACGTGGAGTCTCACGGATTGCCGAAGAAATTGGAGCAGGGAGATGCGTCCTGATAGATGTTCGGCCATGCTGTCGTTGTGTTTTGGCAAGAGTTGGTTTCGTCAACTGGTTACTTCTTCATCTTTTCTGACATCATGGCAGAACTCCACCGCCTGTAACCATTATATATATAACTGTCCCCTAACTCTATACATACTACTACGAAGCCTTTTTAGTCGAGTGGTTAGGTACTTGATTAATGATTTCTCACTTGGATATATATATTTCTAGTTTCATCGAGTACAATTCCTTCAACATATACGACTATGAAGCTACTATATCGACCAGCTAGACAAGTATAGAATGAACGAATCTTTGCTCAATCTGTTGAGCTCTAAAGTACACGCAAGACGACCGCCTCGCCAGGAACAGGGATGGGAATAACGCGACAGCAACGAGCAGAAAGAACAGCAAAAGAGACAGTAAAATAGCAAGCGGGCAATATACACGTACACAAGGGAGGCTTGCAAGGTTGACTGTGGTATCCCTGCACCCTTTTTAATACACCTCTCAAGACACCGAAACCCAGAAACAGAGAGACAGAGAGTAACAACAACAAACAACAAGAGCAGTTTAAGAAAACATAACAATCATGTCTGGAACAGGGAAAACAAAAGAAAGAAAAACCACGAGACCGCCGAATCTGCTCCCATAAGAACCCCCGCATTTCTGGTGGTGGAAACGCCGTAATAGACAAGGCCGACCATCTCTGATCAGATGCAGAAAGGAAAATAGAAAAGAATAAAATATCGTCATGGGGTAGGAGAGCAATAGTGTGGAATATCGGAGGAGGTGATGTTTTTTTTTTTTTTTTTTTTTTTTTTTTTTCAAAAGTCCCCACCGCTGTCAACTATGTTGACTGACGGTTCATTGGACAGCCCGTTCATTGCACTGCCGGAAAATTCGTCGTGTGATGCAGAGTCGGAATGGTCCCCGTTGCTCGCGTCAAGGACCTCTAGAGCTTCGTTGACGTGCGTGTTCTCCATGATGTCGGGCTCAGGCTCTTGCATGGACTCCGATTCCGGCTCCACCACATCCTGATTCGTAAGATCCGCGAATACATCATCCAGACTCTGCCGTGGACTGCTGCCGAACGGGTTGGCGCTGTCGACGCCCACGGGGGCAGGGCCCTCATCATGGCTGTCGCGGTTGAAGCGAGGCGGACTGAACATCGCCGGATCTAACCCCTGATGCGGAGCAGGACTGGGCGAGCGCGCAGCCAGGTGAGGCAGGAAGGCTGACGAGGAGCCCACCGCCGGGGCAAAGGCGGGCGTCGAGTCGTTGGACGCCAGGGAGAAGTTAGCCGAGAACGGATACGACTCCGTCGGTGCGTCGGTCAATGTCAACGTCGGACCACCACCGACACTGCTGGCTGCTTCGGAATGGCGGCTCTCGCCACCAGGGGTGGTGGTACTGGTGGTATTGATGGTGGCAGCAGCGGTTGTTGGGGTGGCCGGCTGGAGAAGGTTTGTCGGTCGGGCTGTCTGGGAGTCCAGAGACTTCCGCTTCGTCAGGCTGGGCTGTTTGGTTCGTAGATGCGGAGGCAGATCCTCTGGACGGTCCACGCCGAGCTGCGCCATGATCTTCTGCTGCTTCGTGGGCCGCGGCTTGCGGGTAGAAAGGGACTGCTCCAGGATCGGCGGCGGCTCGGGGGCAACGGGGGCCCATTTGTGAATCTCCTGTCGGAACAAGTTTGTTTCGTAGGCCAGAAGGACCTCGGCACCCTCAATCTTGCGAAGATAGAAGAGGAGAGTGGGCACCTCCTCGGTTGTGGTGCAGGCGGCATTGGTGAAGCTCTGCAGAAAGTCTCGGAAGGCGGTGGCCTGGTTGATGATGTTGTCTAGGATTTCCTCCTCGTCCGGTTGGAACGGTAGCGATGCAATCTCTGCCTGCCACTCCAGGAGATCCTCAAGCTTGGGACGAGCTGCATCCCGGGGGATCTTGCGGCGCCAGTCACAGATCGGGCAGGTGTATTTATCGAATTCCTTGACCTTGCCACGGGCAATCTTCAAGCATTTGCCGTGGTACCTGACACGGTTAGTATCTTCTTTCGCATATATAACCAAAGAAAAAACTCGGTATGTTACCATTCATGACAGACTTCACATTCGATCATCATGCCTGCTTCTGACTGTCGGCAGATGCAAAAGACATCTCGCACCCGAGACTTTCGTCCCCACATGCTGTTCGTGGTTGAGGGCTCGAGCAGGCCGTCCGGGCTGTTGTCGCGCGAGGCGGGCTCGACCGGCGGCCGACATCGATCTTCCAGGTCGAAGCAGAAGGAATTCCGCTTTTCCACATACTCCATGTGAGATTTTAAGATATGCAGCGGGGCGTTTGCCTTGCCAAACAACTTCTTGCCCTTGCGCATCCAGTCTTCGTGACGTTTCTGCTCACGTTCCAGGTCGATTGCTCCCGTAGGTCGGCTGTTCAGCTCTTCCAACGACTCCATTAGCTCCCGGATCTCACGATACTTGGGGCGCTGACGGAAATCCGAATCCTTGCTGCGCTCGTACAGGCTCTGGATACGCTTCTGCGCTTCGCGCTGCTTGGTCAAGATCGCATCTACGGCGGCGAGCGTGTCCGGGGAGACCGGGAAGCGAGAGGCCTGGGCGGAGAGGGCTTCGAGCTGCTGGTAGTGAACGGCTTCTACAGACATTAATTCCTTGGCTTTGGCTTCCCACGTCTCACCGTGACGAGAGAGGTCCTTGAAATGCATCAGATGGTCGTTGGTTTCGCCAAGTCCCAGTTGTTCGCCGGCGAGGATCAGCTCCTGGCATTCCTTGAGGGTGAGGTACTGATCACGCTTGCGGCGCGCCTCGTCGTTCCATTTCATCTGTCGCAGGATGTGCTCCAGGCCGCTCACCTCGGGGATATCCACGTTGAAGTTCCGACCGGATTCGACAAGCTCCTCGACCTCCTGGACCGATCGGATATGCGGGTTTATGAGCGCAGCGTTAACGTCCTGGCGGAATTTCTTGATCTCGCGGGTTTTCTCTTCCAGAGCCGCCATCTGTGGACAGTCGAAGGACAGTTTATCAGCCTCTGCAAGAAGGGCGTACAGGTTTTCTACTCTGCGGACTTCGCGGTCCCGTTCTTCCAGCTGCGCGGCCTTGGAATTGCCCTTGCGCCAAGCTTTCTCGTTTTTTCTGCGATTCTGCTGCTTCCGGGTGATGTAGTTGTTTGCTTCCTCAACCCACTTGTCGCAGCGCTGGACGAAGGCCGCGAGATCATGGAGACCAGGCAGATGGTATGGGATTTTCTCACCTTCACTGAGCAGGTTATGAAGGACCTTCAACTGCGGCTTGGGTTCCTCGTCCAGGGTCTTGTCGAGCTTTTCCTCCCATACTTCGGGAATCCGGGCGCGGTCTCGGACTTTCTGCACTAGAGTCTTGAGCGAGTCGTCGCTCATGCGGCAGCGGAACGTGTGGTTCGGACCGAGCAGTCGTTGGCCCAACGGCTCCCCGCAACAGTCGTAAGCCTCCACATGCTTGAGACAGACCGTCTTTCCGGTCTTGTGGCACCGGGACTGGGTCAGATAGGTGAACGCTTTGCAGTACTGACACTGATAGTCCTCTTCGGGCAAATCATCTTCCTCGATTATAAATTTGACCTGGCAGTCGCCGGCCTCGGCGGCGTCGGAGTCAAACTTGCAGCGGTGCGGATTGATCTGTTTGTGCCGAGTCACCCATGCGGTACGCTCCGCCAATTCGCGGTTGGCTAGACGTTCTAGGGCCGGAGCCAGCCACTTGGCGGTTTTGATGGAGGTATCGCGGATCGCAGCCGTCAACAGGAGCTCGTCGTGAGAAAAGCATGGATGTCGTCTGAACGCTTGCAGACGCTCGACACCGGCTGCACCAAAGGGTTCCCAATCCACGGGCGCGAAGTTGACCGCCTCGTTGAAGTTGAAGCCGTGATTGAAGCCGGCGTGGTATCCTTGAGGGAAGGTGATGACAAATTGACCGGCTCGCTGGTCAAGCGCGTAGACATTGACCCCGGCCTTGCGGAGTTGGTCCGGAGGCATCAAGGTCACCAGTTGGAAGAGAAGATCGGGCTGGCTCTCGAAGAGTTCCGGGACAGCCTGACGCATTGCCTCCTCGAACGCCTCTGCATCAGATCCGGGGATTCCATACCACGTCTTGGTGGCACCAAAATGTTGGTAGTTGGCCGAATAGGCGTAATGATCTTCGTTGTGCCAGCAAAAGGTGGAGAAGCACATGCCAACGTAGACCCAGGGCACTGTCATCCCGGAGATGTCGGATTTGGTGTGACGGAAGAGGGACTCGCCGTGAAAGGGGAGAACATTGAGATTCCAGGGGTCAACCGAGTACGGGTTCAAAGGATTGCGTTCAACGGTGGGAAACCCACTGCCGTGGGTGGTGGAATGGATGTCGGCCCCGTATTCGACCTCGACGGTTTCCGTCAAGTTCTCCACGAGTCTCCAGAATTCTCGCTCGACATCGTCCTCGGACTCACGTCGGTGGGTGTTGAGAACAGGATCAAATGGCATCTTTGACGCAAAGTAATTCTTCTTGAAGTTATTTGCCTTCTCCTGGAACTGCTTTAGCGAGTAGACTCCGCCTTCTTCAAACCCGAATTCTCCCGTGCCTACAAGGCACTTGGGACAATGCCAATCGTATCCCGGCGTCGTCGACAGTGGGGGGTCTAAACAATGCCTGTGATAGCCGTTCTCACAGCTATCGCAGACGAGGATAGACGAATGATCATCATTTCTGCCGCACGTTTCGCATTTCTACAGATAAAATTTCTCAGAGGATGTTCAATGGTATTGCAAAAAGAAAAAAAAAAAAGAGAAAGAATTTTACTTACCTCACCGGTCCGTCGACTGCCATTCTTCAGCCCCCTTGGCGGGGCAGGGCGAAGCAAACTCATATGAGACCCAGCAACAGTCGGAGGGGGCAGTGCATCTAGAATCCGATTGGTGAGTCGTTGGGCAAGTGTACCTCAAGGGGGAAAATAGGAAAGAGAGGGGAAAAAAAAACAAACATACCTTTCTTGAGACGCTTGCTCCGTCGCCCGCTCCCGCCGTCGTTGTCGCCGTTCTCTGTCTGCGAGCCACCAGTTGCGCTCTCGTGGCTAATGGCCCGTTTCATAGAGGACGGTCCGAGGCCGTTTGGAGCCGGGGTGGAAGCTCCAGTATGGTCTGCAATGCTCTTGGGGGTAAGGGACTCGGGTTCGATTTCCCGTTTGACCACTGGTGCACTGGTGGCGGGGGCGAAGGAGGGCGAGCGGTTGACTGCCGTAAACCCACCAGGATTGGCATTGACCGCAGTGAATCCACCGGCAGCTGTCGGCCGCGGGGGAACTGGGGTGGTTTCCACGGGTGGCGTTGCGTTATCCGGGGTGGGGTCGACCTCCATTGGGGTGGCCGCCTTGAGGGCTGGAGACCCCTGGTTGGTGGTCGAGGGGGTGGGATTGGTGCTGGGGGTGGGCTTCTTGGGCAGAGGCGAATGGTTCGGTGACGGGGTATAGGGACCACCATGTTCTAGCTCGAGCTGCTGCTGGACGCCGGGCTTCGCGACGCGCAGGTATTCCTCGTAGGGCTGGAGCCAGCGCTGGTAGGAGTTCTTGAGCGAGGTGGACAGCGAGGACATGATCTTGCCGCTGTAGCCGAGATCGCGGCCGATCTCCGCCCACTTCTTCATCTTGCAGACGTTATCGAAACCTCCGCGGACCTCGACGGCCTTCTTCAGCTTGTAGAGATCCAGCGGGCGCTTGTCGACGCTGGGAAAACGGTTGAGACTAGTGCCATGCTGTTTGTGAAACTTGGCAAGCTGGTCGAGGTAGTTCAAGTTTGCACGGGTTCCTGGTTCCGGGTCAGAACTAGGCTGCGGAGCTCCACCGGCAGCAAACGCAGCTGAACGCGGGGGCATACCTCCTTCGACCGAGTTGAGCTCCTGACGGCGAGTTTTGAAATGGAATCGCTAAAGTAGGGGGAAGGTTCATGTTAGAAAAACTTTCGATTGCCGGTGTGGGAGGTAGTAGAAGGGAGGCAAAAAATACCTCTGTGTCAATCGCAAATGGCGGCTGCCAGTTGTCCGGCGGGATGACCCTGCAGATACCATATTTCCTGCCCTCGGGGGCGATCTTGCGTATGTACTCTAACGGATCCTTGAACTCCTCCTCGGTCGGGCGAAAAGTGGGCGCCTCGGGGATCCCGTGCGGGCGAACGCGTTTGCCGGGCTCTCGCGGGGCATTGGGCTGACCACGTCTCTCAACAGAGGAGAGATCAAGTGGCGCCGAGCGACGAGCGCTCAAGGGCACATTGTGCGAATGCGACGGATGGGTGCTGGCGGAGCGGGTGGGCTGACGGCCAGCCGCTGACGGCTGCAAGACCGTCGTCGAGTTGGCACCCGCAGCAGCGGCGGGAGCCACCATCTCTCTCTCTCTCTCTGTGTGTGTGGGTGTACGATCTCGAGACCAGGTTTATGTGATTATCGCAGTGGGCAAAGGAGGTGTATTGAAAAAGGCACACGCATTGAGCAGGGCGAAGGGCGACGGCGACGGAAGACCAAAGGCTCTCGCGAAGGAAGGGCGAGCTTGAACTCGACTGACAGGACCGCACCACTCTCGAGACGAGACCAGCAATATCAACAATCGACTCGGGATGAGATAAATCCTCACAAAGGGCCGCCGAAATGGATCTCGAGGCCGGAGCGTAAGATAGGAAGAGAGAAGGCGTGTGAGCGAGTGAGGGATCTGCGTGGAGATGGGATTAACCCAGGCCGGAGAAAGCACAAAACCAACGAGAATCAACGAGAATCTCGAGGGGAAATAACCAGACTTACTCTTGAACAAGCTCACTCACCCCGAGAAAAAGAAAAATAGAGGCGAGAGGGGGGGGGGAGGGGGGCCACAGACAGACGTAGGAGAGGGAGAAGGACGAGTGCAGGAGGGCAAGACTCGGATGAACGAGACTCTTCCTGGCTGGCTCAGATGGGAAGGGACTGCGGATTGGGCCTGGCGGTAGCGACGCATGTTCCGTACGGTACTGTAACAGAACGATACATATTGATACCGCTAGTTGTGATCCACAGCCGGAAACGGTGATAGTATTGCAAATAATTATAAGACGGTGAAAAACGAGGCTGCGGGGGAGATGGAAGCTTGGAATTAAAATATAATATATCCCAATAAGTATAGATAGCCTATATGCTTGCTATATCCAAGGAACTTGAGCTGTAGAAGTCCCAATAAGCAATGTATCTAGGATGCAGTAGGATCAGGACTAGCTATGATCTACCGTGATAGTACGATCTGTAAAGTACCATACGGTACCATACATACCACGATGTGACACGTCAACCACGGTCCGAATCTGACCACCTGCAAGAGTGCGCGAATCGTGCGAGTCTCGAGGTCATGATTAGTTATCAACGCCTCGGACAGAGATTTGTATGGACTATAAATAGGGAGTTTAGAGACTTGAACTAGCAGTCTATCCATCAAGCTTGTCAAACTTGAGCTGGATTTATGGGCTGATTGTGTAGAGTTCATGTCCATACCTGAGGTGAAGAAGTACTTTAGGTGGTTATTGTTAGGAATGACTGTGCGCGATATACAACATACAGCGTGTGACAATACTTACACAGATATATGCGAGTAATGTTGCGTAAATGTGTAATTGAGATACGCCTGATAAGATAACACCAGACCCTTGTGCTTTATTTCAACTGAGCTACTCAATAAAACCATATATTATTGATATCACTGGAAGCGTTTGATATGACAGAAAAACCCATTCCAGCCTTCTATGGCTGCTACCTGCTGCGGTCCAGCGTCCGACACGCCTCCCTCTATATCGGTTCGACGCCGAATCCTCGCCGTCGACTCGCCCAGCATAACGGTCTCTCCAAGGGAGGCGCCAAACGCACGGCTCGGGAGAATCTCCGGCCCTGGGAGATGGTGATTGTCGTGCATGGGTTTCCTAGCCGGGTCGCCGCGTTGCAGTTTGAGTATGCTTTCTTTTGAAATAAGAATTATTAGTTCTTCACAGGGAGTCCGGAGTAACTAATCTCTGGTAATCTGATCAGATGGGCATGGCAGAAAACCCACGCATCTCGACACGTGGATCCAGAGGAAGCTAACGCTGCACATCGGAAGACCAGTCGTGCCAACCAGCCTGACACCGAAGCGTCGGGCGTCGGGGAGAAGGATGTAGACGCCAACGCAGACAAGGGCAAAAAGCGCAAGGCTCGACCGACCAGGCGATCCTTGCTACGTACCTTGGCGGACCTGCATCGGCTGCTCCGCTCGGCCTATTTTACCGGCTGGCCGTTGACGCTGCGTTTCTTCGCGCCCGATGTGCAGCAGGTGTGGACTTCGCTCTGCGATAGAGAAGCAGTCATCCTGCCGGGCAACATTCAGGTCGTCTTGGAGAAAGAAGATGGGGTGCAGAGTTCAGAAGACGGTGCGGGCAACGCTGCTCAGATTCGACGGATGCCCGTGGATTACTCGGACATGCAGGACTACGTGGGAAAATCTGCCTTCTTGCTAGACGGCACGGAGGAAGCAGAAGAAGGAGATCTACGGTGTAGGCTCTGCAAGGCACGAGTAATACCGAATGATGATCTGGTGGCGGTTTGCCCCCAGATGGATTGCCATTGCATTACTCATGTGGTCTGTCTAGCTGCCGAGTTTCTCAAGACGAGCAACAACCCGGACCAGTTGGTTCCTCCCATGCAGGGGATGTGTCCTGCCTGTCAATCGACTGTTTCATGGACGTTGATGATGAAAGAGTTGAGTCTGCGCACGCGGGGCCGTGATGAGGTGCAGAACATCCTGAAACGGAAAAAGAGGATGCAGAGTAGTCCCCCACCGGTGGTACCTTCGGCGGTCGTGGATTCCGACAGCTGGGATGAGACCCACGACCTTGTATCAGACTCCAGCACCGGTGAGCGATCAACTGCCCCGCTAAACGTTGCTGCAAAACCAGCCGAGATCGTCATCGAGGACAGCGAGTGGGACGATGTAGATGTTCTTGAGTGAAATCTCGGTCATCATCATCATCATCATCATCATCATCATAATCATCCGTTCAGAGAATATGAAACTTCCTATTCTGCTCGAGGACTCCCCGGCCACGGCCCCAACTTCCTCAACGGACCGATAGCATCCAGACGTTCGATACATCCCCGCACGGCATCCCGGATATCATTCGCTACCTCGTCGAGCGACCGGCCTGCATCGATGATCTGGACATCGTCGTGACCCCCCCGCACCACCTTGAAAAGGGCGTGGAACAGCTCGCGCACGCGTGTCTGCATAGCCTGGTTCTCATACCTCTCACCACCGAACCCCCCGCGCTTGGCGGCCTCATCAGGCGAGATCTGTAGAAAGAGACAGAGATCAGGCCGCGGCAGTCCGATCTCCGGCAGCCACGCCCACTCCAGCGACAGGTTGGGATTGCCCTTGGCGGCTGAGTACACCGCACCCGAGTACGAGTAGCGGTCCACGATCACGTTATATCCCCTGGCGATATCCTGCTCGATGCTGCGTGCCACCTCCCAGCGATTGGAAGCGAATAGCAGGTGGATGGCGTGGTCGTCCAACTGCGACTGGCCACGTAGGTATTCATCTATCATCTTTCCAATGGCGGTCGTCCGGTCTGCCAGTTAGATAAACCAGCTCCTATAGCGAGAGAGAGAAATATATACCTGGAAACCGAATGTATTTCACCGGCATGCCGGATTCCTCCAGACTCTTGCGTAGCAGCTCGCACTGGCTCGACTTGCCTGCGCGGTCGAGGCCTTCCACCACGACGAGAGCCCCGCGTTGGGCCATAGTGGATAACAGGCAACGTCCGTAGACTGACCCAATGTGTGGTACGATCAGCAAGTTCGGTAAGTAAATAATGCCAGGGGGGAATAATTATCTCTTGCAGTCTCGATGGGGGGAAGAAGTGAGGGAGAAAAAGAATGCCGCTGTCTCGTTTCCTGTCCACCGACTCTTATCGTGATAAGCGATTTCTCCCACCATGAATAACTTCAACCTCCGTGCACCACCACTAGACCCAGCACCACGACACCAGGCCTCAGAATGGGGCTAGAGAACCCGTCTGCGTCCTCTCTCACGACTGAGATGTGTCAATTTACCATTCTCAAGGGCGCAGCACCAGTCCTCGCGCCCCGTCTGGGCAGACTCGTGCTCGCAGGCCGAAAACCCATCTCGACACCGCACTTCGTGCCGCTCACCTCGCGAGGGACCGTCGCCCATCTCAGCCACGATGTGATGCGGGACCAGACGTCGATAGCAAGCTTATACTGCGGCCTAGAAGATTGTACGTTAATATCATACCTTTCTGGCCTTTTTACGAGCAGATCCTTTCTAATTTACGCAGTCATAGAAAAAGATGGCCCGGCGGTATACAAAGTGCCCTGCACGGCCCAGGAATCACCCCTGCGCAAGTTCATCTGCATGCCGGACGAGATCACGCTTGTTCTGGGTCCTCGCCGCGCCCCCCCGGTCCCTTGTCCCGTACCCAGCACCAACAACTCCGTCTCGATCCTCACCTCGGTCGGGTTCCGCCAGCTGCCCGCCAGCGAGTGGGTGGATGCCGTCCAGAAGCTGCGGCCGGATATCGTCGTCGGGATGGCTGATTTGGCGACGGGGACAGCGGCCCCGGGCGTCAAGCGGCGCGGAAAGATGGTCGACAGGACACATGCTTATACGCGTGACGCGACGGAGCGGCTCCAGCGCGAGTCCTCGTCGCCGACAGCGACAACGACAACGACAACGACATACTTTGCGCCTGTGCTCCCGCTAGAGAACACCGAGCAGACCATCTACCTGGCAGACCTTGAGTCGGAGCTTCGTCCGGCCATCGCCGGCCTCGCCCTGTACGAATCGGCCTCGCTGGGTGTCCTGCCTCCGGCGCTGGGCGACCTGCCACGCCTCGTTTTCAGCGAGCCCGCCACGCCGCACGAGGTCCTCCGCGACATCTCCCTGGGCGCCGATCTGCTCACTCTTCCATTTGTAGGCGCCTTGTCCGATGCTGGGATTGCCCTCGACTTTGTTTTTCCTAGTCCTTCTTCTTCTTCCGCTTCTCCTTCTACATCTTCTACTTCTCTCCCCCTAGCACGCGACCTCTGGTCTGACACGTACACCACGGACGTCTCACCCCTATCCGAATCCTGCAACTGCTATACATGCCGCAACCACCACCGTGCATATCTCCACCATCTCCTTGCCGCCAAGGAGATGCTCGCCTGGACCCTCCTGCAGATTCATAACCATGCCGTCGTGGACGCTTTCTTCGCAGCCGTCCGGGCCAGTATCGAACGGGAAACCTTTGAAAGCGACATCCACTCTTTTGCAAGAATGTATGAGCCTGACTTTCCAGATAAAACAGGCCAAGGACCGAGGTATTTCTCTTTTCATTCTTCTTCTTCTTCTTCTTCTTCCAGTTTTGACATTTCAGATTACGCGGGTACCAAATCCTCCCCTCAGGCCCAAACCAGGCGAAACGCAACCCAAAAGCGTACGGTCGTCTGAACGATGCGATTGAAAAATACGCCGAAGGGCAGTCAGTGCCGACCGAACCCTGAGCAGCTAGTATAGTATAGTATAGTATAGACGTAAGAAGTTATAATCATTCAATATACACTAAGCACTGCTCAAACTCCTCCACAACCAGCTCGTCTCAAGCTGCTCCTCCGCCGACCCAGCCTCCGTGCCGGCCCCGTACTTCTGTCCGATAGCGCAGACAAGCCAGACGTCGTCCTTGAGGCCGGCCAGGAAGCGCTCCGTCGCACTGCCGCGCGGGTATACGCGGCGCCACTCGTCCCAGATGCGGTAGGCCTCTTCGCCCCAGGCGCGGAAGCTGACTTCCTCGATGATCGTGGGGGTGACGATCTCCTTGTCGCGGAAGACGCCCCATGTCACTGTGTTGACTGTGCTTTCATCGGCGGCAGCGGTAGCATTATCACGAGCAGCGGTGGTAGCAGTAGCAGTAGAAGCAGAGGAGGATGAAGATTCAAAATGCCCGGCAGCGTTGGTTGCGAACCAGGCTAGTTCGTCTGCTCCGCACCGCGCAAACATGGGTTTGAGGATGGTTTCAAAGTCCTTTCGCGGACAGAAGAACTCGACAAATGGTTTCTGGAAGACGAACCCTTCGCCCGGCGGGCCCCATCCGAACATCGCATTGTCGCTGCGCACCCCGTTCACCGCCGGCTGTGAGGCGAGCGTCCACCAGCCGCGCCCGTCAATGAGCTTCAGCAGGTCGTCGCGGATGAACGCCGTCTCGGCGTTCAGTCCACCTGTCCCTTCTTCCGCCCCGCCTTCCGACCAGGGTACGATGTACAGGTCCCCGGATACGTGGCGCCGGAAGAGTGCGCTGACATCCGCATACGAGACTGGGTACCCCCACAGTCGGCGGGCCTCGGTCGCATGTACATGAAGCGAGGGTCCATAACCATCAATTTCTCCGAAAGCCGGAGACCGGGCGTCACCCCATCGGCCGTTGGGGAAGTCGTCCCACGTTGCCTCTCGTCCGAGGGAACCCATCCCCTCGGAGATCTGCAGGGTGGTGCTTCGGTTGGGCGGCAGGGCCGGCATGCCGGCACTGGTTGCCGGGGCTTCGTGGCTAATGGAGCCCTTGGATGAGCCGGTGGAGGCCTGTAGCCGGTCGACGATCACCCTGTTGTGTGGTTGCGAGTTGATAGACGAGGCCCGGCGTCGGCTCAAGGACCGCAGCTGTTCCGCAGTCGGCACGCCAAGGGTAGACGTATCCTCCAGAACGTCATCGTCGTCGTGGTCAGGAACCAAATCGCACCGTTCCAAGATGAAAGAGACGGTCTTCTCCAGGTTGAGGGTGTAGAAATGGAATCCTCGGCGGCCAGGGTTGGGCAGCTTCTTGATCCCTTGGACCATCTCGCTCAGAATTTCAACACCCTCCCGTTTGACGGCATCGTCGTCCGACTTGACATTTTCGATCCGCGACATTATCTTGGGTGGAATATGAGCATGGCTCAGCTTCGTCACCCGGGTTAGGATCTTGTAGCTGTGGATAGGCATGAGGCCGGGAAGAATAGGGATTGTCTTGAACACGCCGGACTCGTGTGTCCGCAGTCGGCGTTCAAACTTTTCGTACGCTTCCAGATCGTATGTAAGCTGGGTCATGATAAAATCCGCCCCGGCTTGGACCTTCTCGACCAGGTAGGGTAGGTCATGCTCCGGATCCTGGACCTGCTGGAAGGTATCATTTGCATAACCCTCCGGGTACGCCGCCACTCCAAGGCAGAAGTAGTCACCGTGGACCTTGCGAATGTATCGCACCAGATCCACCGCCCACGAAAAGTCCTTGTTGCTGTCATCCTCCCCGTGCATATTGTACTCTTCGCTGCGAGGAGGATCGCCTCTCAGGGCCAGGATGTTCCGAATGCCAAGTACCTTGGCTTGTTCCAGCGCCTCGTCGACCAGAGACCGACTCATGTTTGTGCATGTCAAGTGCAAACATGTCGTCAGCTGTAGCTGTCGCTGACAGATCTCCGCCAGCTCGAGCGATCGCGTCGCCGTCGTTCCCCCAGCGCCCCAGGTGACCGTCACAAACAACGGACGCAGAGCCTGCGCCATCCGCTCCAGACGTGCTTGCAGGTTTGCAGAACCCTATATACACGCAAAACAGTTTGTTAGCACGGGCATCATCCATCCCCTCTCCCAGCGCGGGGTCAGTCAAGGCAACCCCACCATCTGCGTCTTGGGCGGGAAAAATTCCAGCGAGAAGTAGTTGGCGTCTGGCGGCAGAGCCGCGATCTTGTCTGTAATTTTTTCCATCGTGACCCTGAAATCGCGCCAAAGGAGGGCCTGGTAGTAGCAATGGGAGGCTTGGAGGGGCTGCGGAGAGAAGTCAAGAGGAAAGAAAAGGTTAAATTAGATGTCTGGAAGTGGAGAATGACGCATTCGTCCACTTCACCACGACTCTTTGTTGTACAGATCAAATTCAGCCTCGCGAGACGCCCGAGTTTGTACCAAGTAACCAAGAAGTCGAACGTGAATTTGCTTCTCCAGGTCAGTCTGCAATTGCACAGTGCTAGTTATTAATGGTTGAGTCCAATAGGAGCCACAGAGTTTCGCTCGAGCCAAGGAATCGTGTTGTGCCTCCTTCATCTATTTATTCGAAATGAACTGCCCATTAACAGGTAGAAGACTATGATTGGAAGTGTATCAATGCTATATAATTCATCTGGCCGCATTATACCGTTTAATAACAGTATATTGCGGCCTTCGACGAAGACAACGCGTCGTTCCAGGTTCGGGCGACCTAGACCAGCAAGCTGATCCCTATCAGGGCCATAGTGCAAGAGACACTTGTTCATGAGATGGTACACACACTGCAGACTTCAGAACCCCCAGATCCCTAAAGCTTTGGGGTATATGGCTAAGTTGTTGAGTCCTGACGAGACAGGAACAAGGTGACATTCATGCGACGGATTCATTGTGACATGAGCCACGACTACCTAAGTTATAATAGTAAAAGTCAAATCCTGTAAAACGCCCATCGAGGATCCATGAATGAGGTGTCTTGAGGCTGATCAAAGGGATTGTAGGACTCAGAATAGCTACAAATAAATAACTACCTTCAACCTTGTGCTTATCCAGGTATCTAGAGGCTAGTCTCTAAACGAACTAGCGTGCTAGGCCAGGGATGCTGTTAAGACAACGCGAAGATGCAACTCGCTTTACTTTTTGAAGTGGTCGAGAGAGGGTCTTGAGGGCTAGCAGCCTTGATCATTAAGTTCTTCTCATTCTGCCCTGTAATAAGACCACTGCTGCTGTTGTCTGTACTGCGATTTTTGTTGACCAAAAGACTGACTACATGAGCCAGAAGAACTGACTGCAAGCTCTTCTGGAAGAGAGCAAAGAAAGATGACCGTGGATCGGCCCTCAATTATAAGTTGTCTTCGCCGTATCCGTCTTCTCGATGGCGTCAGACATGTCTCACGACGGCAATGCCTGTCAACAGCCCCCCCTGCAAAAGACTACCGCTCTCGTCTCCGCAAACTGAACGACCGGCTGCCTCGATTCCTCCGGTCCTACACCACGCCTCTTCTCGGCGCTCCCGTCACACACATCACATCATTCCTGATCCTCCATGAAGTAACAGCCATTGTGCCATTGCTTGGCCTGGTAGCCGCCTTCCACTATGGCGATTGGATGCCGGATCTAGCTGCCGATGACTCCAACGGTGCTTTCAACGAAGGTGTCGCCCGATTCGGGCGCTGGCTAAGGAAAAAGGGATGGATAGACGATGATGCTGCTGTGGGTGCCACCAATGTAGCTCACATCAGCAGCAGTAATCAGACTGGTGAGAAAGCATCGATTCGCGAGCAAAGAGGTGTACATCTGGTCCTAGAGTTCGCGACTGCGTATGCCATCACAAAGGCATTGCTGCCTCTCCGCATTGCGACCAGTGTCTGGGCGACGCCGTGGTTTGCAAGAGTTGTAGTACACCCCCTTACGAGCAGGGCGGGAAGGATATTTGGGAGGAAGTAAGGAGAGAAAGTCTCCGGGCATTATCCTGGCATATGCGCATTATCGCGTACATGTGCATATGTAGGAGTGGTTACCAGCAGTAGTAACTGCCATGAGGGGTTGTGCTCCGTACATGTAATTTAACTCTAGGAAATGCAGGAATATGATATGGTATATATTTTATTGAATTCTATTTTCCATATGTCATTGTGGCTTTTCTATCAACCACACCCATCTTCAAGCTACAGCTATGAATCGTGGGAGGAATTTAAGCCTTCTCGTAGACCCAGTCGAACTGGGCGGACTTCCAGCTGAGGACCTCCTCAGGCTTGAACCAGAGGGCGATCTCCTTCTTGGCGTTCTCGACGCTGTCGGAGCCGTGGCAGACGTTGCGGCCAACATCCTGGTATGCAGTCAGTATGGGCTCACATGAAATGGTATGCGGCAGATATCTTACGATGGCGTAGTCACCACGGATGGTGCCAGGGGCGGAGGCAAGAGGGTTGGTGGCACCGAGGATGGCTGTAATTATCATAGGTTAGCCATCATTGATCGTCGTAGCCAGAAAACGGTCCAAACTTACTGCGGCCGGTCTTGACGGCATCACGGCCCTCCCAGACCATGGCGCAGATGGGTCCGCTGAGCATGTCTGTGCTTCAAGTCAGTTTCAATTGTACGCTTTACAGCTCCAATGGTTCAAACTGACAGGTAACAAGGCCGGGGAAGAAGGGCTTCTCCTTGAGGTCGGCGTAGTGAGCCTCGAGGTGCTCCTTGGAGGGAGTAACGAGCTTCATGGCAGCAAGCTTGAAGCTTTTTAAACCCATTAGCTTCCATATATTTCCTCTTGTCAAGTGAAAGCACTCACCCACGCTGCTCGAAGCGGGAGATGATGGGGCCAATGAGTCCGCGCTGTTATTCATGACGTCGTTAGACATGGATTCTCAAGTGCAGTAGTTGAAATATTTGAGCTTTCAAACATGATCGTACCTGGACACCATCGGGCTTGATGGCAATGAAGCTGTAAAACGAGTAGTTAGCTTCACCGCTAGAGTGAGGGGCAGCAAGAAAAGGCAGTCTGGCTGGGAGAGGGGCAGTAATTGAGGAAGCCTCTGCGATCTAACTTACGTCTGCTCGGTAGACATCTTGAAGGGTATGAATCTGACGGGTGATTCGGAAGAATTGGACAAGAGGCGATGGGAAGAAAGAAGAGAGAAGTCAACTACCAGAGGAGGTGGGCTTATGGCTGAGTTGGCGAAAAATAAGAAGCCTTCTGGCCTGGCGTGGTGGGGGCCCAAGGAGGGGTACTCTACCAATTGGGTTAGTGCAGCCAGCTATCTAGACTAGTCCTTCTACGGTATAGTGCTTTTTATCTTTCGGCTGCCTGGTCTATAAGGCAGTAATTCAGGCATTCCACCCCAGCCCGCCCCAGGAAGCTCCATCGATACTAACTTAACTAATCAATCAGGACAGCCTGGAATCATCCCCAGCTTCGACTAATGCTTGACCTCCACCTCAGGTAGATGCAGGTCACAAGGTCGATATATTGATATATACGAGTCTACTATCAGAGATTGAGGGTCTCTGATTGCATTCCGGTTGCCTGACGATGGCCAGGAGCAGACCAGCGTCCTCTCGCTGGACGCTATTGCTCGCTTTTGTGGTTCTTGTCGCATGCCTGGTCGCACCTGGTGGTAAGCTTCTCAGTCACCGGTTCATCATCTTTCTACAGCTATTGACATCAAATTCCAGTGTCGGTCAAGCACGAAAACTTCAAAAAATGCTCTCAATCAGGATTCTGTAAACGGAACCGTGCTTTCGCCGACGAGGCTACCACGCAAGCTTCCTCATGGAGCTCCCCCTACGAACTCGACGCGTCCACGATCCGCTTCGAGAATGGACAGCTCGAGGGTGTCGTCATCAAAACTGTATCTTCAAATGAGAAGGTCCGGTTGCCGCTCACCATCTCCTTCCTGGAGTCGGGAGTCGCTCGCGTCGTCGTGGATGAGGAGAAACGGACCAAGGGGGAGATCGAGCTCCGTCACGACAGCCAAGCTCGCAAGCAGAGATACAATGAAGCGGGTCAATGGGCGTTGGTGGGGGGTCTGGATCTCAGCCAGTCTGCATTGCTCAGCTCCGAGGCCGAACCAGGCTTCACCAAGATCACCTACGGACCAGATAATAAGTTTCAGGCAATAATCCATCACGCTCCATTCAATGTCGAGTTCCAGCGGGATGGTGAGACCCATGTTCAATTGAACAAGAAGGGTTATCTGAATGTGGAACATTGGCGGCCCAAGGTTGATCTGCCCGAGGGTGAAGAATCTGTGGAGGATCAAAGCACCTGGTGGGAGGAGACCTTCGGCGGAAATACCGACTCAAAACCCAAAGGCCCAGAGAGTGTGGGGTTGGATATTAGCTTCCCGGGATATAGCCATGTTTTTGGAATCCCAGAACACGCTGACTCTCTCTCCTTGAAGGAGACCAGGTAAGTTGTGCGCACTATGGACTCTATTTCAGACTCAGGCTGACGAGACCTCTAGGGGCGGCTCTGGAAACCACGAGGAACCCTATCGTATGTATAACTCCGACGTTTTCGAGTACGAGCTCAACAGCCCGATGACCCTCTATGGCGCCATTCCCTTCATGCAGGCCCACCGCAAGGATTCTACGGTCGGTGTTTTCTGGCTTAACGCTGCTGAGACATGGGTCGATATTGTTAAGACCAAGTCTTCTTCCAACCCACTCTCTCTGGGTGTAGGCTCAAAGACATCCACTCAAACCCATTGGTTCTCTGAGGCAGGACAACTGGACATTTTCGTTTTCCTGGGCCCGACGCCTCGGGAGATGAGTAAGACATATGGAGAGCTCACTGGATACACGCAGTTGCCTCAGCAGTTTGCGATCGCCTATCATCAGTGCCGTTGGAACTATGTCACTGATGAGGATGTCAAGGAGGTCGACCGCAAGTTTGATAAATACCAGATCCCTTACGACGTGATCTGGCTTGATATCGAATACACTGATGGCAAAAAGTATTTCTCTTGGGATCCCCTGACCTTCCCCGATCCGAAGGGTATGGAGGAACAACTTGATGAGTCTGAGCGCAAGCTTGTTGTCATCATTGACCCTCACATTAAGAACACAAACGACAATCCTGTTGACCAAGAGCTGCAGAGCAAAGAGCTGGGGGTCAAGAAAAAGGATAACACCCTCTACGAGGGCTGGTGTTGGCCGGGATCGTCCCATTGGGTGGACTGCTTCAACCCTGCTGCTATCAAGTGGTGGGTCAACTTGTTCAAGTACGACAACTTCAAGGGTACTTTGCCCAATGTCTTCATCTGGAATGACATGAATGAGCCCTCCGTCTTCAACGGCCCAGAAACCACCATGCCCAAGGATAACATGCACTACGGCAACTGGGAGCACCGTGATGTCCACAATGTTAATGGCTTGACCCTTGTCAATGCCACATTCAACGCTCTTGTTGAGCGCAAGAAGGGTGAATTGCAGCGTCCATTCATCCTCACACGATCTTTCTTCGCAGGAGCTCAACGGGTATCTGCCATGTGGACAGGTGACAACCAGGCTACCTGGGAGCACTTAGCAATTTCGTTGCCCATGGTCTTGACCAACGGCGTTGCTGGCTTCCCCTTTGCAGGTGCTGATGTCGGCGGCTTCTTCAACAATCCTAGCAAGGAACTCCTGACTAGATGGTACCAGACGGGCATTTGGTACCCGTTCCTCCGTGCTCACGCTCACATTGATACCCGTCGACGTGAGCCATACCTCGTTGGCGACCCCTACATGGGCATCATCTCTCAAGCTCTCCGTCTCCGATACCAACTTCTGCCAGCCTGGTACACTGCCTTCCATGAGGCCTCTGTAAACGGAATGCCGATCGTCCGACCGCAGTACTATGTTCACCCGAACGATGAGAACGGGTTCGCTATTGACGACCAGCTCTATCTGGGCTCCACCGGTCTACTCACGAAGCCTGTGGTGCAGGAGGGTGCCACCTCCGTGGAAATCTATCTCGCTGACGACGAAAAATACTACGACTATTTTGATTATACCATTTACCAGGGCGCTGGCAAGAAACACACCGTTCCTGCCCCGCTGGAGAAGGTTCCGGTGTTGATGCAAGGCGGCCACATCATCCCTCGTCGGGACCGACCCCGTCGTAGCAGCGGATTGATGAAATGGGATCCCTACACCTTGGTCATTGTCTTGGACAAGAATGGCGAGGCCGATGGCTCTCTGTACGTTGACGACGGAGAGACCTTTGACTTCGAACGTGGTGGATATATTTTCCGTCGCTTCCGCTTCGGCGAGAATACTCTTACCTCGGAGGATATCGGTACCACGGGTCCCAAGACCGCGGGATACCTCAAAACCATGGCAGGCGTCCATGTCGAGAAGATCGTGGTTGTCAATGCCCCCTCTACGTGGCACGACAGAACCAGTGTGACTGTCATGGAAGACGGTGCAAAATCAGCGACGACTGCTTCCCTGCAGTACTTCGCCCAACCGGCTGGCAAGGCTGCTTACGCTATAGTGAAGAATCCCGACGTTGCCATTGGCAAGGCATGGAAAATAGATTTCTAGATAGGTCTCTCTGGGGGGGTATATAGAATATGGGTTGCATTTCTTGATTCACTCTATAGGAGTCAAAATAGGTTCCTCATGTTGCGAACTGTTGTAACTAAAATTATCCCGTTGCACACTGGCCAAGTGCATTCACGGGTACCTTCGTCACACCGCAATGGTAGACTCCCTTTAGCTTCATGTAACCAAGCTAGGCATACTATTTCGACTGTCAGACACCAGACTTCCTTCTAAACACTCCGTACCTAGAATCTTCAATATCCAGAGTGATCCACCGTCATCCCCAGTCATCCGCTTAGGTAAGCTCAACAGGGGCAGCGCTGATCTTTTGCCGTCTGCAACCGTAACTTGCAAGAGCACCTCGTTCTTTGCTAATTTATTTCCTAGAAGGACGTGGTCGCAAACTTGTTACTTCTCTCCACTTAATTTCCTTTCTTTCGCTCATTAATCTTTTCTTTGGAACTACTATTATAACACTGAGAAGTACAGATATTGCTGGCGACAACCGTTTGCTGCGCTGCCCAGCTTCACTGACCATTCTGGAATAACGACGGGAACAAGGAACAAGACTTTTATCCTGTCGCTGTTGTCTTGCTTCATCTTACTGAAAGCAAACCTACAATTATCACGGAAAAGCTTCACCATGTATCTAGTGTCCCTCGCTCTGGAATATGGGGCTCCCATATTGTACGTCTTAAGGGCTTATCTCTGTTTCAACTTTGCAAATGCTAACTACACAACCTCCATCAATAGCCTGGTTTCTTCCCCTGTGACATCGTACGCGGACCAGATCTACAGCATTCATCGGACAAGAAGCTCGGCCGGGTTCTCGCTCGATATACCCCTGATCATGCTCGTTGCCTCGATCCTGAAGTAAGGCTTAGACGGACAAAGATGCGAAGAGAACGGTCACGTTGACTTGGGTCATTATAGGGTCTTCTACTGGTTCGGGGCCTACTATTCGATGTCATTGCTTCTGCAGGCGGCGATCATGGTCGTCGTCCAGGTGATCTTGCTAAAGGTTGCGCTGGACAACCGGCCTATGCCCGGTGGAAAGAATGGGATCGAGCATGCTCCGTTCAGCTCAGTCGAAGCAGACGGTGCTTTCTCGAGACCTTATAACTTCTGGCAGTGGAGGAGCGCGAAACCGTATGTTATTTTCCATAATACCCCCCCCCCCCCCCCCCCCCCCCCCCCCCCCCCCGCGGTAAAAATGGCAACTTTAATAACCATGTTTCTGCAGTTACTGGATGTTTCTGGCATATCTCACTGGCGCTCTGTTCTTTGTTCACGTATTTCTCCCTCCCATCGCTCAATCTGAACTCTACATCAACTTGCTCGGATACGTCGGTCTCGCGGTCGAGGCCATTCTCCCCGTGCCGCAGGTGCTGGCCAACCAGAAATCCCGGTCGTGCAAGGGATTCCGGTTGTCGGTTCTGGCGTCCTGGTTGATCGGTGACGCTTTCAAGATGAGCTATTTCTTTGGCAGTCAGCAGGTCATTCCTTGGGCTTTCCGGATGTGCGGCATCTTCCAATGCATCTGCGATTGCTATCTCGGCATGCAGTACTGGATGTTCGGAAGTGGCCCGACCCCAAAGGCTGCACCTAGCTCTCAAGAGATCGGCGAGGCTAGATGGGGAGCAGATGAGAAGGACATCCGACTGAACTAGGGGTTGTATCGAGTCTGGCCGTTCGGGGTGCGTTGTCGGCGCCTCGATGCTTCATGAAGATAAATATTTGTAATTAATGACAGCTATATTGATAGATATAGATATTCAAACATGATAGAGAGTGAAAACACAGGCTGAAAGAAAGAACTCATAATACAAAAAGTTGACTAACTCATCTTCAAAGCGCGTCATCCTTGAGATACTCCGATAAAGAAATATTTTGGAACCTCCCCGCGATTACCCCACCGGAAACATTGATAAAGCACATCTACCTATCCACCACCGGGTTGTCTTCAGGACAGTAGTCTTCTTCAAACTATCCGTCAAACTGGTCTGATAGATTGGCTGCAACGAGGCAACACAATGACTTCAGAAATGCCCACCATTCGTATTGGCTATGTGCCTGGTACGTGTGCCTGTTTCAATAAATCTGCCGGGATGGGTCAAGGAATCTCTTCTCTTCACCTTGACCTCAAACGGTTATATAGGTTGAAGTCCAATGCTAACAGTCTATACTAGAGCACTATCTCACTCCTCTTCACCTCGCTCTCCGCTCTCCCACCGCCGAGTCCCTCCCGTTCAAGCTCTCGCTGGTCCCCTTCCCATCCGGCACAGGACACATGATCACCTCTCTCCGTGAACATGAGATCGATATCGGGATTGGGCTCACAGAGGGGTGGGTTGCGGGACTGGCTGGGAAGCAGCAGATGAACAAGGACCCGGCGTTGGGAGGGTACAAAGTTGTCGGCCACTGGGTCGATACGCCTCTTCGTTGGGCGATAGTCACAGGGCGGAACAGGCAAGACGTTACCAGTGTGTCTGATCTGAAGGACAGCAGGGTGGGCGTGAGTCGACTGGGAAGGTCTGTTTTTGAATCCTGACAGGTAATTTTTCGTTTAGGGCCTCATCTGACCTTCTGTTTAGTGGCTCTCACGTCATGTCGTTTGTACTCGCTCAACAACAAGGCTGGGCCCCCAACTCGCTCACTCCGGTGATCTGCGGTCCATTTGGCTCGCTACGGACCGGCGTCACTGGAATCACGGACGCTGCCCAGCCGGCTCAGACATCCAGCCCCAGCGCAGAGTTTTTCATGTGGGAGCACTTCACGACAAAGCCGTTCTTCCACCCCACCGACGTGAATCCGAACCCTCCCCTCAAGAATATTGGAGAAATCTACACCCCGTGGCCGTCTTGGATGGTTGTGGCGTCGACAGCTGTCTTCCCGGACCCCGAACGGGATGAGACCCTCAAGAAGCTGTTCCAACTTTGGGACGAGGGCATCAAGGCATTCAATGCCGATCCGGCACATGTGGTGAAGCTCCTTGGAACCGGTGAGCTAGGATGCACATATGCTGAAGATGATGCAAAGGAATGGCTTAAGGATGTGAGGTTCGCCAGCAGCACACGCGGCGTCGACAAGAAGGTCGTAGAAGGCGTAGTAGACGTCCTCAAGGTTGCCGGCGTCATTGATCCGGGGCTACAGAACTCTGAGGCCTTTGAGAGAGTGTTTGGTATCGAAAAGTAAGAGCAAGGTATTTGTCTCCAGTACTGCCATCATTACTATATAGTTAATACCTATTACCCTTTAGAAAGGTTGTCCACAACCAGCAGCAATGGTTTGTGTTATACAAAAAATCTCTACTCGAGTGTCAAAATATATCAATTGGGAATCCTGCAACTGTTGTTCCCAAAATATTTGGTACTCTATCCACAAGACATCAGCGAAGAGCCAGGTGGTGTTTGTCAGCAAAAGGCTCCCAATTTGGAAGTCCCACGTGTTTCTGGATCACCACCACCGCAACTCAACCTCATCAGTCGAGAACACCAGCAACCACTCCTTGGAAATCACTGGAAAGAAATACCTCAAAGGCCTCCCAGTTTGTGGAGTCTGGCCAGCGCCCCATGGATTATTTGTGAGAAAGATTAGTAGTGATAGCCTACCACATGCCACGTCACTGGGGCGACTGACCACATTCTTCTTCTCATAGCTCAACGCGGGACCAGCCTTTCCAGAACCTGCAATATGGCGAATGGACTCGATCTCCTTGCGTTTAATGGATTGGGAGTACGTATTGTTTGACCTGAGTGGTTTTTAGCGTGCATAGCTCTCAGATCCTGGATGTATATCCTGCTTATGGGGCTCGAGGGACAACAATATCCGCACCGGTCACCTTTCCTATACTATATCTATTCGATAGACACTGTCGAGGGTGGGTAGAATCTGGTATAGTATTGAGTGTGAAACTAATCACTATCTTCTTCCACTCTATTATAGTCACTGATTATTACTAATCATTAATAGGTTTTATGCCTAAGCCCAAGTCACTACCTAAAGGGGTAAATATATATGTTACCTATTATTCACTATATGAACTAGTTTGAAGTATCTATTCTCTTCTAGCTGCGATTGCAGCCGAAATATGGCTTATATATAAGGGTAGACTTATTCCTTAACTCTTTACTACAGTGCAGATGCTGTCTGGAACTCACACATCTATAGCCTCTAAATTTGTGGATGTAACTCCAACTAATCATGCTTGGAGGCCGCAGACCATCCATAGGCATATACTTTCAGAAAACACACGTGGTTAGAGTCTCAAGAGCGACAATCTACACCTGTTCCTGGTCAGTTCACTTGGGACATGGAAGCTGTCACATTCCTCGCGGGGGTCGGATCCATACCAACAGGTTTTCCCCCTCCCCGTGGAATGTTTTTCTTCTCATGAGAAATAGGCCTGGACCAATAACAGAAAGCAATCCACATAGGAGATACAACTCCTCACTTGCCTTATTCAATTGAAGAGATATGAGTCGAGGTGGTTGGGCGTTGACATATGCATTGGCTTGCGTGCGATATGGCAGCCAATAAGCATATCTGACCATTGACTGTTTACAGCAGTTTCAGGTTATAAATCTCCCTTCCCATTGCTGGAGCCTCGTTTTCTTTCTCCTTCCCTTCCAGTGCACTTTGATAATTCAGCTGGACAGAGACAGCTCTCCTTTCATTTCAAGTACTCTGTCCCTGTAGTGTATTCCGTTCGTTATTTGTGTCAGTCTTTCATTTCTGGTGGTATCAATAGCGACATTCTTTTCACCATGACCATCTTGCACCAATTTCTCTCTCTTGCTGCTGTGGCGGCTTCGCTCGGGGTCGTCCAAGCTAAGCTTGATATTACCTCTCCGAGCAACGTTGCTGTTTATTGGGGTAAGCAACACCGCTAGATCTCGCGGCCAGCAAGATTCTAATCTTATATCTAGGCCAAAATTCATATGGCAAGGGCACCGGGGATCTGGCACAGCAACCGCTTGCTTACTACTGTCAGAGTAAGTCAATCAAAAACCATCATACCGTAAATGAGACTGACATGGAGCGTTCCGCATAGACACCGACATTGATGTATGAAATTCACCTCTTGCACCATTTTTGCTTCTCATAGGAATTGCATCTGACCTTTCCTTGTGCAGGTGATCCCAATGGCCTTCCTTACCATGATTAATGGCGTTGGAGGAGCACCGGAGGTCGACTTCGCCAATGCGGGTGACAATTGCACTATCTTCGAGGGAACCAACCTGAAGAATTGTCCTCAGATTGCGTGAGTGGAATTTCTTCCCGTCTCCCAAATATCAGACAGTACTGATGGCCATTTTATTTTGCAGAGAGGATATCAAGACATGCCAGAGCCTGGGGAAAACGATTCTCTTATCCATTGGTGGTGCTACTTACAGTGAGGGCGGTTTTAGTTCCGAGTCTGCTGCCATTGCCGGTGCCAATCTCATCTGGGAAACCTTTGGCGCTCCCAGCTCCAATTCCTCCGTTCCCCGTCCATTCGGCGATTCTGTGGTTGACGGCTTTGACTTTGACTTTGAAGCCACTGTCAACAACATGGTTCCATTCGGCAAGCAGCTCCGCAGCTTGATGGATGCAGACACTTCTAAGCAGTACTACCTGTCGTCTGCGCCACAGTGCCCCTTCCCTGACGCGTATGACAAGGATGTTCTCAACAACGTCCCGCTTGATGTCGTCTGGGTTCAGTTCTACAACAATTACTGCGGAGTCAACTCCTACGTCTCTGGCGCAACTACTCAGAACAACTTCAACTTTGACACCTGGGACAACTGGGCGAAAACCTCGGCCCCCAATAAGAATGTGAAGATCATGCTCGGCGTGCCTGCCAACACTGGCGCCGGTGGCGGCTACGAGCCTGTTTCGACTCTGGCACCCGTCGTCTCCTACTCCAAGACTTTCTCCAGCTTCGGTGGTGTCATGATGTGGGATGCCAGCCAGGCCTACGCAAACACCGGGTTCATCAGCGGCGTGAGGTCGAGCCTAAGCTCCACGTCTTCTCGTCTCAGACGCCGCAGTCGTGTTTTCCGGTCATGATCATGCAAAGTTGATCAAGGTTCGATTAATTCTCTTCAATTCGCTCGTTTCGGCGCTATTCGGCCAACTATACAACATTCTTTTACATCTTAACCCTCGATACCTTTCTCATGACACTTTCTTTTGAAATCGGAGCTAATCACCTCTCGCTCCCCGACGATCGTTTCGCTGTCCATATCACTGATGATATGTTGCACATGCCGCATATCGGTTCATGTCTCTGGTTGAGCGCGCCTGTAAATACTAGCAGCAGCAGCATCTTTGCCAGCTAGACCTAATCTTAGTGCAATAATACCCAAATTGACAACCAATGTTCCAATTTACCTCTGAATATCAAAATGGAATCTCTAGTCCCAAGGCTGAAGTGTAAGGTTGCAACACCAGATATATATATGCTACCAAGGCTTTTCAAAACAATGACAATAACCAGATAAAATTAAATGATTTTCATTGGTATAAAATGGCGATATTAGGATTAATGATAATAGAATTTCCCTTGCCAATGGGATCCGACGAATAAAAGTAGCATTCTCTATCTTTTCTCTTCTTTTCAGTCCTGTCCGCAGCTTCACTCGTTGATACGCCCCATTGTTTACCCGCCTACAATAGGTCACTCACTCGACCTCCTCTTCTTCCTTTGTGGTGGTCAGGTAGTAGCGACCCTTTGGTTCTCCCTGCTTTTCGTACTCGAGCGAAAGTCTTGAGAGGTGGGCGAGCAGGTTCTCGATCTTAATCTCGCCCTTGCTTCGCTTGGCTCTGCCAAGCTGGTCGAGCCATTTGAACTTGTTGAGCCCGAGGTAGACTAGGGCGATGACTACCTCGACGCCGAACGAGTAGAGCCAGATGCGCACGACGGTGACGATGTCCGTCCATCCGTTGGTGGTCTCCACGAAGGAAGTGCGCGGATCTGTGACCATGTCCTGATTTGTGAACCAGCCGAAGAGACAGAAAAGCGTGGCTAGGATATCCACGCCCAGGATGGCGGTCACCAATTGGATCGAGGGCCAGGTGGCCATGCCGCGGGTCACGAATATCAACCAATTCTCCGTCAGCGCGACCTCGAGGAACAGCACCTCCTGGATAGAGCCCCAGTTCTGGATGATGCCCCCTGAGGGGAGGAACATGGTGCCCCGAATCACCCACGTCGCCAGGGCGAGCAGGATGCCGAGAATGACGGAGATGAACCAGATTTTCGGGAGTTGCCATTCCACAGGCCGCAGTTCAAAGGATGCATTGTCGTATGCAACCGCAACTGTGGCAAGATCGGCGAAAAGTGCGAGGAAGACGATCAACTCCACCCGGATGCTTTCATTCAGAATGATCATCGATGTAACCAGATATATCTCCAGGTGTAAGCACAGCGCGATGCGGTATTGGATATAGGCTTTCATGCGATGAAAGATTTGGCGGGCAACCTTGACCGAGTCAATGATGGTCGATAGGCCTGGCTCTAGGAAAACAATATCTGATGCGGATTGAGCGGCCTCCGAGGCTCCTTCCACTGCAATACCGCAGTCAGCCTTCTTCAAAGAAGGGGCGTCATTGACACCATCGCCTGTCATGGCTGTGAGATGGCCTCTTTCCTGGAGCATTTGGACAACTTGATATTTATGTTCAGGATATACCTCGGCGAACCCGTCTGCCTTTTCAACCAATTCGCCAGCCATGCCACCGCTCAGATGGCCGTGGATGAGCTTGTCAGAATTATGCACTTTAGTCCCAAGAGCAAGCATTTTGCATGTCTCTTTCGCAATGGCCATTGCATCACCTGTGAGCATTTTGACGCTGATTCCCAGGTTCTGGGCTTCTTGGATGGTCTGCGCGGTATCTTCTCGCGGGGGATCAAACATCGGCAGCATTCCCAAAAGAGCCCAGTCTTCACCTTCTTTCTGCACTGCAACACCCAGGGATCGGAAACCCCGGTGGGCGAATTCCTGGGATTTGGCAGTATACAGGGCTGCCGTTTTCTTGGAGCAGTTCGTCAACTGGAGCACGGCCTTTGCTGCTCCCTTGGTGCATGTGTACTTGACCCCATCGCAGCTAGCAACGGTAACGATCCGTTTAGACACAGGATCAAATGGCTGAAAGGATTCCGTTTTCCAACCCCTGCGCAAGATTTCCCTGGCTTTGGGATACTGACGAAGCGCCAGGATGGTGACCTTGTCAATTGGATCCAGGGATTCAATATTGTGGGACGACGCGAGGACAGCAACCGCAAACATCCAGTCGATGTCAACTCCTTCAGCGACGTATGGATCCCTGATGCTCAACTTGTTTGCTGTCAAAGTGCCTGTTTTATCAGAGCACAGTATATCGACGCCCTGTTCGGCCGGGGGCGGCTTAGCATTTCATTCAGTCATTCTTAACACTTGGGGACATACGGCTAACGATTCGATTGCAGTCAATTTCTGCACAATTGCCTTTTTCTTGGCCAGGTACGCTGCTCCAACTGCCATGGTCGTTGTAGTGACGACAGGCAGGCCAACAGGCACACCGATAATCAGCAACGAGAGAGAGTAGTGCAGAAGAGTCTGTTGAGGGGGGGATGCAATGGGGATATGTCGAAAGAATCCCCCGATCCAAGCAGCCAAGATCCACGCCACGACCAACACAAGCAGGGAGGTTCCGATATTATCCATAACGATTTCGAAATGTCCAGCGCCTTTCGCAGCCTGCACCATAGTAGCTGTCTTGCCGACAAAGGAAGTCTTCGCAGTGGTTTGCACTACCGCATAAACATGTCCTCGTTTGCAACCCGTGGTATAGAAGATCTTGTCGCCGATATAACGATCCACCGCGAGAGATTCTCCTGTAATGGCGGAATGATCGCAGGCCAGGAGGGGATACCCACGCTTGCGGCTCCGTTCTTTTTTCTTGTCATCACTTTCACTGCCTTTCTCTTCATCGGCATCGGACGACTCCTCATCGGATTCGCGGAGATCGCCTTCTTCTTGCATCCTGAGAAACTCTTCCCAGCCGTTCGGGTCATTGAAATCAGAAATGACTTTGGCATCCCCCGGAATCACCTGGCCTTCCTTGATGATGACCTGCAAGTTTTATTGTCTTCATTAGATAAATCTGAGTTGAAACGTCCTCTAGAAGGAATAAAGGGCATACCACATCACCCGGGACAAGCTCTCTGGCTAGAATCTCCTGCTGCTCGCCATTTCGAACAACTTTGGCTCTCATCGCAATGTCCCCCTTCAGGCTGGCGACGACATCGGCTGCTTGTTTTTCTTGATACCACCCAACGGTAGCATTCAAGCACAAGATACCGATGATGACACCAAAATCAATCCAATCATCCAGAGCGGCAGCAAGCAGAAGCGCAATCTCCATGACTACCAGAGTGTCAGATAAAAACATTAGACAGTCAGTAACAAATCTTATGAAGTGATCTCACCGTAGAGAATGGGACCCCGGAAATAAGACAGAAATTTTGCTATTGGGTTTTCCTTCTCGGAGACCAGTTCGTTCCAGCCGGCTACACGACGCCGGTTCTGCACCTCCGTGTTGGACAGGCCTTGGTGGATGTTCGTGACAAGCCACTCGTCGGGGAACTTGCCAGCTTCATGATCTCCATCCTTGATGCGGACCTTTCTCTTTCTCCAGGGAGCATACCACACTCGTTTCATTTGTACTTGTCCTTCCCCTTCACCGTCGCCAGGCTCGCGGAACGTGGAGACATACTTGACTAGCTTTCCGTACTCGTCAAGATTTGCCCAGTCTTCTTTGATAGAGATGCGGGAAATCCGCCGCTCGGACGTTCTCGTCGAGCCTCGTCTCCCCTCTCCACGTTCGACATCGCCGTCGGCAACCGGCCCAGGCTGAGGAGGTTGATGAGACATTTCTAGCTCCGAGCACCCGTTTCCAGGGTGACAGAGAGTTCAGTTGACTTGCCTGATCCCCTCTGCTATACTTGACTTGTCGCTGCTAGCTAACGTGTGTCTGGCCTGCCAATGCTTTATGAGTAGGAGGGCGAGATGCATACCCGCTTCGCCATATCGCTGATAAACCACCCTCCGGCTCTTCAGCAGTGTAAATACCGACTGTACCAATCATTCTGACGTACCAAGACATCTCGGTCACGTTCTTTGACAGCTTGGAGCAGCAGGAGAGAAGCGTGGTCATAACCAGACGGACTAGCCTATCAAGCTAAGCATTGCAATGCCCACGGGAAGGAGGGGGGATGTTGAATACCTTCCGATATAGTCTTGACGTTTCCTGACGTATTGAGTCAATTTTGTTTATATAGGGCAGGTTGGTCCAGGTGATTGACTTCAGGAGAAGGTGGCTTCAGACGAAGATGAACCGGGGGTCAAACCAGGACGTCACGGAAACAATGACAAATCAGAGGGGAATTTTTGGTTCCTGCAGACGTACCTGGATTGAAGAGTCAAGAAAGCCCAAGGGAAGAAACTGTCTGATCCAGTCACAGCAATTGACATGGCCAGAGGGGGGATGTCGGGTTGTCGTGCCGCTCCATTTAGGATTCCCGAGGCCTTCCGGACCCGGTAATTCATGAAGCTTTAAGAGGTGGAGGAATTTATTTCATAGGGGTCAATAAGAATAAAAAAGATTTTATTTTGGCCTTCTATTTACTCATTTTTCATTTTTCATCACTCATCTCACTGCATCCGCGGACAGCCCGCATCCAAACTTATTTACCACCCTTACCGGTAGGAATGTTAAAGAAGACCGCAGGCGTGCCCGGGGCGTAGGCGCGGTCAACGCGGTAGAAGCCCTTGCGGTCGAACTGAATGATGTCTCCCACCTTCAGGTCGGCCACGTTTCCGTCGGCAAAGGCTTCATCGCGGAACTCGGTCTTGGGGTTCAAGACATCCTCGAGCTCGTCATCCTCGCCGAGAGTGTCCTTGTTGAGCAGGTAGTCAAAGTCCACGAGCTCCACGGGGATGAGCTCCTGGCCCTCGGTGGCCAGCCAGGTGACCTTCTTCTCGGTCTTCTTGACATCGCCCTCCAGATGGAGGTCAAAGTCGAGACCAGTGACGGCGCCAGTAGCGGCATCGGTCTCGATCTTGCGAACAATGACATTGCCCCAGTTCATGAGGGTGATCTCCTCATCCTGCTTGAAAAGCTTGGCGTCTTCCTGCTCAATGAGGACTGCGCCACTGTAGGCCACCTTCTTGGTACCAACGGCTGCGTTCTTTGCATGCTTCGGCTTCTCTTCGGTATAAGGAGTGGCGGGAGCACCGTTCACGACGGCCTTGATCATGCCGTTCTTGGCAATGGCCGTGTGGCGGGGAGCAATAGGGTCGATGTACTTCTTGTTGACAGCCCACATGGCGGAAGGCTCCATCAGAGTGATGTTCTTGCTAGGCCCCTGCTTGAGGATGAACTCTCTCAGGGCAGGGATGGTCATACCACGGCGACGGATACCGCGGATGGTCGGCATGCGAGGGTCATCCCACCCCCAGACAGTGCCCTGATCAACAAGCTTGGTGAGCTTTCTCTTGGATAGCAGAGTGCGGATGAAGTTCATGCGAGCAAAGTCCCAGATCTGCACGTTGCGAAGCTTGAGAGTGTCCAGCATCCACTGGTACTGGGGGTTGCGGTCACGGTACTCGGTGGTTCTCAGGGCATGGGTGACACCCTCCTTGGAGTCAACGATGGGACAGGCGAAATCGTAGGTGGGGTAGACCTTCCACTGGGTGCCTGTGCGGTGGTGGGGAGTAAGGTTGCAGCGGTAAATGACCGGATCACGCATGGCCTTGTTGGGGTTGTCAACAGAGAGCTTGGCACGGATGCACCACCTGAGACCCTCGGGAGTACCCTTCTTCATCTCCTCGAAGCGAGCAAGACTCTCCTCAATGGAGGTATCACGGCGCTGACTGGGCAGCCCGTGCATGCGCTGGTGAGCCATGGTCTCCTTATCGGTATCATCCGCGTAGGCATTGCCATCTTTGATGATTTGCACACCGTACTCGTAGAGCTCGTCGAAGTAATCACTAGTGTAGGTCATCTGATCGGGCTTGATGCCCATGAGAGCTAGATCCTCGATGATGGAGCTCTCAAACTCCGCCTTCTCCTTAGAAGGGTTGGTATCGTCGAATCTATCAAGGGTGTCAACAAATGCCACTCAGAGATGAGAGACAGAGGGGGGAAGGGAATAAATACCTCACGATCAGCTTTCCAGCATATTTCTCGTGGGCAAAGTAATCGTTCAAGAGAGCCGCCTTTGCGTGACCGATGTGAAGATATCCACTAACAGTGGTATGTCAGCGTCAGCACAGTTCCAAGCCCAATTTAAAACGCCAGGGAAACCGGTCACTCACGATGGCTCAGGAGGGAAACGAGTAACAACGCCCTTCTCAGTATCACGGAGAGCAATGTCGTAGCTCGCACCAGCCTTCGAACCAGCAGCCCTCTTCTCCTTGGCGGCAGCATTGAGGGTCTGAACAGCAGGGACAGTCCATGGGCACAGCTCCTCCACGAAAAGGTACCAACGGCTCAGGTTCACCAAGCTACCTTTCTTCAACGCCGAGACAGCAACCCGGTTGCCACGCAGGGCACCCCAGACAGCGATATCAGCCGTGGACAGAGAGTATCCAGCGATAAAGGTTCGGAGAAGGAGGTGGGTGTCTAGGCGCTGCAGGTGAGGATCCAGCACCTTGAAATCGAGAGCGGAAAGCACATCAAGCTGAGACAGCCATTGAGCTTCCTAAAAGGCACACAAAGATCAACTATTAGATATATATCCCCTGACATTAATCGACAAATCAGTAATCTACCTGCTTGTCATCCTTCCCGATCAGGTGAGGGAAAGTAGCACGCAGCTCCTCGATGGCGTTGTCCAGACCGATAGCAGCAGTTCCACTGGCACCAACAAACTTCACAACCGCCTTCTCGTCCGCCTCAAGCAGAGCAGTGTCCTCGTAGGTGATGTCGATCACAGCACTGGAACTAGCCTCGTTGATAGAGCTTGCAACCAGCAGAACAGGCAGCACAGAGGCATGATTGGCCCGTGTGGCCACAACAAGCTGAAATTGAGACATCCTAGAGCCCGAGAACAGTGTGTACGAGCAAAGAATGAGTCTGGTTGGCGTCGACCAGGACAGTCACACTATTTATCTCTTTTTTCCTTCGTTGGAGGGGCTGCGTTGCGTGACTCGATGCCGCCGGGCCCACGTTGTTCCGCAGACCGGCAGAAAACATTCCTGCCGCAGCTGCGGACGAGAGCAAGAAGTAACTGCTTTGTTGTCAGTCGGCGAGGATGGCTTCCTATACCGCGTTTCTGCCCTCTGCGGCGAGAGGCGTGTTGCCGTCATGTCGTGTTTCCTTGCGGGAGAGGTCAATTGCTCCCTTTTTATCTGTTTTCCAGCAGCAGGCCCGTGGAGCGAAGACCAGTTCCAAGGTCGACCCGGCCAAAGCGAAGAGAGACAATCGCTCCAAGGATTTCAAGCAGCAGAGCCTAAAGGATATGGAAAAGTTTGCTCTATGTGATGCTATAAGGTAGGGCTTGTCGGGACTGTTCGGTATGCTGTCGACCGGTTGCGTTGACAGGCTTCTTCTCGCAGGTATATCCGGGCGTTCGAGGTTGGCCGCGACCCGTCGTCTACCAAGTACGAAGTCCATATCCGGCTGAAGTCCATGCGAAATGGGCCAGTGATCCGCAACATGCTCCGTTTCCCGCATGCAGTGCAGACCGAGTCGCGGATTTGCGTGATCTGTCCCCCAGGATCCCGGTCCGAAAAGGAGGCTCTCGCAGCTGGTGCAGCCCTGGTCGGCGAGAAGGATGTGTTTGATGCAGTGAAAAACGGTGTGATTGAATTTGACCGTCTCATCTGCCACCCAGACAGTCTCGAGGCGTTGAACAAGGCGTCTCTCGGGCGGATTCTGGGACCCAAGGGCCTGATGCCTAGTGCGAAGACGGGCACCGTGGTGGAAGATGTTGCGATGCGCGTTGACATGCTGCGTGGAGGTACCATCTACCGCGAGCGAGACGCGGTCATCCGGTTACCCATTGGCTTGCTGGCCTTCTCTCCGGAGCAGCTGCGCGACAACCTGCGCGCCACGCTCGACCAGATCAAGAAAGATGCGGCTGCCATCAACCACATCGTTAACAAGGAGATCTATGAAGTGGTGAGTAGTCTTCTTCTGCTCTGGAAAAAACACAATGGAACTGACAGACGGCCTCTCTAGGTCCTGAGCTCCACCCATGGCCCGGGCCTCACTCTCAACGGCGATTTCAAATCCGAAAACTCCCCATCTACTGCCGATTTGAGCGTTTTGTAAGATAGCGGTCGACTACTTTTTTTCTTTCGCGCTGGCCTCTGGTTGTACAAATTATATTATTAGGAAGGACACGGTGTATCATGGTATCGACATTTATTTTCAAATTGAAAAAAAAATTCCAAACAGAACCCTGAACACCGCCGCTATGCAATCTTGTACTATATACTCGCAAATCATATTTTCAGGTCCTTCAGGGCAGTCGCCGTGCTGACCTCCTCACCCATCAGATTGTACATTTTCATCACGGCCATGGTTCTGGCCTCCTGCTTGTCGGTTGCGTTCTGTGTTTGTCCTAGTGCCGACTTCAGGTCCAGGAGCAAGGTGGATCGAATGTTTTCCATACGCGGCTGCTGGCTCAGCAAGAACGGATGGCTGCTGCCGATGCGATCCGTGAGCGTCGTAAGATACAGGAACTTGCGGATATGATGTTCAAGTCGTTTCAGCGACACAGCGGGCGCTGCTGGCACCGGGCTGCTCTCGGCAACACTCGCATCCTCGCTACCCTCGCTGTCACTGCTGTAGAGACCCATTTCCGGATCTGAAGCCTCCGAGTCTGACTCCTGCTGATGGTCCCCGGTTGACAGATCGCCGATCATCAATCGCTGTTCTAGCTCCTCAACACGGTCCGCGTAGTCTAAAAGCAATTTTCCTATGTTGGCCTCGCTCCTCAAACGTTTCTTTTCCTTCAACAGGGCCTCGACATCCGCGCGTTGGTCCTCAATCTTATCCCGGATCGCTCGGACGTCTCGTTGGAATGCTAACAGCCCGACGCGCACTTCTTCGGTCTTCTCCTCGCCGCCTCTCAAGGCGCTCCCAAGTGAGAGAAAGTCCTGATAGTTCTCGTTGACGAGATCCAGTAGCTCCTTGCTCAATAGCTGGTCGAGACTCCGTAGCTCCTGGCGAAGGTCTTCCAAGCTCTGGTGTCTATTTCTGAGCGACGACAAAAACGCCGCCGGATCAAAGTCCGGTGCAAGGAAAAACGAGCGTGCCAGAGGTTCAGGAAATGGTAGGCTGGACGTGTCGTCGTCATCGTCGTCGTCGAAATCGGAGCTGGACCTGTCCGAGTCCCCAAACTGCTTGACCGGTGAGCGTACGCACACTTAGGTAATCGGCTAATAAAGCGACGCAAATAATACACGACATACCGGAAGATTGCTCATGATAGGCGTCGGGATAGCCGGTTGTTGGCAGGACTGGGTGCAGAGCTGGACAAGTTGCAGGGGAGAGTCTCCTTCGGCCGCGGCCCCTCATGGCTCTCTCTCTCGCTCTCTCCACCCGCCAAGGGACTTGCCAGCACATCTGGCCGACAACTCTGTCATCCGACTGATAGGACTCGCGAGACCTGTGGACTCGGAAATGCGAAAGCCATGCATGTCTGCATGCACCTGCCCTGCTAGGTCCAGTGTACGTCTGCGATCTTACTCACCAGCACCACACTGGCATACGTGTCTGACCCCTCTTGGCGAGTGACGGCCGCTGTCCTCCTCCTCTCAGCACGGGAGTGTTTGATCGTCTCATCCGGGGAAAGGGTCGTCTGGCTGCAGTAGTCGGCGGCCGTGTCGTTTCTTCTCTTGGTCCACTGGCTGGGCTTCGCTGGGAGAAGACTAGAAAGTGCGTCGTGCTGCGGCACATTTGGCCGGTTATCGACGATATGGACTGCAGGTCAGACAGAGAACCAGCGCAGCTGAACGGGATTCAGCTGCCGTCTACGCTGCCGTCTACGCTGCCTTCTGCTAGGCCTCGACGATGGTCACGTTTTACCTCTTCATCTTTTGCCTCTCCGGCCAGGGAGCCTGCTGTTTCTGCGCATCCCGGCCCTCGCCACCTCGACTCCGCTGGCCTTGATGAGCCTGCCCTCGCACACCGGACTACTGCCCTATATCAGTTGAATCGATCGTCTAAGCCTTTCTCGTCTCGAAAATCCCGACCAGCACAGGCTACCAGTCGCTCCTCGTCGACGTTGGCGTCCCAACCGGTCTTAGTCCGGGCTTACTCTGGCCATGCTCAGGACCGCCCCGAGCCCGCCAGAATGCCTTCGCGGCGGTCGTTTTTACTGTCAAGGGCCCCCGCGGCGCGGCCCCGCGGCCCGGAGCTTCCATCAGATGAAGATTTCAGCATTGAAGGCATCCTGCGTGCAATCGAGCCCGACATTCGCGGGACGTTGGATTCGATCGCCGAGATCTGCGGTCGAAGCAAGCTCAGCCTGGCCAACGAGTACAGCAGTCACATTGCGCCCTTGGGAGAGATTCGGGCCCCACCAGGGGGTCTGCTGACGGTGGATGAGGCCACCCCCAGTCATGAAGGACAGACCGATGAGAGTGTGGCTATCCTGGACGACGATGCAAGCCTGGCTGATGGACGGGATGCGTCATATCCCTTCTCTTACTACAGCTATCCTCACAACCCGAGTTTCCAACCGCTAGCTGCGTTCTCGGCCGGCGATGGCTCGTCGGTTCAGGTCCAGCCCGACACCCCTCGATCTGGCCCATTCATGGATCTTGGGCTGGAAATGGAACCCGATCACCTACAGGCGCTACCCGCGACACGAGAGTTCTCATCCCGGCCCAAGTCCAGCGGCAGGGCTCTTCTAGCCACGCAGGTCGAATCGTTGGGGCAGGCAGTGCTGCAAAGCATCACCACCCCAGCCATTGTGTCAGAGATGCACCTAGATGCACAGGCAGATGGGTATTCTCTCTCAGCAGGGTCTCGCCCACTGCCGTCAAACCACGAGACACGCGTCGACCTTCAGGGATTCGTCAAGTGGTTCAGGGTTGCCACGCAATACCCTGCAGCGGAGACCGCTTCATCCCAGCAGTCGGCAGAGACCCGTCTACGCGCCATGCTTGAGCAGGTTGACGCGGGTGTCGCCCATACGGCATGATATGACCTTAGATGACTCTAGCTCTGGCAATTAGCGAATGAATGTAAACATGACTTTAATGAAATCTAGGTTATTGACTAGGATACAGTTAACATCATCATGAAAGTAAACTATATATGCTTTTGCGGGAATCTATTTACAGAAGTAGTATATCAATCAGTGCAGAGAGCTATAATCAAGAATAGTCATAAATCATGAAGACGTCTCTGTACCCTCAATCTTCGACAAGAGTGTCTTGGCAAAGGCCTCGAACCGTGGCAGAGACCAGCAATCCTGATACCGTTCCACCAGCGGACGAGAGTCGACCTGCTCACCCCCTTGCAGCTGTGTGTGCTCATTATTCCCATTTTCGTCTTCACTATCTTCATCATCCACAACCATCTTACCTTCGACGAGTTCACCGAACTTGACATCCACAGGGACGCTTCCTAGAAACGGCACCCCCGTCTCCTGGGCCATTATCTGTCCGCCTCCGCTGGAAAACAGATTCGTCACCTCCCCACAGCAGGGGCAGGTATACCCCGACATATTCTCAATCACGCCCAGAGCCGGGATGCGGGTCTTGACGCAAAAGTTGATCTCCTTGCGCACGTCGGAGGTAGCTATCGCCTGCGGTGTGGTCACAAGCACCGCCCCGGCAAGGAATGGCAGGCCCGTTGTCGACGATGGCGACCCTCGTGTTGTAGTCGCCACGGTTAGCAGTTGCTCTGCCAGCGCGATATGCTCGTCACTGGTGCCCGGCGGGGTGTCGACAAGCAGGTAGTCCGTTTCGCCCCAGTATACGTCCGTCAGAAACTGGCGGATCATGGCTGTCTTCTTGGGCCCGCGCCAGATCACCGCATCGCCGCGGTCACGAAGAAGAAACCCCAGCGACATGCATCGGAGGGAGCCGCGCCCCGTCTGTCCTTGTCCTTGTCCTTGTGCCTCCCGGTCTTCATGTTCATCGTCTGTTGTCTCCCTCGGCGGTTCTGCTTCATGAACCAGTACGGGTAGCCAGCCGTCGGGGGTTTGCGTGATCTTGGCGTCTTCGCGGCCGACAAGCCGAGGCATCGACGGGCCTGTCAGGTCGATGTCGAGGATTCCCACCGATTTGCCTTGCAGCGAAAGCGCGAGTGCGAGCTGTAGCGTCACCGAGGATTTTCCCACGCCACCTTTGCCGGAGAGGACCTAACAATCATTAGTGAGCATTATATTATAGTAAACACAATCTTCATTTATTAATTAAAAATTGCTAGATCATAGCAGATCAAGCTCTTGCCTGACTCCCTTCTTTATCGATAAGAGGTATGAGGGGTAGCTCCAAACTGCAAACGACCTACCAGGATGATATTCTTGACCCCGGTAAGAGGCATCGCGGATCAATGTCAGGCCTTGCTGGAGGCTCGTATATGTCTTTGATTCGGTGATCTTGCAGGGAATGCTAGAGACTGAAGACCAACGTCGGATGGTTGTCATCCGCGGATTGAAGCAGGTGGGGATTTATGTTTTTTCGCTTATCAATCATCGACGACCAGGTACGGAGGAAGTGTGATAGCTATGCGGAGCAAATTACTAAACCTATCGTGTGCTGCTATCTTTCCTTTTCTGGAGAGAAAAAAATACAGTACATCTATATGTAAAATTCATCTAAACTGACTGCTGGATAGATGGTATGGAATTAAGCTATCATGAGTAGTATCATGGGTGTCTTATCTTTCCAATGTTGTGAGCCATGAAGAGCGTACTGTAAGCCTGACTTCACTGCCACTTCTGCACCACAACGCCACCACGCTTGAAATCCGCGAGATCCCCTAGCACTGCAGCCTTGTCAGTCAACTCTTTGTTTGGGAAAGTGGTCATCAACACCCAAGGCCGAGACTGGCTGACAGGACTTGCTGCCGAGACAAAGTCGTAGACATCGCCAATGGTATGCGTCGTGTTGAATCTGGAAGTAAGCCGCGATCCATCCCCAAGTCGCACCTGCAAGGTTACCACGGGTTGTGATTCGTCGACAGTAGGACGGACAGGGTCAGAGGGGGCTTCGCTCGATTTTGCAGCAGTGGTGGTAGGAGCCTGCTGGGTTTTGATCATGGGGGTCGGGCTGCCCAGTCGCTGTCCCTGGCCCGAAAATGGCTTGTATTTGGGCTTTGGCTTGATGTACTTTTCTTCATGTTGCTTGATCTCAACATCGACTTCTTGGCCCGGTTGTACATTCATAATTGAGAGAGGGGCGCGACCCTGTCGGATTCCCTCTAGGACCTCGGCATTCCGAGGGTCATCAGACCGGTACAGGTCGCCATCATCCACTGAAAAGCCGTCTGCCCAAAAATGAAGAGTTCTCTGTACCCTTGGCGGCTGCTGTATGGAGCGTGAGGCTTGGCTCTCGATGACCCGGCTCGGTGCATCGTCACCACCGAGCGTGCGTGCAGTGCCAGTGAAATTTGACCTAAGCGGCTCGGAGTCGTCAGCAGATGGAGGCTTGGACCTGTCACGAGAAAGATTGTCAGCCCCAGTGATCGCGTAGCCTTAAGTGTATTTTTAGCGCTCACTTTCTGGCTTTCTCTAGGATTTTCCGCTTGATGTCGTCAGGATTCTGTACGGCCAACCCAGATTTTTCGCCCCCAGCAAAGAAGTCCTGGTTTTCATCGTCTTCTTCGTCTGTAGAATCGCCTGCCCGGGCCGCAAAATCACCCAAGGTAGCGAACTTTTTTTGAGGCACAGCTTTCTTCGAGGGTGGTTGTCGGAAGTCACCCAGCGACTGGCCAGTTGCCGATTCCGTCTCGTCATCATTCCCCAGTCGTCTCCCTATCGAACTTCCACCGCTAGGAGCTGCTGCCTCCTCCGTCATGGCGTCAGGATCCGCAAAATACTCAGATAGCGCCTCATCGAGATTCCTTTCCATCAGCCAATTCTGTGCCTAGAGGACACACACCCAGTCAGAATCAAATAATCCACCATGCAAGCCCGACTCAAAAATGAACCTACCTCGGAGGGTTCCATTCCAGTTATTGCACAGAACTGAGAGAGAATCTCATCTGGTGTTGGGTTGGGTGCATCCATGCTGACTGCGGGGTCAGGAATCAACAAGGGTAAGCAGTAAACACGCGCCTGTGTGGTTTGCTCCTTCTAAACCCAGAGAAATACTGGCAGCAGCAAAAAGGGTATGTTGGGATGGAGGAGATGCAAGAGTGATGAAGAAGTAAGTCGACGCGCTGGCCTGTTGTGAAGAAGCAATTACAGCTGCCGCCTTTCACTTTTGCAGTACGTCACTCGTAGCTGCCTGATTGGCCAGGCTGCCCCCAGACCTTCCCCCTCCGCAAGGGAAAAGTGAAATTGGTGAAGTAGAATAGAGAACGATTTAGCCAAGTGGCAGCTCACATCTAGCTAGCCTTTAGTCTACTGGAGGTACAGATAGCTTCAAATAGGCAGTGGAGGGCGTACTTGGGATGTCTGCCTGGGCTGTTTTGCAAGTAGGCAGATAGGTAAGAACGCTGATGTGTACAGCTTAGGCCCCTCTCTACATTGTGAAAATACAACCGGACCGCATATATACTATCCTTCTACATCGTTCAGACACTCCTTGAAGTCTCCCAGGGCTTTCGCTGCTCACTCTCTGACCAAGACACTGCTCGAAACCAGATTGTTGAGTATCAGCTTACATAAGCCCCATGTTTGATGCCGGAGCGCAGATCAATCATTCCTGTTGACCGACGACATCACCGCAGCACAACAAGCATCTAGCTGTGCATTTAGACAGAAAGCACTATCCCTAAAAGACTACATCGACGAGAATTCAGTAGTCTATTGCGAAATTAACTGCCTGTCGTCTGCCAAGCTACCTGGCTTCCGAGATCTCGCCTTCCCCCCCTCCCCCAAGCAGCCTCCCGCATCATGGCATCCGACGAACTGAGCGGCTCTAGAATAGAGCTATACGACTCATCCCTGACCGTTCCGTCTGATTCGGAAAATTACTCGGCCAACAACGAACTCACTTCGTCCACCTCCAGTTCACCGCTCATTCTCTACCAACCGCCCACAATCTGGAGCTTGCTCCGGGGTGCGGCCATCAACCTCATTCTTCCGTTTGTAAACGGGCTTATGCTGGGATTTGGCGAACTTTTTGCACATGAGGCAGCCTATAGGCTGGGATGGTCTGGCACAAAGGTGCGTTGTTTTGACGAAGGCTCTACATACATCCATTCCATCATACAGGTGCATGCTGTTATGAGTTCTCAGGCTGACTCTTTTCCCATTTACAGATTTTCCCTACATACCGGCGATCGAGACCAGCAGGCCCTGGGATTGAAGTGCGTGACATTCCCTTCGACCGCAGACGGGGGACCAAAGCGGGTCTTCAAGATACCACATCCTTGGAATAGACGAGTTGAATACTGGCCGCGATCTACTTTCTCTCTCTATTTTGTTGTTTCCCGCTCTTTCCCCCTTCTTGGAACTTGCATAGGACGCGTGTATTGTATATAGACTCGAAAAGCACTGAGAGGGCCGACCCCGGATGGCGTACCGTGAAAGATTTGGGTTACAATTTATCACCGTCACTAAAACCCACCAGATACCTCTGAAACCGACAAATAGATCTGTCGTTTTAAGCCATCTCAAATGGTCCAAATCCAAATTAATGACGTTTCAATTAGTTATTTATCCTCTTATGTTTTGCCTTAGTAGATTCTGGAGTCCCGTGATTGAGCCCTCCGCCCGGCAGAAAGCCGGTCTTGGCGCAAAAAGTGAACGGCCGCTCGGGCCTGGACACTATTTCGGTATTACCTTTTGGCTGTTGCTGCCTTGTCGAACAGACCGTCACGTTCCAGGGCCAGACCTCATCATGTTCAGAGGCGTTCCCCTGCGAGGGCCCGGTGTCGTGTCGGGCGTTGTCCGGCAAGGAGGGAGTGTGTTTCCGCGCTCGAGTCGATCGGTTCGTGATCTGTATTTGAATTGGAATGCGCCTTCTCCAGGACGAATGTTTAAACTGACGGATATGCAATGCATTTCACAGATTTCCTCTTTTAACAATTCTCAACTCTTCAAGTCCTCCGCTCGGTTAGAGAAGCAGCACGGTCTGCTTGCTGGTCGGCCGTCCTTCAAATCCAGCCCGTCTGTCCGGGCTTGGTCGGCTGCTCGATTCAACTCGACCTCCGCGGCAACGACAACGACAACTGTCGCCTCAGTCGCTGAGAATGGGTCTGAATCCACTGTTGAGAAGGCGGCAGACGTTCTGTCCGAGGTCGACCTGACGGCCATTCCGGAACGGATTGGATACTTGAAAGAAATAGGGTTGGATTATGGCTGGGGGCCATCCTCGATCGTTCAGTATATCATCGAACATATTCATATTTACAGCGATCTCCCGTGGTGGGCTAGCATTATCGGCTGTGGTGTTCTGTTCCGTCTTGCAATGGTGAAGCCAACATTCATTGCAGCGGATAACGGCGCCAAGTTATCGAACCTGAAGCCCATAATGGAACCGATTCGTGCAAAGATGTTCCACGAAATGAGGTCGAAAAACCAACAAGTGGCTATGAAGCTTAAGGCTGAGCTGGCACAGATCACTGAGCAGAATGGCATCAAGAATTACAGGTCCTTCCTGCCCATGATCCAGATTCCTTTCAGCATTGGCTGTTACAGAGTGGTTTATGGCATGACTTCCCTGCCAGTGCCTGGCCTTGCCATGGAGAGTCTTGGCTGGCTGAAAGACCTGACGGTTGCCGATCCGTATTTCCTGCTCCCGGTGATGACTACTCTGTTCATGTACCTCACTATCAGGGTAAGTGATCCGGGTATCCGTCTGTTCGTGTTTACCATTGCTAACTCACCGTGTCTTGTTTAGAAAGGAGGAGAGTCCGGCATGAGTAACATGAAGGATACAAGCTTCGGGAAGTTCTTCATGTACGGTCTGCCGACACTGTCGTTCGCATTCATGGCCAATTTCCCAGCCGCTCTGCAACTGTACTTCCTCGCAATGGGTACCACTGCTCTCATCCAGTCATACTTGCTCGCCAACGACAGCTTCCGGAAATTTGCGAACATCACAATTCCTCAGAGATTTCCATCGGCTACCACTACCGAGTCTCCTGCGATCGAAAGCGCGAACAATTCCATCCGCCTTCTGGCGGACAGAATCGAGGCGGAAAAGGCCAAATTGGCCAAGGCATCGCCTCCGGGGAAGCCTGACCCTACCATTAGCCTCATTGACCGTGCGGTCAACTCTAGCAAAGGGTTTGTGAGCGAACTTAAACGCGAGACGACCGAGAAGATGCAGGAGTTTTCGGGCAAGGGCCCTCAGACTAATGCTGACGGCACACCCGCGGCTCCGCCCAGACTCAACGAGAAGGATATGAAGCTGGCCAGCGATTACGAGAGGAGACGGCGCGAGGAGGAGGAATGGAAGCGCGAGGAGCGCAACCATGCTCGGAGAGAGGCTCACATGAAGGCTCTGCAGATGGAGAGAGAGAAGGCTGCCCAGTCGTGGAAGGCAGCGGCCGCCAAGTCGAAGAACAAGCAGAGATAAACGGGCTGGTTTTAAAGGTACTAATGCCTTCCCATTCTTCTCTTTCCTTTCTCTCCCTGTCAATGTAAATTAGAAGCTTGTATCATTTTTCATAGGCATTACTTTAGTTTCTTGGAGTTAGAAATTATTGTAAGAAATTCATTCTCCTGTCTTCAATAGAAAGTCCCGGAATGATTCTTAGATGTCTTCATCTTGAGTAGCCACAGACACGGCCACGTAGAAAACATCCATCTCCAACTGAGATAAGCTCCTTGCTCAACCACGAGAACAGCGTGAAAGGATCCAAATTGAAGGAATTTATCTCTCATGATCATCGCCACGGGTGAGCAAGAGATTGGTCCACTCTTTTGGAATACCGCCCGGAAAGTTATCACAAGCATTCAGGAGGGTTCTCTGCATATTGACCGAGCATCAGCAACACTCCTCGACTGAGATCAAACCAAACCGCCCAACAGTCCAACTTACATGCATGGCAAGGTCAACGTCTTCGAAGAACTCTTCCGTAGACCCGCGTTTGATGATCTAGTGAAAGAAGGGGTGAGAACTGACTTGCACCTGACTGTTTTCGATTCATTGCTTACCTCGAAGACCAGATTTTTGTTTTTCAAATGGGCAATAACCTGTCGAGTCTCTTTCTGATAGACCTTGGCCCTTTCTTTACGTTTTTTGTTAGTCTGGAAATCGAATGAAACCGGGAGGACTATAGCAAGGTCGATGTTGACACGCTTTCGATATTTAGTTCTACCTCTCCAGAGATAAAAAGTCAGGGCACCCTACCTGGTCCAAGGCATTAAATTCCATCATGTCCTGCGGACAGTCGTCGAGAACGAAAGTGTCGATACAATCCATTCGGAAGATCTTGATGCAAGATCCCAGAATCATCGACAACTTCATTTTCTTCTCGTCAATATCAGAAGACTTTTTCTCGAACTTCAAGTGCTTCATGCGGTAAAGACCTTCTAGGTAACGGCAGACGATAGTCTTGCCTGATTTGGGAGGGCCTAAACAGGAGATACAAAGCAATGGTACGTCAGTCCGATGGTTCTTTCCAAGAAGACCTTCAAGAGGGGCTTGAGGGAGTGTTTCGACATACCTAGGACAACGGTGACACGGCATCTCTTGAGAACTTGTTCGTCGGTCAGCTCAGGGTGACTGTCCTTGAAATTGGCTCCAAGGCAGCGAGTAGTCACGGCTCCTTCTTCCACTTCTTCATCATCATCATCATCATCATCATAATCTTCCCAGTCCTCCTCTTCCCCTTCCTCCTCCTCCTCTTCTTCTTCTTCCAAGATCTGTTCCTCTTCCTCATATTCCTCCATCTCTTCGTCTATTTCCATTTCTTCACCGCCATCTCTAACTTTCAAAGCCGCCAAGATATGGGCAATGTCCATTTTTTCGTTGTTGGTTGCGGACACACCCTGATAGTAGGCCTCCTCGTCGGAGGGAACTGCGTTGCCAGGCAAAGTCCTACAAAGGCAGTGGAAGATGAGACACAAGAGGTAAAGGATGCCTTTTGCAATAGGAAAAGAGTACCAAATGATTGCAGTGAGCATTCAGCAAAGAGAACGAAAAGAAAAAGGTTGATACAGACTTGAGGTTTCTGGGTGGGCAATAGATCCACAACCTCCGAGTCTGTCGAGAGAGAAGAAAGAGAAGGAGAGAAGTCTCAGTGAAGGAAAGAAAGGGTTTCATGACTCCTATTTCTCGGCGCAGGATCGCATCGTGAACAGGTAGTGAAGTGTGTTTATGCGTCGACGACTAAGCGGGCCTCATCACAGAAGCAAGAGACTGTTCTTGGAGAAATCCAGCATAACACTTCTACTTCACTCTTCTCTATTCTCTGAGAGACATCCCTTTAGCTTGCTGAATAGCAAATTATCAGCTTCTGTAAGGCATTCATTCTATCCCGATCCTCAAGTCCGGGACAAAGGGGGAACTGCCTTGGACTGACTTGAGTAGAGGCCAAACACATCAATCTCAGTGTGAGACAAAGCCTCTCGTTTAAATATTCCGTGAGCATTGCCGTCTTTGTATAATGCTTGACTATCTCTTGAATTGGGTATAGACTCTCTAATAGCCATGACTGATCTATAGACCAGATATCTAAAATGATACCAATGAACAACACGACCTCCGACTGGGCACAAAATGAGGCCGTGCTCTCCTTCAACGTAGCCGAGCTTTTCTTGGAGCTCCTCTTTGCCTTGGTCTTCTCGGAGCTGACCTACTTCATCCTTCGTCGCAATCGCTTTCTTCACGGCGGAGTGTTCATCATCCTAGTTCGTCAGCGCCAGCACCAGCGTCAATTCCACCTGGTGCGCGTTGTGCGTCCAGGAAATGGTAGGTTCCAGGGACCAGATAATGTGAGAATTCAGGGAGCAGAGCGCTTCTAGATGGAGACCCAAGGCCGGAGGTACAATGAGAAAGAAAGCCTTGCGAGAGGAGAGATGTCGATGAAGAGAGAATACCGAGGAGAGGCGTCTTGGTAAGAACCGTCCAATCACAGATACAAGATCTAATGATGCTGACCAGATCCAATCAGATCTGGAGATAAATGCAATTAATCTATTGCTTGCTTTCAAGGATAGTTAGTACTTTAGGCTACTCTGGTGGAGAAGATCATACCAATACTTTTATGTATCTTGCTCCTCTCCTATTATTACGAGCTATTCTTTCAGTTCATCCCTTCCTCACATAATTAAGAATATTCTGGGCTGTATAATCTACTAGCTAGGATCGGATTACGCGTCGCAGGACAAGCATGATGCCGCCATCGTGCCCTTCTTGACGACATTCGTTAGTCGTTTCAAGAGCCAATCGAGCCGCAGTAGTTCCTGGCTAGAAGTCTCAGTCTAATGACTAGAAATTAAAAGCAATTCCTAAGGTATGAAGTATGATCCTGAGTAATAGTCTGGTGTTGTTTTAGATTAATCACCCTAGGCTGGTAGGCAGAGGGAGTAAGTTATATGTGCTTTTGGAAGAGTCAAAATATAAAACTGAATGACGGGAATTTATAATATAGATAGGTATGAAATCATTATACACGATTCTGAATGAAAACGAGGTCGGTTGAAAGGTAGTATGCCCGGGGAATCAAGGTTGGTCCGTAAAGGAGATTCACGCAAAGAGAAGAGGCGAGAAACGAGAGAAGGCTAAGTAGTAGGCATGGGAACCGATACAAGAGGTAGCGGTGGCTGGCTCTTTAGGTCTTCTTCAAACACGAGGTTCTCTAGTTTCTGTGTTAGGCTTGCGCAGAAAGGGTCCACGTATCCCGTCCAGAGCGTGGCACAGATGTAGACGATCACGATCCAGACGGGGATACAGGTAAAGACCACCCACGCGGGACGGATAGGGATATACGGGGGTGGAACTATAGTACCCTCGGCGTCTGTGACTTCTTCCCAGGGCTGGCCTGTGATGCCGTAGAGCATCCAGACGAGCACAGTCCGCAGCAGCGTGCCGTGGACGAGATACACAGCGAAGCTTTGCTTGCCAAACCACAGGAATAGCCGGTTCGAGAGAATATCCTTAGCGGAGGGTGACAGGTAGATGGCACAGATGACCATGTCGATCCCAATGGCTGTGTAGCGTTTGCCCACGTTCACATTCGGGGGAAACAGGTAAGATGAGCGCCTCCACATCTCGTTCGACCATTCCGACCACTCCGGGTGTTCACCGGGATAAGAGGCAATGAGAAGACCGAGTATAGCCAGCGGTATCGAGATGAGTCTCCTCCCCCAGGTGTGGTTGTGGACGAACTCCTTGAACGAGGCGTTGTACGAGAGATCGCAGAGCAGCATCCCGTACATGCACTGCATCTGAATGGTCTCTGCAACGAATTAGCCACGTCATCATCACAGCCAGGGATGCTCTAAACCACCACACTCACCCACGTTGGCTGCGCTGTCCTGGTGGAAATAGAGCACCATGCCCACATATACTAGCATCCGCCAGCGGAATCTCACAAACATCGTCGCCACCAGAACAAGATAGACCAGCATGGAGCCCTTAAGCAGGGGCAGGAGCGCCCACTGGTGGTCGTCGTAGGCCATGTAGCCTGTTGTCCACGTGCTAAGGAAGTTCATCCCCAGCGAATATACCTCCAACCACCAAGTTTCCTTGACCTTCGGCGCCGCATACCGACACCACCAACAGTCTGATCGAAGGGCTGCCGTGTAGGCCCCGCACTGAGCCGCCGCCCAGGAGATGACGAGGGCGATTGTGGCCGGTAAAATGAGGCGCGGCGGACGGCGAAAGGCGCTCTTTGCGACGGTGGTGAAGGCGGCGTTGGTGTCGCCTGTGTGGGACTGCTTGAGAGGCTTCAACGCACACACATACCCCGTTAAAAAGGCGAAGATGGTGACTCCCACACGGCCCTGCCAGGGGATACGCAGGACAGGCAATTGCAGGATTCGTGGGGGAATGTCAGGCCCGTCCCGCGGCGAGAAAAGGTCGTAGTCCCAGCCTCTGGCTAGATGGGTAAGGACTACCAGGAAGGACGCAACGCCTCTCAGACCCTACACAGCTCCAGCATCAGACTACCACAATTCAAGAAGAGAGTTAACAAAGGGTGAAGGGTCTTCGAGAGAGAAGGAAAAAAAAATAAAGGCGTACGTCGATCCATTTGACGCTCTTCCTCGGGTCTCCCTTTACACTGGCCTTTTCACCACTCCACGGCAGAGTACTGACGACTCGGGTGTACAGAGAAGAGGGATTGGAGAGTCGTCGCATCGGTATTTGATCTGTCTTGACGAACAGGTTCCACTAACGTTAGACAGGAAACAAACAAGTGACGTGAAAGCGAAAACGGCGAGCAGGGGACGGCGACGAGGCCAACGATAAATATCAAAGTATACAGAAGGGAAACAATCTACAGGGAAAGAGAGAGCGATTATAGATGGCATGCCTAGGCTCCCCAGAGCACTGCCATCCAGTCAGGGGTTCATCGTCAACTGTGATTTCCTCTACGAGACCAATGACCTTGTTTGAGGGTTGAATTGCGCCATAGCCAGTCGAAATTATCGACAATGACTGGGACGGGACTTATTTCTGGGCGCGTAGCGCTATCAGCCGCTTCACAAGTCTAGGGAACAAAGTAACCGTGAGACAGAATGGTCCAGCACCTGGTAACGGTACTTGATGCTGCGGTCATTCGGGTCGTCGGAGTCTGTCCGCAAAACATGGAGGGCGGAGAATGATCATCACCATATCATGAACTCCACAAGACTCGATTCCTCGATTCGTCATGTTTAGGGCCCCCATGGCTACTGAAACCCTTCCTCGCATGCATAAAGTGCCCAGACACTTGGCCAGAATCCGTCACCATCCGGGTTTCCTTGGCAATCAACGGTGCGGTTCGTTTGACAACTTGGCAGATAACTAGCAGGCTGACAGCTGTAAGAACTCGCAGAGTACTGCACCCGGGAAACCATGAATAGAAAAGTTGAAACCAATAACTACGAATCACTCCTTGTTGGGTACCAGTCTATGATTATGCCAAGAGACTCCACTCCGCCGGGCTTTGGTCGTTTGGATCCAAATATTCGGACCAGGAACGGAGCAATGGACAGTGGACAACCTGATGCATCGTCGATCAAACTCGGATCATTGCTAAACGCAGTGACGGGTCCCACTGAATATGATCATGAAACATGCTGAAGATAAATCGTTGACTGAAGATCTCCAGAATATCGAATTATCTCTCTTGATCTTGAAAGCGAGTCAGTGCTAGGTCTATTGATCAAAACTATAGATTGGAATAATCAATGTTTCCACATTTCTGCATCACCAAAGTCGAGCTCAAAAACAGGAAGCCTACTTCAATGTCGGCTGGAAGAAGCTTGCTAGTGGTATCATTATCATAAAGGTATTAGTTATAATGTACAAAGTTTCCAGAATAATGTCTTCTCCATGTAAGAAGAAGATCATCGGAAAAGTCGTCTCCCCCCCACGCTGCCCGAACTCCAGGTCAACGACCCCTTGACACCCAGGTTATCCATGCTCAAGCCTGAGAATCCTACGCCGCCGCCCTCGCAGTCGCGTTTATATCGGCGCAGGGCCTCGCGCAGGTGTGACGGGAGGAGTTGTCCGCGGTGCGGGTTCGGCGGGGGCTTGAACTCCCGGGTCGAGGAACCGTTCGGCGTTAGGCCAGGAGGAGGAGGAGCCGGGCTGGCAGTAGTATTATATCCGTTGGCGTATACACTGTGGGTATACGGTGTTGTAGAGCCGGTAGGGAGCGGTGATATCCGCGGGGGCACAGAGTTGGAAGACGGGGTTGCCCTGCCACTCTCGTTGAATTCGCTTTTGATAATCGTATTGTCTGGGGTGGACTTTAAAGCTGCTGCTGCTTCTGCGGCAGCTACTTCAGCCTGGAATGCGGCGTGGGCAGCCTGGTCGTGCGCCAGCGCCCACTCAGCCTGGACGGTACGTGCCTTTTCGATGATCTCGCCCGCATAGACCTTGGTGAAGCCGTTGATGGTGGTGACCACACTCGCAGGCACAGACTGGGACAAGGCATGATTGACGATCCGGCGCAAGGTTTCCTTGCGGAGCTTCGCCCGTTTAAACAAATCATATCGTTCCGACTGGATGGGGTTGAACGCATCAACAAGGACGCTAAAACGTCAGAATAGAGAACCAGAGTCAGCAAAAGTAAGACTCACGCAAGATTCTTCTTATCCGCCTCCGTATCCGTCGTCCCCTCCTCCCCGCCCAGCAACTCCCCCTCATCATCGAAATCGTCATCATCGTCCCCATCCTCGGCGTGCCCATGCCCACCCGCCCCGACAGTCGAGGCCGCGCCCCCGGCTCCCCGAACCGATCCCCCATCCCCATCAACGGATCCCATCCTCGCCTCCAGTCCTCCCCTGGCACTCATGGCGTCCTCGCGTTCTCGCTCCTTCTCGGCCTTGGATTTGCGCCCGCGCTTCTTCCCGCCCAACCGGGCCGCCGCGCCTGAAAACACTCCATCCGCGCTCGTCCCGCCTAGGCTCCCTGTAAAACTACCCGTCACGCTCCCCGCGTCGCTGGCTGTGCTGAACAGTCGGCTCTCGCTGTCAATCGTGTTAGGGAAGGAGGTCTGTCGGAGAGGGTGCATCCGGGGTCGTTTCGCGGAGCCCATTCCCTGCGAGGCGGAGGAGACTGAGAGTCGTTTCAGTGGGTTGGAGGGTGTTTGGAGAGAGGGCGGCGGTGGTGGTGAGGACATGTTGTTATTCTAGTACTATTTTCCAAGAGTCAGGGATTTTTGAGGGAAAGGTATAATGTATTAGAAGATGAAAGAAGATTATTAAACTCACTTCGTGAAGAAACGAAGATGAGGTCGAGATAGTGGAAGAAGTTACGTTCTGGACTTGGCGGAGTCGAGCTTCAAGGCGGGCTGCACAGACCAAAGCGGCAACTTGATCCACACTATAGTCTACAAAGGCTTGTGATTCACCTTACTGGTGCATGCTATTCTATTCACCAAGTACTTTATGGTTGAATGGTCTATGAAAGGTTCAAAGTTGAATTGGGTTTCTATGATGATGATGGTAAAGACAGTAAAGTTGAAAATAACAAGTGCTGGCTGCTACTAGCAGTCCATAAGAAAAAAACAGACAAAAGACAAAAGAGAAAAACGAAAAAAAAAAAAAAAAAAAAAAATCAATTTGAATCGACCGTCACAGTCGGTTTTTAAATTCCTCTCTCTCCAATTCTCGGGGCACCCCCCTTCCAGTCGTTGCGCTCGTAGTAGCGGAACACGAGGTCGTAGCCGTCCAGATCGTGGACAATGCGGTCTACGCGACGGTATCCTGCGATCTTCTCCATGTTGGTCGCACGACGAGCTGCCTGGCGCTGGAAGAACTTGAGTTCCTTGGCAGGGTCGTAGTCGCCATCGGTCGCTTCCGGGGCAGGCTTGGCCTCGAAGAGCGTGATGCTGAAGCGACCGGGCTTGAAGATATCGACGACCTGCTGGATGATGCCTGCGGTGGTCTGACCGTTCTGTTTGTGAGGCACGTTGGTCTCGAACGAGGCATACGAGCAGTGCGGCTCCGGCGTGACGTGCACGGTGAAGTAGTGGGTACCGGAGCTTCCTTGAGGCGCGGGGATCACCCCGTTGGCGGAGAAGCCGCAGGGGGTGAACAGGTAGGCGTCGACGCGCGATTCAGGATACACACTCTTCGGGTACACGTCGGACAGGCCACAGCCTTCGGAAACCACAGTGCCCAGGGCATGGCCCTCGGTGGTCAGCTCGGGAGGCAGGTCATTGTTGCCATTGTCAGAGTCGATGTCGCTCATATCGGACGAGTGGTTGCTAAAAACATCCACGTGGTCGTCCTCCTGATGGCCCAGGTTGCGGTACTTCTTCTCGGCCACGGCGGCCGCGTTATCCAGATAGAACTGCTTGGCGTTCTCTTCTTCCAGGTCGGTCATGAGGATCTCGAGCGTCTCGTCCTCTTCCTCGGAGGTTCCCGTTTCTCCGGGGAGATCCAAAACCTTGGTCTCCGTCTCGTGGAACTCGGCTTCCATCTTGGGGCTGGCAGGTGGAGTGAGCAGAGTATAGGGCTCCGTCACGTACAGATACCAGTGCTCGCTGTTCATCTTGCCAATCATGTAGGCGCTGCCGTTCAGGAAGAGCCTATCCATCGTGCGAACCTCATCTCTCCAGCTACGGTGAGGGCCGCGCTGGCGGTCCGGGAAGAGAAAATTCTTGCGGCTGTAGAAAACACGATACGGCGCAGCGGCAACAGCCAGGCCACGAGACGGGGTGGCCGCCTTGGGGAAGCCACCGAACAGGGCAGCAATCTCTAGGATGCGGGGCAGGCCGGACAGCAAGGTGGTGGTGCCGCAGGTCTTCAAGATAAGCTTATGGGGCCAGACAAACATGCTGGACTCTGAAAGAAGATAGGCGTCCAGGTCTTCGGACGAGACGATCGATAGCACCTTGCAGTTGACGAGATCCAGCATATCCTTCCATATTTCCTCAGGCACAGCCTTCAAACCGGCTGGCTGTGCGGGTCCTAGAGCTTCGGCGGAGGGGGCGAACCACACCTCTAGCAACTTCTCGGGACCTAATCAATTTTTTCGTATTAGTACAATTCTAAACATATACATAGAAGAACGGCATACCCTCAAAAGCGTTGGAGGAGTCAAGATCGTGAGTAGCCTCATGATTGATAGTCAAAGATGTCGCTGCAAACGAGGACGGAGAGGCCGTATAGTTTTGGGGGATACCAATGTACACCATCTCCGCTAATTGGAATTTGGCAGAAGGCGTGTGGACGGGTTTTGACTACTGATGGGAGAAGCGACGAGTCAACGCAAGAGGAGGAGAGCTGGAAACGGAGAGACGGAGAAAGGCCGTAGAAGCACTATCTGCTTCCAGACGAACTGACCGAATGTTCGTCTAAGAAGAGAAGGCCCGGGATCAAAGTAGTTGATAGAACTGGCTAAAAAGCCAGCCAAGCGGGGGATTCAGAAGAGGATGCGTGTAGGGCCTGCTAGGGGGGCCGAGTGGAGAGAGAGAGGAGGAAAAAGCCTCTAGAAAATGGAATTGTGACGATCAGTGTATACCCTCGCTCTGAAGATACCGATACCGGTCAAAGTATCGGGTCTAGCAGACGAGGATATCTGCTTTTTAAAGGGGAAATATGGGGGGGGTCAGTAGAGTGAAAGCGTAGGACGTATTATCGGGGCCTAATAGAGATGTTAGCCAGAGTCCCATTGTTATATCCATTGCTTTTCAACGCAATTGACCATCAAGTACAGAACCACAAGACAGACAGACTCACTTCGCAGGCTTAGACAAGAATCGCAGAAGGTCCTTCGGGCTCATAGAGGAGAACACAGAAGATCCAACTTAAAGAAGCACGATGTAGCACAAGGCCACGGCTTGGAACATCGGCAAGAAGGCGTCAAACCGATTCAGTCAGAGGGGGGGGTAGGAGGGCACAAAGACAGGTTTTAAAGGGGATTTGAAGTGGAAGGATTTAGATCCAGGAGGAAAAGAAAAGAAGAGAGAGAGACAGAGAGAGAAAATAACGCGTTCAGATGGCGGGGTGTTGGTTTGGTGTGCGTTGGGTTTTCTTTTCCTGGGTGGGCCTGGCAGTGGACATTGAAAGGGTCCGTGGGGTGTGGGAATTTGGAAGGGGGAGGAAAAGTGAGCGAGAAACGGATGGATCTGGACCAAGGAGTATGGAGGTATTGTCAGGTAATTAATACCCTCGGCACCTAGGTACGAAACAAACAGATCTACTGTCTAGTCCTGCACTTGATGAAGATACTTTCTATTCCATTCAGAGTAATAAATTGGCTTCTGAATAATGTGTACCTAGTATGTGTAGTACTGTACTCTGTGGGAAGTATTGTAATTATGTTGTAGTACTCTGTGGAAGTATTGTAACTATGTTGTAATACTCTGTACCGTAAAGTATCAAGCAAGGAATTGCTCGTGCGACAAATGAAAGGCGGTGAAGAGCGGAAGGGTCGGTCGGGCACAAACGGTGACGTCGAGCAAAGTGTCACAACAAAGTACGAGGAGTAGTATGTGCTATTATGTAGTGCGTACATGGCTCATGGATATTCTGGTTTTTGTTAGGGTATCTAAATGATACAGTCAGGGAAAAGAGGGGGGGAAACACTGAGTAAAAACTGAAAAAACGCCTGAACCCCTGCCGGAATGCGGTCGATTATCCCGCAGAATAATGTTGAACGTTTTAAAATCTAGATTCATCGTTCCGAGGTGACAATGGCATGAGCAAGATGCACTTCCCCAGCATCTGCAATGCGGGAGGCGATCAGGTCGCCCACTCTCTCAGTCAGCTGCAGACGCAGCTCGTCTGAGAGGACGGCCGCATGGCCATTGGTGAGCGGGCTGGTGTGGCCTTCGCGCAGGGTTGCCAGGACACCCAGGAGAGCGGCCAGGACCCGTTCCGCCTCTGGGCGACGAGGGTTGTCGTCCGTGAGAGCGTCTGTGAGTAAGTTGGAGTAGGTGCGCAGGTTGGCGAGGATGAGCACGCGGACGGCTTCCGGCCCGCCGACGGCGTGCAGGCCGATGATGGCGCCGTAGTGGGCGCCAAAGGGCTTGGCCGGGTCGAGAAACGTCTTGAGACACGACCGAGCCAGCCGTGGCTTGAGCGTGTGCGACGAGTGTGAGTATTTCTTGGCGATCAGGCCCAGCAGGGACGCCGCCAGGTCGCGCAGGGCAAACTGTTCGGACAAGTCGGCTGTGCCGCCGAGTTGTCGGCCGATCAGGCAGGTCAGAATCGGCGGGACCAGCGAGGCAACCTAACAATTAGCAAGACTGGATAATCACACTCTTCAAGAAGAGCGGGCTCTCACATAAGGATCCACGTAGAGCGACTTGTTCTGAACAAGCGCCTCCGCCATATGCATAACCTGCGTCAAGACAAAGATATCCTTGAGGCTGTGCGTGACCTTCTCCGAGATGAACTGCACAAAGTACGGCACCAGCTGGTGCAGGCCCGGATCCTCGCGCAGACTCGAGTAGCCCGAGGTGCGGTACTCCTCGCTCGACTCATCCAGGAAGGCATTGCAGACCTTCTCAAAGTACAGCTGCAGCTCCTTGGAGAGCACATGTTTTACCAACGGCTTGACGGCCACATTTCCCACCCCGCTGATCGCCGCCAGCGTAGCGTTCGCATTCGGGCCCTTCGAGACCAGTTCCAGATTGCGTGAGTCGGCGGCCGTAGGGTTCTGCGGAATCGACGGCTGGACGCCTTCGACAGCCAACCAGTGTGCTAGAAAAATCAATACAAGCACACCAGGCAATGAACTGTAAGAAAGAAACTCTACCTGTAAATGAAATCTCCCGCGGCACCTTCGGTAAAGGCGCATTAATCAACTTCTCAAAATCCACCTCCTCATCCTCCACGTAGAACAGCGGCTGCCCTGGCCCCAGCGAAGCCTCTCCGAAGCGTAACGGCCGCGTCGACTCGTACCCGTACAACGGCTCGACGTCCAGCACCCGCAGGGCAAGCGCCACGTCCTGGGTCGTGAGCAGCGTCCGCTTGCTGTGCCGCATGAACTTGAGCGCTTCCTCCAGCACCTGCGCGATCCGGTATTCCACGTCGCGGGCAAGATTCTCCGTCACGTCGTTGTTCAGGTTGGCGATCCCGACCGACTCGGCGACGTCGCGGATGTTGTCTGGGTTCCAGACCGACATGCTGGGCGGGATTCTTCGACAGTACGTAAATCGTGGCGTGGTTCAGGCGGGATCAGTGATTGGCATGCTGGAGATTCCTCGGCGAGGATCCAAGGTGGAGGATCAACCGATGAAGAGAGAGCTGCTGGTTGGTTCTGGAGTCGAAGAAGCTCAAGAAGATTAGCTGCGCTAGTGGTGTAAGTGGGTGACTGTAGACATACCTACTTACAAGTTGGAATAATAACAATAGAATCATTAATATTCATTAAATTCATTCAATGCCTATATTAAAAATTCTAGTTCTGTATACTAATTGTTTATCTATCTAGTATTAATTATATCTACTGGCTAATGCTTGAGGTATTAATAACAAAGCAGTGATTCAATCTGCAGTTCCCTCTGGGTATCTGAAATGTCAACCTTCTCCTTCCATCCCTCTTTCTCTCCCTTCATTAGAAGACTAGTGGAAGCCTTGTTTCTCCCGTTCTTCGTTTGGTTTAGGCTTCAGTTGCAGCGGGAACGGCCTCGGTGGTGGCCGCAGCCTCTTGCTTAGCGGGTTCTTCCTTGGCAGGTTCTTCCTTAGCAGGCTCCTCCTTAGCGGGTTCCTCCTTGGCAGGCTCCTCGTCCACGGTCAAAGTGACGGTCTTGGATTGCTTCTGAAGCTCAGGTCCACTGCCACCGTAGGCGGCGGGCACGAGAGACGAGATGGGGCCGAGCTCGCGCGCCAGGTTGAGCCCGTTGGAGATGGGGTGGAACTTGCGGACGGTGTTCTTGCTAAGGAAGACCTTCATGGCGGCGTACATCCAGCCCATGATGGCGGGCACGTTGACAAAGTACTTCTCACGGAGCAGCTCCGGGTAGGCGGTGCTGAAGACCTCGATGGTCTTCTTGGACACGGCGCGCACGCTCGGGGGGGAGCGCAGGAAGCTGATGTTGTGGTAATCGTGGACCTGGATCATCTGGTAAGGGTCTTCGCCCTCGTACTCGATCACAGAGGTCGCCTCGTTCAGCTTGAGATCCTTGATCGCGAGCTCCATGAGAGCCACCCGCCATTTAATAAAACTATGAACCTTGTTTAGTTTATGGTCAAGATCAATTGAATAGAGGCAACTCACTCGTCGACATCACCAAATGTCTTCTCGATATCCTTGACGGTGCCGTAGAGATTCCAGGTGATGACAGTGTTGCCATGCTCGTAGTTGGTGATGTATCCCAGATCGGTGAACTTGCTCGCACTGTAGGTCCCGTCGATCAGGGCGATGGGGTTCATGGACTTGCGCCACTGGAGGGCCTTGGTCAGCTGCTCTTCGGCCAGCTTGACATTCCCTTCGTTGGCACGGAGGAACTTGATCAGCACGTTGACGGTAGGCACATCGTCCGAGTCCTTCAGAGGAACCCCCCACATCTCGGAGTGACCCGTGGCTGACAGGATAGCCGGCAGCTTCTCAAACAGCTGCACCAGAGCCGGGTTGCTCGCCAGATACGGGGGCAGCTGCACCGCGGGCTCTTCCTGAGCCGCCTCCTCCTGCTTAACCTCCTCGATTGTGTCCTCCTGCTTCGGCTCCACGGGCTTGATCTCCTCAGTTTCCTGCTTCGCCTCCGTGGCTTCAACGACGGGTTCAACAGCGGGTTCAGAAGCAGCAGCAACAGCAGGAACAGGCTGTTCAGTAGCCTGCTCAGTAGCCTGCTCGGTGGTCATCTCCTCTACCTTCTCGACCTTGTCAGCCACGGTAGGCTCAACAGCGGTGGAATCAGCCATGGTTGCTGGAAAGGAAATTGCAGGTCAGTCAGATAAACTCAGGTAGTAGACAGGAAAGAAAAAGCACGCGATAAAAAAAAATGTGTAGATTAGATGGGAAAAAGCTCGGGCGTAACCGGGGAAATGGGGGATTAAAGAAGGAGAGGGGAATCGACTGACCAGGATAGACAGGTGGGTTCGTTCGGTTTGTTTTGAATAAAAGTGAGGCCACTGGGGAGGGGGAAGGAAGAAATCAGATGTGAACCAGAGAGAAAGACTTAGTTCCTAGTTATCTACTCCGTGTCAACTACTCCGTACTCCGTTACTCTGTAACGAGGGACTCCGTGTTTTGCTGCAAGGGCCTCCCTCCCTTTTCTCTTCCCAACCTGTCAACTTCCCCCTTTCCCCTATCATGGCGACTCGCGAGATCCACCGGCAAACGGCATCAATAATAGTAGAGTTTAGAGAAGCAATTGATATTCTAGCAACTGCTAGCTATTTACAGGCATATCCAAAGTAGTACAAATACTCAATAACTCAGTTAACTACTACATAGTAACCATACTACACACTATAAGGTAGATACTCTGTATGCTTATCTCGATATTGCAGGTATTACATTACTATTCCATCGGCTAATGTTCCTGTCTCCTATAATACTCCGTAGGACTCCTTATCCTGTTTGCTAGTCAACCAACTACCCATTCTACGGAGTAAATACTTCGTATGGACTCTGAGTTTGCGTCGAGTAGATCTTAATTTAGGAGACGCACTTGACTCCTCAATCGAGCAGTCTAATTATAGTCGTGTCTTCCCCTATCCAGTGCTTGCTAGGGGACTCCCCAGATCGCAATCTCAACTGATTTGAGCCTCTGCATCTTGCCTACTAGGTAGGTACTAGGTAGTACTCCGTATGGTGCTCTGGACTAGGATTGTCAAGTGTGGGGTGGGTATTCATGTCACGATCATCATCTAATAGTCTGCAAACCGGCTCGAAGAATTCAATCAAACATTTCCCCTCCCCCCGTTGAGAAACCGCGACGGAATGCCTGGCATCGTAGGCGGGTCTCTTTCCTCCTCGTCCTCGTCCATCTCATCCAGTTCATCATGGTGACTAGAAATAGTATGAGCAGAAGTGAAAAAGAAAGTGCTCATTTGAAGAAGGCTTACGCAAGTAACTCCTTGATGTTCCGCATCTCGTAATGTCGTTTCCGCTGCTGTTCGAATTGCTTGTGCTTCTCCTGCGCTTCCTCGGGTGAAATCCGCTCGTCATGAACACTCGGCTCCTCCTGGCCGACGACGACGTGTTTCTCGCCGCGGGAATCAGTGCTCAGGCTTCGTTCGCGGAAGATCCGCTGCGTGTCTGCTGCAGCTCCAGCCGACACAGCGCCTTCTTCAGGCTCCCCGAGTTCAAAGTCCGGGATATCTTCATCGCGAGGAGCTCTACTACCAGGCTGGGGCTGTTGTTCCTTGCGCTGTTTCCCGTCCAACTCGTCCACAACAAGTTCCTGGGCGTCAAGCAACGATTCCTGCGCCTCGACCAGCCGCATCTCCTCCTCGTCTTCGGTGGGGTCGTAGTGCGGCGCAAACGGCGTCTTGGGCTCGTCGATCTTCATCTTGGCCGTTTTCTCCTGTTCCGTCAGGTACAGGTTCGCTTCGTCCCACTTCAGCCGGGGCGAGTTGTCGTCCCCATGCGCACCGATCAAAGATGCCCGGCGTGAGCCGCTGCCCGCGTTGTTGTTGTTCGACGCCGATGATCGTCGCCGGCCTGCATTCTGCAGCGTGTTCTGCAGCGTGAGTTCCTTCGTGTCCAGCGAGTCGATGGCGGGGGTACGTGGTGTTGCCGGTTCGTGCGGAGGAGACGCCACCGCCGTTGACTGGTACGAGTTGGGACGCGAGTTCTTCAGAATGCCTAAGTAGAAGAGTCAGGCAATGTAGAATACAGCATGCATAGAATAACACGGCCTTGTAGAAGTGTTATTGCTTCTACAAACCCGTGTTATTACTAGATAGGAAGAAAAAAAATACCCCGCGGCCGCTTGTCGTCAACGCTGGACATCTTGCTGGTGCGTTTGAGCTATAGTATACCCAGAGTAAGAGCAGAGTGTTTCGAGATGGGAAGAATGAAAAGAACGGAAAAGTGAGCCGAGAAAGTTGTCGTGAACCGTCTGATCTTTGATAGTACTCGCAAGAGGGAGAATTATTATTGATCCACGTGCGACAATGACGTCGGGCCTGACTCAGCATACAATTTGGGTAATGTGACAACACAGATTTTTATAGTCACTGTCAAATAGATAGAGAAAACTGCTGTCTACATTCTAGAGCCCTTCTATGCATGCTGTGGTGCCTGGTTGGGCACTTGCCAGGCTGCTGCTGACATATGACATGTCATTGCCATATGGTGGCATGGCATGTAATATAATATATATGGCTGTCGATCATGTGACTGCCTATGACTATCCCTTGGGATTCAATCTGCCTATCGATTACAGGATTTATTATATGCAACTTAACGCCTAGCGAAATACCGCTGTACAGTTATCAATAAACTCGAAATAACTCATGAACCGAACTACATGGATATATATGCTGCATCGCGAGGATGGATGACTGGTTAAGAAGAACAGAAACAACCAAAGTAAAAAGCAAAAAAGAGTTTCCTAATGGTATCACGAAATTAAAAAAAGAAAGAAGAAGAAAAAAAAAAGAAGGAAAATCGTAAGACATTAGTCGAACTCAAGACCCAGCCCCATTAAGCAATCGAGTCAAACTCCTCGCGCTCGCGCAGGCGGTTCATGGCAAGTTCGTCCCCCCCGCTGGCCGACAGCTGCATCCAGTGCAGCGCCAGACACATGATGCATGGATCCGATCGGGAGTCCTTGTCGCGGTGATACATCATCTCTGCCTTGAAGGTGTCGCGCGGCAGCGTCAGCGGCAGTGTCACCCGCGGCAGGAGGTCCGGGTGCGTGAGGTAGAGGATGGCCAGTTCGCGCTGGGCGACTGGGTTTCCTTCTTTCGCTGTGATGATCCACATTTTCGCCGCATCCCGGATCACCAGATCCGGCCCGGGCAGGTGCGTAAACGTGGGCGTGGGCGTGGGCGGCCACTGCTCCGATGATGATGACGATGATGATGGTGGCCGTGGTGGTGGTGGTGCCGAGAGGCCTTGGGGCCGTCGCGTGAGCTCCTGGGAGAGAATCCGATCGGCAATCTCCACCATACTGTTACACACTTCCTCCTTTAAGCTCAGTGCGGCCAGGCCGAACTGCAGGAACGCCGTGCCGCTGTCCGTCTTGTTCAGCACATCACTCGACACAAATGCTGATATAAACTGCAGATCGCGGAACAGAGTCTTGGGCTTGATCTCCAGGATCAGCGCGCGCAGTGTCTCCACGATCCGGTCCTCGGTGGGCGGGGAAAACTCGGACGGGTGCGACTCGAACACCACAGATTCCGTTGCGGGGGACCCGGACCCCTGCACAATAGGGAAATGATGGGTGCTCTCGCCGCTGCCGAGCTGGGTCTCGGAAAAGCTGTACCGTGCGGTCTGCCTTCGACTCACTTGCGTGGCTCCGGAGCTCCGAGCCCCGGTCACACGATTGATTGAAGAGGAAGAAGACGAGTTCAACGAGGCAATAACTAATACTCTCAGATCGCGTAGCGCATCCAGTTTGACATAAGGGTTGGCATGGCGGGAGAACACCTCGATCAAGCGTCGGAAGATCGGTTGATATGAGAAAGGAGGGATCATCTCGTCAACAGGATCAGAATGAAGGTCACCATCATCATCCCTCTCGGCATTAGAGAGAGTCTTGTGAGATGGTTGCGGGTTACACGGGTCGGGGCCGAGCGAATGGCTCCGCCGCCGAAGCAGAGAGTGGTGGCGGCGGTGGTGGTGGTGTTGGCTGTTCTGACGAGACCGTAGTCGTTCCTCATACTCCGTATAGAATCGCTGGATGCGGGCGCGCTTCTCCATCTGCACCTGGATACGCTCCTCGACCAAAAAATCAGAAAACCAGGCGTCCGTCTCGCTGCCGCAGCTCCAGACAGGAGAGCCGAGATCGCTCAGCAGCAAGCTTGCCAGCGCCTGCCGCAGGTCCTCTAGAAACGCCACCTTGCCGTGTGTCTTGCGTTCAAAGACACGGCGCGGTTGGGTGGTCGCGACCGTCTCACTGATCATGGATGGTGGCCGCGAGTAGATGCTCGAGGCGCTGGTTGCGTACTGCGTGTGGTGGTGGGGTGCAGACCAAAACGTGCTGCATGAGTCTCCCGTGGCAGTGGACGCCGCCCGACCGGGGGAGTCGCCGATGGAGGAAGCGTCCGTGGCTGTTGTCAAGACTGAGACCGGAGGCGGCGGTGATCTCCACCGATCCGAGTGTAGACTCTGGAAGGACGGTTTGCGTGTAACGGACGGCGGAGGTGCATCGTGGGAGGCAGAGGGGCGGACATAGGGGAAAGATTTCTCCGACGGTATCCGAAAGGAGGACGGCAGCAAAGTGGAGAATCCCGGCGGGGGTGATGCGATCAGGTCATCTCTTCCAGTGGTCCGGATGCTGCTGCTGCTGCTGCTGCCGCCGCCGCCGCTGCCGCTGATGCTAGCCGTGCTAGAGGAGAATGAAGAGGCGGAGGAGGAAGAGACGGGGGCAAGGAAGTTCCGGTTGGCGTAGCCCTCATAGCGGGCCCGTTCCTTTTGGAAGAGTTCGCTGGCCCACAGCACGGGGGTCTCGGCCATGGTCTCACCGACAAGGCGGTGGATGCTGGTACGGACCTCATAGCAGAAGCGGTGGATGCGCTCCTCGCCCTTGCAGAAGTTATCAATACCATTGTGTGCCAGCCATTTGCGCGTCAGGTCAACCTGCTCATCCGACAGCTTGTGCGCACCGCCCTGGCTATGCGGGGCTTTCATAACGTTCATGACCTGCAGCTCGGGCTTCTGCAGTAGAGAGCCTGCCAGGGGCCGGGTTCCGTAACGAGCACGATGAGGCTCATCGGACGACGTTGGTGGTCCAGCAAGGCGCGCCGAGGAGATCATAGTCTTGAGCGCTAGGGCGACATGGCGGGCTTCCTCATAGCGCATGGAGTTCTTGACATCGGTCATGTACCACATCTTGGTACGCAGCTTGGTGATCGTAGCCATCAAGGCCTTGACTGACTGCTGCAGCTCATTCATGTTACGGTCAAGGGTGGTGAAGTCATCCTCGCAGCGCTCAATTACTGAGCGGGATGTGTGCAGGGCACGCGTGCACGAGGCGTACATGGGATCGAGAACCCACGAGTCACTATCCATCGGTGAAGGTTTGGTGGGGGTAAAAAGATGGCGGTTATTATGATGATGATGATGATGATGAGGAATTTGTGTTTGTGACTGCGCAGCCTGGTTCATCCCCTGGAGGAGCTGCCGCGAGGCGTTCCACCAATAATGCGCCCCCATGAAATCGGACCGCTGGGTACAGTCGGACATGGCCCGTTCGAATCGTTGCTTCAGCGACAGGGTGGGCGGCGTGGTTCGGGGATCAGTCTCTTCGACCAGTTTCACAATCGCGGTCTGCAGGGCCTCGTAATTGTCTTCGCTGCCCAGGGTTGTGGACCGGACATCATCGA